TGGTTAAATTAAACTTGATTGTTGTGACAACACTCATCACCTAGATTAACATAATGTATCTTGTTGTAAAGGATATTTTGTTCATACATCTTATCTACAATCTAACTCTCTTCTTATTTGTGCCAATGTTAGATCAATATGTACCTCCTTAAAAAAAAATTAGATATTTAACAAATAAGGGAAATGACCATTGTTATTTGAGTTTTTATTCTCTCAAATACTTTGGAGGATATTTGTTGTTTTATCTTATAAGACTTCTTTGTATCAAATCTCAAAATTATACTTAATAATTGTCACTAACCACTTTAGTAATTTAGTTGAACCTATTATTATTCTGATTAAAATTCAAACTTCATTAGTCAATGTAAATCACAAAATATTTTCTCAATAAGTAATGAGTTTGCTTTAGATTGTCGATACAATTGATATTAATTACTTATCATAAATTATAATTATATAAAATATGTAATAGGCTTGTATTCCTACATGAGCACAACTCCCAACTTATAACTAGATGTATTTTCTTCTATTTCAAATAATCATGAAGAAATTTGATGGCACTAATAATGGTTCTTTTGCCATTACTTTTTTGAGTTTTTGAAAAACTCTATAGTGTAATGAGTTATTCTTTTATTGTTGTGTGGATGGCCAAGAGATGACCAATATTTTTTCACAAATCTTTTAAAGTACCCTGTAAAGCTTCAGAATTTTATTAACTTGTAGAGATTGGAAGATATTAACCACTTAAGCATAAATTTTATTTTATTTTTATCTACTTCCACCCTTTTAGTCAAGACTCAATGACCTAAACATTTAGTTTGGCTTTATTTAAATAAATATTTCTTATAATGTATATATAAGTAATACCTAACTAATGTTGTTAACATAGTTTAGATCTTATTCGTGTGTGTTTTTATTTTTATTATACACCAAAATATCATAAAAAACTAGTATGAGTTTTTTGTAAGTATAGATAAAATATTTGATTCATGAGTCATTGAAATGTTACTAGTGTATTGGAGGTGGTGAAAAGTATCACTAATAACTTATATTGTCCCTCCTACACCATAAATTTCATCTTTACAATATCTTCAATTTTCATCACAATTGATGATGACCGAATTTCAAATATAATTTGAAAAAAATGATCACACCATGAAGTTTGTATACTTTGGTATAAGAAACCTAATCAAAATGATATCCACACAAAAATATTAATTCTCATCTTTGTTTTAACAAATAACATCAAGCTAAAATAACATCAAGTTGTGAATGAAAACATAATTTATATTACTCACATTCCTTGAATTAATATTTCAATCTCATTTTTTTAGATGGTAGGATAGAGATATATATCTGTCAGTTTTATCCCTAATTTCAAACGTATAACTTGGTCCATGTCTCACATGGGGGTTAACTAAGTAAGCTAATCGAATACTTCAAGGTATTTATCCATAGGTTGCAATAGATATGTTAGAAAATATATCAATATGGCATACTCTTCTTTTTTAATTAGATATAATTAAATCATGAATATTATATTATGTTGTACTTCACAAGTTAAAACTTTGAAAAAAATTATTAACTTATTTAAGTTTAAATCTCACTTCAAATATTTAAGGTACGACCCAACTTGAGAGTCTTATTGATAACTTTCTTCAATTTATTTTCATATTACTTAATAATTATAGTTAATGCCTCTCAAATATAATATTAATGTTGTTTAATCATCCACAATTGGCAGTCTTTACATCTTCAGATGTACTCATTTATAAATCCATTTGTTTTGAACTACCAACCTAACATTCATTACCATATTGTAGTTCATTTTTAAATCAATGTTAAATTAAGATCAACTATCGATTATATAATCTATCAAGATTGTCACTTTTTTAGCTCTTAATATTTTTTTTGAGCTTCGTTATAGTCAGTTCAGTCAATCATCTCATTGAGTTAAGAGACAACTCAATATTCTATGAAAGGTTTATCTCTACTCTTGTTTTTTCTAACCAGACAAACTCTTGTATCATCTAATATTCTTGATTGATTCTTGTCTCTTAATCATTATCATATGATAATAATATTTGAAAGTGCCTTTTGTAAACATATCTTAATTCATATTTTTCATCATATAATAAGTATTACCACTTCAATCTTTAGGCTTGAATTTATGCATTTGTTACGTTTATAAATATCATGTCTTTGTTGGAAGGTTTTTGGGATATGTTAATTTATCAATCAAAGCTTAGAATTTTCAACTTTTGGACTTATTCTTATTTGAATATGTTAGTTTATCTCATTATAATTTTATTTTTTACATTTGATCTAAATTTATGGCTTCTTTGTCTTACAAATGTGATGTATTCTCTAAGAGAAAATATATATTTTTATCATTTTTATCATTTGATGTATACTCCCTGGTATTCTAAATAATATTTTTATTCTCTTCAATTAATTGTGTCATACCCATAACTGAATTTTAATTGTGCCCTCAATTAATTCTCATCTCTTTCCACATATAGTCATGAGATTTGTGAGCCATCAGAATTACATTAATACTAAGAGATAGGACGTGGAGGTGTGCATAAACAAGAAGTTAATGTTCATTATTGAGCCTTAAAAGTAAATTATGGAACAAAAGAATCAATGTGATAACCATTCGTATCTCTTTCCCTCAAACCCTAACCTAAAATTTGTTCCTCCTCTTCCTCATCTCATCTCGTGCCCTAATAACCTCCTCTTTCTCTCTTGACGATTTACTTAATTAATCTTGACTTCATTGTCACATGACACATCCAACCTCCTATCCTCTTGGAGTAAGTTACATTTATTGTGGGCTTAACAAGTTAGTTCAAGATATATATATATATATATTGTAGTAATTGGATCTTATCATTTTATTACTTCAAAGCTAACACAAGTTTTGTCGAATACTTTGAAAAAGAAAATTCAGAAGAATTTTTCATATGAATGGAAATCTAGGGCAACAAGAGTGAACTAAAGTTTATAATTTTCAATTGTCTTATAAAACATAAATCTGAAAAATGTAAAAGCATGCCACTGAAGGAAACAACAATTTCTCAAGGTTTTACATGAACAATCATATGAAAAAGTTTGGAAACTTTTTTTTTTTAAAAAGACAATATAAAATCAATGTTATATAAGAGAACAAGCTCAATCATCCAAATATCAAAAGATATAATCTAATGAGTATTACATTCAAAATTATTTTAAGAGGTAATCATATAGAATCAATAACATCCTTAGTAGAAAAACATACTATATGGGTGAATAAACAAAAAAATAAACATAACTAGTTATGAACATTGAATATAATTATACTAAGCAAGTATAGGTTTCAATGAGATGGCGGTCCATGTAACCAAACTTGGCCATTAGTTGAAGATGACAAAAGCAACTATAGGTATATTCTAATAATATTGATGACACAAAAAGGACAGAAATTATAAACATGTTTGTATCTTCAATAAACATTAGCTCCACATTTTTTTTTCCTTTTTCAAAGTCTTGTGAAGTATGCTTCAATCTTGGATGTCAAAGATGAAATAGAAGCCACAACATTCTGTAATATATCAATTCAGTCAAATCTAATTCATTTCTAAATTGATCATACTATATTATTTCAATAGTATGAGCTTTTATGTCTTCTTTTCTCCTTAGTTGTCAAGCTCATATTCATGAAGTGTAGAGTATAAGTCTTAGAAGACACAAAGACACAAATTTCTTATTTCCTAATATTATCTTCAAATAACCATCTTAAACGATCATTTTCTACAGTAAAAATCTCACCGAATTAAAGCATCATAGATAGCAATGATTAACTTGATATCAAGTGTTTTTTGTGATAACAACATAGTATAATCATTTCTTAATTCAGAACAGCCAAAAAATTAGGTGTCCTTTGATGAATGAAATGCTTATGATCAAATGGTATTTGTTTCAAAGTCCTTGTTTACGTCACATCTCTCTCAAAAGATGCAATTGTCCTTCCAAGTTTCTTCTAGGAACTCCCCACTAATTCAATCCTACATTCCATCAAATAATAACAACTCCACCAGCCACACAATCCAAGCATTAGCTTCCCTCCCAATCAAAGATTAAAAGGAATCACCATACAAGATCATCAAGAGCAAAGGGAATCTCCTCATGGCACCTACATGCTTAGCACGTGATTAAAATCCAAATTCCATCTTCTTGTGATACTGCCAGATGATCTTGATCGCATCATTGGACACCCAGCCCCCCTTGAAACTTTGATTATTTTCAATCAATCCAAACAGTATTTATCGTCACATTTTCCATCTGCTACAAACACGGACAACCAAAGTAGCTGAGGAACATAACATTTCATCATGGAAGACTTGACTTAAAAACGTTATCTATCGGCAAAGATCTTATCACAGCACCGAATTTTCAAAATACGAATGAAATTATTCGTCTAAATTATCTTCCATATTTATCCATAAAATTATGTTACTATGAAATAACTGGGCTGAGGAGAAATGGAAAAATGGTAGATAAATAGGATGAAACGCGCATAATTACTCACTTGCTCATTTGGTCTAAACATTCCTTGAGAGGTAACGTTCCACGAGAAAACGGCAGCTGGGAAGGAGACCATGGATAACACCATCTCATCTGTACTTAGGGCATCTGTTCACGAAGATTGGGCCTCGTCTGAAAGGGATCTCAAGCAAGATAAACGATTCAGCTTCCAAGAATAGACTTGCTCGAGCGACAGTTTTGCTCGAGCCGGGCGGGAGATCTATACAGCGTAACACATTACAGAACGAACCGTATGTTTGTTTGATTTGACCCCCCAAGATACACTATTTCATTCAAGTCCCTCCATTTTTTAAAAAGGTTACTTACTGGCTACGAAAGGGTATATGATGAAGATGTGAGGTGATAACCGTCATTCCGTGATTTACTGAGGGTGAATTACAACGTTGTCGGTATGCTATTTATTGAGATACCATCTAAACTGCGTTCCCACGAACAATGAAAGCAGCTACAGAGGGGTTCACTCTGAGGGCTCTCCATGGCCAGCAGATATGCCTAACTCTCCGGCGAACGCTGCTCTGTGCTCTCCTGTTGCGCTCGGCTTCCTCCTCCAACTGCCTCGTCAATTCCTCGATCACCTCTCTCAATCCAACCGATCTGCTGTCCGCCAGTCTGAGGGATGTCTCTGCTGCCGCGTGAGCAGCGATTGCGGCCTCAGCAAGCTTCTCTTTCAGCTTCAGCCTATTGTTCGAAGCATCCAGTGCGGCCTTCGTCCTCTCGAAATCCTCTTTTAGAACAGCAATCTGAAACAGGAGGAATGACGGTCTCAGAGGAGAATGAGAAACATCCCGGAGATTCACAAACGTGGAGTTTCGCCAACATGAAAAAGCTTTCAGGATTCACAATGTATGGAGGCCACGGGCATTCCATAATCGTAAATGAGATAGATCAAAGTCCAGAGTGTTTGCATGGACAGAATAGGACAAAGGTAAATATTACAAGAGCTCTCTCTGGGAAATGGATTCTAACGCTCCTGCATGACAGCGAAACACAGAAAATAAAAATACGTGATCGCTTTTTTTTTGCTCACCTCGCTCTGGCATTCTCTGATAGCAATATTCCCATACTCTACCTCCAACTTACACGCTTCTCTCCATCTTGCAAGTTCATCCTCTGATCCTCTCAACTCTAGACTTAGCTCTTCAACCTTTGTAAACGAAAAAGAGAGATACCAGAGATGAGATGTGAAAACTTCAAGATATTTGATGTAAAAGAGAAGGAAATAAATACATTTCGGGCCAGCATATTCTCCCTCTCTTCTAAAATTTTTATATGGAGATCTCTATCGGCCAATTCCTTTACTTGTTTATCTGTCAGGCTTTGTAGGTGTTCATTCTCCGATCTGGAAAAGAATCAACAGCCAGAATCAACTTCCAAGAAAAGACATCTAAATAAAAGGAAAAAGAAGATACCGCCAAGAAACGTCGTGAAATCCGACAAATCGAAACCTAAGGAAACTTCTCACATGCACAGAATCTTCTTTAGAGGTTAGTACTGTAGTCTACAGACCCACTGGTTCTGGATGGCGGGATTGGACTCGTTCTTGGTCCAACAATCAGGAAAGGCATGCCTTGATGTCAACACTGAATCAAATTCTCTGGGAGAGGTATCATGGTGAAAATGTCCATCTATGGAAGAGTACAAGTTCTGTATTGTTGATTTCAACGTGGCATTAAACACATTCCAAAGTAGGAAAAAATAAGACGTGTTTTATTGTGAAGAACTCCATATCTGTAATTCCACAATCTGTGCTCCACACCATGCTCTACAGTGAAAATCATGAGCATCAGTAGCGTCAAGGTTCTGAATAGGATCTTCTTGTAATGCGCGGTTTTTTAATGACTCTAATTGAGATTGAAAATACAATCTCCTTCCTTTTGATACTGAAGAGACAAGAATCAGGTTGAAGTGAAATCAAGTGGAAGAAGATCCTACCTGCGGCGTTGTCTAGGTCATACGAAAAGGGATGAGTAGTTCTGTTCAGAAAGAATCTCAAGAATTTCATATAATGTCGTTAAAATGGTATGTTTTTCCGTTGTCGAGCAGATGAATCCTGGTTGGAAAAGGTTTATAACTAGAAATTCCAGGGCGTCCCAGGTGTTTAAAACTTTTGGTTTCTGGAAAAACTGAACAGTCAAACTAGTATTTGTAAATAAAAGGTTTCGCGGCAGGTGGTTTACAGACTAGCCTCCCATGAGATTTAGAGAAAGTGGATAGTCAAAACTATTATCCTTTCATTGAAACATACTGCATCATTCCCCTCTTGGTTGTTCTTATCGTATAAAACGTAGTCCAGTATCCTCTTGAACTGCCGCTGATTTGTCCTGTTTCCCGTTCCTCATACTCATTCATGGAATTGGGAACTCACGTGATCCAAATATCTTTTCAATTGCGATACTTTGTTTTAGAAACTTGATGAAAAAAGAAATATGAGAATATTTAAACACTACAGCTTTCTATAGAAGCACCTTTGCTCCCCTAAAGAACATCGTAATTCTGTGACCTCATGCCGTAGATTTTTTACTATCTTTTCGACTGCAGAGGCCTGGTCAAAAAAGATCCAACAGCAAAAACATATAAACTCAGTGAAATTCAATATAACAACTAGAAATTATTCTTGCGGAGAAACAGTTTATTTGCAATAAGAAGCTTAAGTAACGAGGAAAGGGAACATTTCGTAACAGAGTTTCCCTCGAATATGAACACTAGGCTCTGGGCTCCTGTTGGAATTAAAAAATAGTGCTGTTTTATGCTGCTAATGTGCCCCTTTTTATTTTTTATTTTCATTTTTTAAATATATCAATTGCATTAACCAATAATCTACCATGCCTCAGATACGAGATCAGATTCCTTAATCAGACCTTGACTTCCCTCTGCATCTAGACGACTGCAAATTGGTCGCTGGAACTTAAACTGTAAAACCAGTCATGTGGGTGGGTTATCTAACCCAGATAAAATTCCTTGTTAATCTGGGGAAAACCTTACTATTTTATGAGTATCCATTATCATTCAGCTTTATCATTTCACTCTCTGAATATCTCCTAATCCTATGCGTTTAGAATTATGTCTCGTTTTATTTATTAGCGGGGAAAATAATTACCAAGAGACAAAAATAGATACTCATTTGGCATGTATTCTTAGACCATTGAAAGCCCATATGCAGGAGAATTTAACCAAGAAGGTTACCAGGCTGGTCTCCTCCTCCTCCTCACATTCACTGACATCTGACGCCATGCTGGCATTGCAGCTGGTCGGGTGCTCATTTGGAGACTCCTCGGCTGACCCTCCCCTCAAGAACCCGAACCCGGCCTTCTGCAACCCCCACTCTGCAATTTGTAGGATCGCCGTCCTCCTCTGCTCCCCGCTTCCTTTCAACCTGTTCAGGCTCTTCTCTGCTGCTTCCTTCTCCACGAGAGCTATCCGAAGCAAGCGGCTGATGTCGGCATTCTCCTCGGTCAAACCCAGAATCCTGTCCTCCAAGTCTCTCTTCTCCTTTCTTGTCTTCTCCTCGTACCGGGAAAACTTGGCCTCCACCTCCAACCCCTGCTCGCGAAGCTGACTCGCCCCTGACAGCAGAACCTCTAAGTTTATTTCTCCTTGCTCGGAGGGCTCTGCGTTGAAGGAGCCCTCAGATTCGCCTCCATCTATCCTGCTAGAAATCCTCCAGAAGCACCCCCGGGTAGACAAGATTGAACTCAGAATCTCAGAACAGAGCCCATTTATTCTCATGCTTCCCTCCACCAGGAGTTCCGACGGGCTCTGTGGATCAGCCTCAGAATCTTCTTCGAGCTCCGGTCGTGGAGCATCGTCTCTCGGAGGAGACGGCGGCGGAGTTTCCGGTGGGATCTCCGCGGAGCACTCCTTCGGATCTTCTCCTGGCGTGTCGTCGTCGGCCATGTTAGCGGAGATAAATCCTCTTTGATATGCCTGAGGCCATCCGTCTCCACGAAGAAGGAAGCAGAGTTTGCAGTCAGCTCTCTAGCTACCGGTCTTCCGGGGGGTCCCAATGAAGAGAGACGTTGGCAGTTGGACTTCGGATCCGTGAAAACGGGTAGCCCGGTGGTATGTCGGATCCATGGGGGTTCCTTCCTCTTCGGAAAGGGGGTATCACTGCAGTAGGGGCTTATAGATCAGATGGCAACGGTCGCCTGCTAGCCGGCCTTCTGCCACCGTTATCCACCATGGCCGGAAAAACCCCAGTAAAGCCCCCGGCGTTCACCCTCCGCAGGCCGGTCTCATCTCCCTTCATCTCCTTTCTGCAGGCTTCCTCCCATCTTCTGGCTTTGGAACTGATGTGACTGGTTAATTTCCAGGGTCTGATTGCTGCAATTGCTGCGATGCCGCCTCCATCGTTCTGCCTCCTGCCGCTAGCTGTCCCGCCGCCGCCGTCAACGTCCCGGCTCCCTCTGCAGATCTACTCCCATGTCAAGGCCCAGCTCCCTCTCCTGCTCCGTTTCCGCACCCCCCTCCTGTCCCCCGCGGCCATCGGCCCCGACGGCAAGTTCCACCCGTCGCCATCGCCCGCCGACGAGGAGCCACCGGAGGCGCCGGAGGACTCCGCCCACGGCGTGTCCAAGCTGCAGCAGTTCCAGCGCCAGGTTTCCCGCGCCCGCAAGACGCAAGAAGAAGAGTACAAGAAGGACCAGCCTCTTTTCCTATCGGCCCTTGCCCTCGAGGAGGACGCGCCTGATGTCCCCGACCAAGGTGGCCCCAGCGACTCCGGCGATGACCTCTTTGGAGACATAGACCGCGCCATCGCCCTCAAGCGCAAGGAGTTCGTCAAGCAGGGCCTTCTTAAGCCGAATCCTCCGAAGAACAAGAAGAGCAAACCCCAACCAGAAATCGAGGGTCTCGACGAGCTCGCTCCCGAGGAAGTGGTGGACCTCGACGAGATCAGCGAGCTGCAGGGACTTACTGTCATCTCCGAGGATGAAGAGGAGACGCAGGAGGATATTTCGGTTAAATTCTCGGACGTAGAAGAAGACGATGATGAAGCTACTGACGGGGAAGAGGAGCGCGTAGGTCTAAATGGAATTCCAGCTGCTGGGTCTTCCTCGTTCGATCTTGATCTTGACAGTTTTGGGAAATCTAGGCCACGGATCATGGAGCCGAAGTTCAGAATGACCTTGGCCGAGCTCCTTGACGAAAGTAGGGTCGTCCCCGTCTCTGTTTATGGGGACCTGGAGATTGCCATCACCGGAATCCAACACGATTCGAGGAAGGTCAGTCCAGGTGATCTCTTCGTCTGCTGTATTGGGTCCAAAACCGATGGTCATATGTTTCTCAGCGAGGCTGACAAGAGAGGAGCTGTTGCAGTGGTGGCTAGTAAAGAAATCAACATAGAGGAAACATTGTGGTGCAAGGCCCTGGTCATCGTCGAGGACACAAGTGCGGTGCTTCCTGTTCTTTCTGCATCCTTTTACGGGAACCCCTCAAGGAGCATGTCTGTATTTGGGATCACTGGTTCAAACGGCAAAACCACCACATCATACTTGATTAAGGGGCTCTACGAGGCAATGTCACTGAAGACTGGAATATTATGCTCTGTTGGATGCTATATCCATGGTGATAATAAGTTGGAGTCTCCCTATGTGAATGCTGATGCAGTGATGGTGCAGAATCTGATGGCAAAGATGGTTCACAATGGGACCGAGGCCATGGTTATGGAGACTTCTTCTCGTGCCTTAGCACTTGGTAGATGTGATGAGATAGATTTCGATATTGCAGTCTTCACTAACATGACAGGAGAGAACCATGATTTCCATGGTAGTGTGGAGGAGTACAGGAAGACCAAGGGTAAGCTATTTGAAAAGATGGTCGATCCAGAGCGTCACCGGAAGGTTGTGAATATTGATGATTCAAATGCTTCATATTTCGTTGGACTAGGAAACCCGGAGGTCCCTGTTGTGACCTATGCCATTGAGAATAAGAATGCTGATGTGTACCCTCTGAAATTTGAGCTTTCTTTGTTTGAGACACAACTCTTGGTACATACACCGAGGGGGATATTGGAAATCTCTTCAGGGTTGCTTGGAAGGCAAAACATATACAGCATTCTTGCTGCTGTATCAGTTGGGATTGCGGTTGGTGCACCATTGGAGGATATCGTCAGAGGGATTGAAGAAGTAGACGCAGTGCCTGGTAGGTGCGAGTTGATAGATGAGGAGCAAGCGTTTGCTGTGATCGTGGATCATGCACGCACACCAGAATCATTATCTAAATTGTTGGATACTGTAAGAGAGATATCACCAAAGAGGATCATTACAGGTATGTAGTTTCTTTGTTTTTTATTTAACTAATAAATGTGATTCAACCACCCTGTTTTACCTGTTTGATGAAGTGTGTGGGTGTGTGTATACACACCCCAACACATATATACTATTAATAGCTGGAAATCCCTGCGCCATTTTGGCAAAAAGACACGTAACTTTTTTCTTAATGCAATACATTAGTGAAAGAAGAGTCCTGTCTTTCCTTTCATTACCAAGTTTTCTTTCTTAAAATTTTAGCCATTATTATTTGATGATGATGCGATCCTTTTTTATGGCTGTTAGGAAAATATGGGATGAATATGTGTAGCGACCTAAATAATTGATCCCATGCTGTTGATCATACTGACTTTCCTGCTTCTGTACGAATGTATACAGTTGTTGGATGTGAAGGTGAGAAAGACAGAGGAAATAGACCACTGATGACAAAGATTGCGACCGAAAAAAGTGATGTTGTCATGTTGACATCTGACAATCCCAGAAGCGAAGATCCATGTAACATTAAAGCCTTGTCATTTATAAATTTTCTTGATGTTTTCTTCTGGCTGGAAATGGCCTGGGGCCCTTGAAGTCCTTGTACTAATCGTTTGTCTTGATATGGTCAGTGGATATCCTGGATGACATGCTCGCTGGCGTTGGCATGACCATGCAAGATTACTTAAGACATGGAGAGAATGACTATTATCCTCCCCTTCCCAATGGGTGTAGACTCTTCGTTCACGACATCAGAAGAGTTGCTGTGCGAGCTGCTGTGGCAATGGGTGAAGAAGGAGACACAGTTGTGGGTTCTTTAATCCTGCCGTCATAACACTTGGTCATTGAATATTTCAAATCTTATTGAAGCTTAGGTTTATGTCACACTGATTTCGTGTTATTAAATATTCATCTTTCAGTTGGGCAGTCATCATTTTAGTGGTTGGTAAATTTATGCATATTATGGCTGGAAAGTCATTACTTCACATCAAATAACATTCCCTTTCATATTATTTTTTCATTATTGTCCCATAGTGCTGTTTCGTTGTCCTTATCATTGGTACGGTGGAATAGAGCTATTTTCATTGATACTCAAATTGAACATACTGACAGGTGGAAAGAATTAGTAGAATAAGAAATTGTCCAAGAGAAAAGCGGGACTAGCTCCTTCTCGACAATATTAATGGATGCCATCTTTCTCGACAGGAATCCAAAAACAGGAGACAAAATGATCTGGCTGCCTTTTTAGTTATCTACTTCTAAAATGAATTCCATATCATGGTATAACCTTGGCAGGTTTTTTCGGAGAAGCCATATGTGCTAATTACGCAAAAGCAAAAGCATTACTGCTGTCATTTAGGGTAGTACGACCAACAATAAGCCAGACAGAGGATCCCCATTTTTCTGTAATCGCAGAAATCTTTTATTGGGCAAAAACATTACTCAGTCATCCAATTTCTATACTTTTTCAAATGCTTTACTACTCATTGGGTCTACTGGATATAGTCAGGGTAATCTTTATCCTATGCACTATCTGCTATATAGAAACCATTATTGGAATTCGTTGATATTCACAAAGATCATCTTCTGAGATATTTTCCACTCTCGGTGTTTAAATCGATATTTTATTTTCTGAACCTTACTGTTAAGGGAAAATGCTTCTCAGAGCTAATTTCTAATCGTAGTCTATTCTTCAGGTTATCACAGGCAAGGGCCATGAAACACATCAAATAGAGGGTGATAAGAAGGAATTCTTTGATGACAGAGAAGAGTGCAGAGAAGCGTTGCACTATGTGGACGAGTTGCATCAGGCAGGCATAGACACAAGTGAATTTCCGTGGAGGTGAGTCAGAAAAATACTTTCGCATTCAAATATTAACTATTATATTGAATCCAGTTCCCTATGTATCATAATTATTCGGCATTTATGTAATGTGTCACGCCAAATCATCGTTTTTTAAATGTACATGCCATATGAATTTTTCATTTCGATTCACTACTTAGCGTGGCATTTCCAATGTGCCAAACTGATCTGAATAAGTTCATCTAGAACCAACTCCAGCGCCCTTTTCCCACAGTAGGTAGCATTCATGAATAAGAAATGAATGATGGCTCATGATTTGAAATACAGTTACTAGTAAGTTCTTTTATATAACCATTAATATTATTTTTGTGTGTGTGTGCCTTACTGGCCCATGCGCACTCCTGTTGGGCCTAAATATTATCCTATATTTTACCAGCATATGCCATTGCTGGTTGTGCGTTAGGATCTTGTGTTTGATTTCCAGGGAGCCACCGATTCCGGGGATCAGAAATCACAGTCTGATGCCCTCTTTGAGTCCTCGTTAAGTAGAAGAAAGCCTCCCGGTGTAATCTCCTCACAGGTTTTCAGGTGACATTTAGCAAATATCTGTGAGAATTATAGATGCAGATTACTTAAGAACTTTGGATGAGAAACATCACCGACCGAATGTGGGGATTTTCTGGAGAAGAAAACAGTGCGCTCTATAAATCTATCGTTTCTTCCTTTACCCAGGAACCCAATCCCCACATTTGACTGGTTTCAGTCAACAGCCCCCCATCTTAAGACAGAATCTGGTAATCATCCATTTGACTTAATACTTTTGCCGTGTTGCAGATTACCAGAGAGCCACTGATGTCAACGCCTAGAGAGGCTCTGGGAATATTCCCTGAAGGACCCGACAACTCGCATCTCTCTTTCTGCCATGAAGAGATCTGATCTTCTACAATGCGGGGAGGTGATGGTTTCCTTACATACCGATCCTTGGTTTTTTTTTTTTTTTTTCTTTCTTTTTAGCCATTCTTGCTAGTAGGATATCTAAATTTGTACTGCTTGGAATCGCTATAATGCAATTTTGTGGTCACAGAAAGTAGTATAGAATCATCGAGGACACTTAATGGGCCTGGGCTCGTCTGATGTTGACTTTCTGTGTCAGAAGTCCACGGCGCTTCTGTTTACCCATTTCTGGAAGCCCTGATGACAGACAGTCACTAGAGTCAACAGTTGCCATAATTAAGGAAGCAGTGAATTTAAGAGGTCGGTTCCTGAGGCCCAGTGGGCTCCGTCGTCGTCTAATTTGATGCCCGGGCGCATCGCGGAGGCCGCTTGTGGAGCTTTCGGCCTGTTGACTAACAGACCGTCAATAAATATCCGAGTTTTGCAACTTTTTACTTCCTTTCCCCGCCCTCGTAGTATATATATATTATTTGGGCTTTCGTCCTCGCTGGTTTATATTATTGTGGAAAAGACCCTGCTTCCTCCTGATCTTACGGCTTTCAAAAGGGAGTACGTTCACAATATATCGTGATTGAAGATAAAATCATCTTTTGATGCGTAAAGAGGGTGTTATGTGAAAATTACCGACAGCGTCAGACGGATAAACAACCCAGAACCTGGCCAGGCTTCACGTGTAAAAAGTCTTGACCAGCACTCAGGGGATATTCTTTTTCGTCATGGAATATTCCTATTAATCGCCCCCCATGATGTCCTGGGGTTAATTGATGGCATTGGGGAGGGGGCTGTTTAATATATCGGGAGATCCCCGTATCAGAAAAATAGAAGTTGCATCCCTCGGTCAATATATTCTTAACAAATTTATCCCTGTATCTTTCAGAATTCTCGTTAAATTTTATCTCACAATTTTTTTTCATAAATGGTTAATTTTTATCTTACAGATTTTTGTGAAGCGTAAGTTAATCCCGTTAAGTGCTCAAATGGATATTATATTATTGGAAAGTACCTTGTGATATTATTTATAGCATATATTTATTTAGAAAAACATCGAATTGGCCCTGTATCTTCCCACGTGTCATTTCCTGGTGGTTCATCCTGTGCGTTAGACTAAGTCGACGGCCCCATATTTTCAGTATATTTTAATTAGCCAACGACGTCACATTGAACGTTCTTTCGCTACTTTTTAATGGACGACGTCACTATTCATTATCGAAAATATATAAATTACATCTCGGGACCATATCAGACGGGAATGAAAATATAATTTATCAATGTTTTTTTAACTAAAGCGTCCTTTAATTAGGCATTTTATTTGAAATATGAGATTATAATAATGGGAGGTGGAAGACACTTATGAAGATAAAAATACATATTCCCGTCAATTTTTATTAATATTATCCTCTTAATATATTTACTTAAATAAACAAATAAGCTGACGATTTCCTCGAGCATCTAGATCAGGAATAAAAAGGATGTGTGACTGGCCCTTGATATATATTATTTATATATTTAATATACCATTTACCGTTATCATTATTTATATATATTTATTAAAAGGAAAAAGGGGTAGATGCAAATATACTTCGCAGGCATCCGATAAACAATTTAACGTGCGAAAATACGATACCTTCAATATAAAAATAAATAGATAAAAAATGTAATATATATAATATACAACATATAGATATATATATAGACTGATAGATATGGTATATATATCTATTATGACCATGCACGTCCTCGCACCTGTCGTCGGGGGGTTCTTCCCCAGGACAGCAAGGTATTGGAGACGACGATTGATGTAGACCTGATGGATATGCCGGAGATCACCCCGATGAGTAGACCAGCGGGGGATTTGGCGTCCGAAGGCGGACACCTCTCCCAGGTCTCCTCCTATCCCCTCTTTTGGTCTGCGTCTCCCCGCCTTCAAATTCTCTGGTTCTCCCCAGCGGCTTCTCGGGCTTGGTTTTCCTCGATCACCTCTTCTCGTTCCTGCTCCGTCGTGGGCTTGAGAAGAAGGGTGCAGGTCGAAGATGGCGGGTTGCAGCGATGCCACCACCGGCGAGACGGTGCACGTGGCGCTGGGTAGAAGTTTAAAGAAGGGGAAGATGATCCTGGACTGGGTGTTCAAGAACCTCCGCGGGATGGAGATCGTCATCCTCCACGTCCACCGACCGCCCAAGCTGATACCCATGCGTGAGTTGGGCCCCTTCCTTGGCCTCAAAAAACCCCACCTTCCCCTGTTCACTCTACACGCGGACTGTCGATGTGCTTGGTCCTTGCGCTTGCTCGGAACCTGTTTGTTTAAATGCCCATACCAATCCACTTCTCCCTGTTCCTTGTTTTTCTATTTCCTAACCAAGGAATCTCTGCTTCTCACAAGTTTTCAGAAATGGGCGGGAGGTTTCCTATTAACTTGGCTTCGCCAGACGAGGCGGAGAAATATATCACAAAGAAAAGAGCAGAGATGAACGACAGGCTGCGTACCTTCTTAGATCTCTGCGCTCGAGAGAAGGTGATAGAGTCCACCAGAGCTTCGAGCTTCTCTTCAATCACTAAGATTATCTGACACGTTGTTAACTCTTTCAAGATGCCCGCCAAGGAGCTGGTGATCGAAGCCGAAGATATTTACCAGGGGATCGTATATCTCGTGGGTCAACGTCAGATAAAGAGGGTCGTCATGGGTCTAAGGTGAATCTCTCTATCAACCTTATTAGCTGATGATCTTGCTGGCCCTGTGCCGAGTAGAAGACGACATCCATTTATCGAAATATCACGCATCCCCCATGGTTTATGCTTAAATCTATTAGAAATCCAATCGAGAATTTATGTAACAGTAGCTCATAATCCGACGCGTTCACCTTACACGAAGCTCTCCAGACTCAACCCATCCAATTATCTTTCAGGTCAATCAAAGAGCAGCCGACTCTGGAGAAAGGCCTCCTCTCATGTCAGATATGGTTAGTAAGCCATGGAAGGCTGGTATTCACCAGGTTTGCTTCAGCCTCCTTGAGCTAATGGCTACATCTTTTCCAAACATTCATCATAACTCTGCTATCTTCCCGGGCTGCGCCATTGGGTTAACTGCAGGGGGGGCCTGCTGCAGCCACTCAGTGTGGAATTCTCAGGCGCTGAGAACCAGGGTAGCTCTGCTTCGTCGTCCTACAGTGCTGGAGGAAGCTCCGAGTTTCATCCAGATCACGCGGTACGTGCTACTGTTCTTCCGTTTTAGTTTCATAAAAATAAATACCCCTCGGGTATTTTATTCATCTCGAATAAAACAGTTGACCAGACTTTAGTATCCGCTTGCTTTACGCCGTGATTATTGTGGGCACCAGCACCTGCGAATATATGAAGAGGAGGGGAGGAGGGGATTTGAAGGGTGGAAAGGAAGTGAAACAGCTAACTGAGGTGTCACTTTGGTAGGTGATTTTTGATACCCAAAAGGCTCAGTAGAAAAAAATCTACTGTGGCATTTTAGCCATTCATGGGTTTTTCAGGTGCCTCAAAATCGAACAAAAACATCTAGCAATTACCAAGTTTTTTATACGTTGACCACTGTTTTAGTGATAGAAGCATCTGGCCATTATAAATCTTGGGTTCCGCTCGGATAGGCTTAGCCCAGCCGTTGACATGCCTTTCTGAGAATATCTCCTGCACGCCAAAACTGCATCGTATACCATGAAAAGGCCTCAAAACTCCTCTGCTTTATTATTTTCCCATGTAACGTAAACCTGAGCCAAAGCAGGAGAGTGGGGACCCTGGCTGAGCTACAGCGCCCTCTGCTTGCAGGCCAAAGAAGCTGGAGGAGGACCAGGTAAACAGCAGTTCGAGGATGAAGAAGACATCAGAGACTTGCTGGTGCAACTATCCGAGGCAACTGATCTCATCCGCCAGTGGAAGGCGGAGGCAGCAGAGAGGGAAGTATCCGAGGATGAGTTCATTGAGTTCTCTTTGCCAGAGCTCGAGGAAGCAGCTGACAGATGGCTCGCGCAAAATGGAGATCAGGGAAGATGAGGAGACGAACAAGCAACCACGGGCCAGAAGCTCTTTATTCCTCTTTTTTCGCATTTTTTTTCCTGAAAAAATATAAATATTTGTATATATTCATACACAATACCAAGATCACTGTATTTATACAAATTTTTAGGACCGGCCTCATTAAAATATCATGGAAATTACATGGGCCAATTTTTTTTATTGTAATTGCTCAGGGAATAGGCAATATTATTTTAATTTTTAGCTTTTCTCACTCCTAGAATTGTTGATAAGTACCTGTGATTATGACAAACGATCGGATAATTAGTTTTTAGTCCCCAAGATGACCGAGGATCTTTTGCCACATTGAAAAAAATGATAAAAAACCTGGTTTTTTCGGTTTTCTTAAGTCAGAGAGAGATAGAGAGAGAGAGAGAGAGAGAGAGAGAGAGAGAGAGAGGGATTCACATGGTAACGAAGATACGTAGCCTCAACAACTTCTGGACCAATAGCAGGGGATCATCTAACCCCGAAGCTGATGGGACCTAACGTTCACGAAGGCCTCGACATCCGATCTTTGACAGCACAGATCAGATCAGACGGTCCTCAGATGACTACGTGACGGACCGGCATATTTCGGAGACTCTAGTATCCACGGTCCTGATTGGGGGACCACCGGGTCCATCGGCGTCCATGAGCGAACATAAGGGACCATTTTCGGGAACTTTCTGGATCTCTGCCGGCGGAACATTGTTGGCAAAAGTGCTTCCCCTCATAGACGGCGATCCGGTATCTTCGCGATAGAGAGATCTCAGCCGTCAATGTAGGTAGAGTATTTTGAGTTATTCTGATCCGGGGATCATTTGAATCTACTTGCAGCATGCGTCTCTCGTAGAAACGAAAGCATTGTTCAGTGGCTTTCCTATTTTTTCCGTCGTCGGGTTGATCGACCGCCTCTTTTCTACACAATCTCGCGTATATATATAGACGTTCCTGTCTCGAACCTCCGGTCTCAGTTTCAGTAATTTGTTATCGCCGATCTCTCCACCCCGTTGGCTAGGGCTTTGTTTCTCGGTGTGTTGCTGTCGTGCTTCACGATCACTGCAGGGCGCCCTGCTGCTCCGTATCCGTTGATCGCGACTGTCGGATCGCGAAAGGTACCTTCGCTCATTCGATCTCCTTCCGACCGGCGATCTCGGATCTCTCGCATCAAGGGATACCGAACTTGTTGATTCGGCCTCGGGGGGAGCAGTCATCGTTTCACAGGCGTGGTGTTCTGGCTCGTTTTCGTCGCCTTGATCTGTGAGTCGTGGTTTGATCTTTGGTTGTTCTCTACTGTTCTGAATTCTTGCTGTTCGCTGATTTTTCTTGATTTTCAGTGGCATTGATTTTCATATAAAACATCGATTACCATAGGTCACTTGTGAAGAGTGCTTCCTTCATAATCTTGTATGCAATTCCTGGTTGTCATTTGTGTTTGGACGTTTTTGAAGGTTTGTTTATAGGACATTTTTTTGTTTCCTTTGTCTAAAGAAGTCGTCGGCAGAATTTTGTTGATAGTTCCGGTGTTTTTTTAATGCAGAGGTCACAGAAGCTTACTCCCTCCCTTAATCCTTCTTCTCCTTGTATGCTTAGCATCATCAAATCTCTCTCTCTCTCTCTCTCCCTCCGTCACACACACACGCACACGCACACGCACGCTGCGCATCCTCGCATCGTCGCATCCATTAATAATATGTAGAAGCTTAGGTGTGTACTTGTCATCCTCATCTTTAAAGGTTGGTCACCGAATCTTCTTGTCTCTAGTTAACTGTGGAATGCCACAATTACTTTATGAAGGGATATGGAATGCCACATTGTTTGAGCATCCGGGATAAATTTATGAAAATACAGTTACTTTGGATGTATATCATAATTTTCATTCGTCTGGAAGTTTGACAAAATAACCCGTTGGGCAATGCTCACCCCTTATCAAAGAAAGAAATTATTATGGGGGAATTTAACATGACAATCACCATTTGATTCTTTGATGGTGTTTTCAACTAATAATATCTTGTGTATAAGTGGGGGGTACCGGAAATGCTAGTTTCGTAATAGATCGGTCATGGGTTATTGAGGCATGATTATGTTTTCTCTTGATAAACCTTCAGACGGTGGCTTTAAATGGCACGTAACAGACACGAGGATAATAATGTGTCACTGTTTTGCTTGACAGAGTTCTTGATGTTGGCTAATATGAGAAGTGTACAAGGTGTATGTCCCGGTCGTAGGTGTGTGCATAGCTAGGTTTCTCAGCCAACAGTCATTTTATTCATGGGACTGGAAGAATATCATATCAGAAATCAAGATATATCCCATAACTTTTGAATTATTAATTTTCTTTCAACTGGTGAAAAAAAAGGTTTGGAAAAAACACACGACGTGATCATGCACCATCAGAACCAGAAACTCAATCTTAACGATGTTTAGGCAGATTGAATAATCGGCATATTATTTGGAGACGACACGAATCACATTCGGGGACTTTGCTAACAGAAATAACATGAAATTTTATAGAGAGAGTGGGAAGAAATATAGCATATTTGAGAAATATAGAAATATAACATGAAATGCCATTAGTAAAAGTGCATATGAATCACATGTGGTAACCACATATTTCCTTGTGAGTCCTTTCCTGTGGATTTCTCCCTGAAACATTTTAATATTGTTGTTTGTCTAAAAGGAGTTCTCTCATGAGGATTTGTATTCTGCCATGAACCAAGAGAAAAATGATGAGAAAATGATGTACAGAAGTATTTTTTTCTGATTAACTTTCTATTTACTGCATACCATCTTATAGTTTAACACAGAGTTGTCATCAGCAGTTGTTTTCTTTCAACTTTTTGCAGGTTTATCTACACCAACAGATGTCAATGGCAAAAGTAAGTACCTACAGAGCTCCTGATGCAATCACCGACCAAAGGACTGCTCACTTGGAGAGAGAAGGGCAGGACTCTCTTGACAATTTTATCATTCAAGCAATAGGAAAAGAACCATACCTTTCTTTTTCACGCCCGGGAGATAGCTCCATTCAATGGATACAGTTGCTTCATGCTTTAGAACAGCAAGGAAGTGTCAAGAAGGGCTCAAGGATTGATCACTTGATAGAAGAGAATGACAGCCAACAACATTCTTATAGCCCTAATTCATCCACATCCGGAAGGCATGTGATCAAGGAATCTGGAAATGCTCAAAAGGGTAGTGGAGCCCCTGCAAGGGTGACAAAGAATTCTTTGGAGCACGTACAAACTCTCAAGATCCCTGAAGCTGTCATCGCCTTTGCCCAGGCAGCTGCAAAGGCAAATGGTGAGCGTGAAAAATGTATGTCAAGTATGAAAAGCAGGTATTTTAGGTTGTAGCTGGTAATAGGCATCATGTCAAATTTTTTCAACTGATGTTAGTCAGTGGGGAATCATGCCTTTCTTGTTGCAGATCTTCCTGGTTGGCCTTTGCTGTCGTCAACCTCAAAGGTGCAGTTGCAAAAGTGTGAGAAGTGTTCGAGGGAATTTTGCTCTCAGATCAACTATAGACGTCATATTCGTGTGCATCGCCGATCACTAAATGCTGACAAGGTCTTCTGTTTCTTACTTTTCTAATACATTACTGCCTATTTATTCTACATCATAGAGAAGAAAATAAGGGCGTACTTTCTTTTTGTTTAGGAATACTGTCACCAATTCAATATTTTACAATATATGATTTGGAATGACAAAGCAAAGGAGGCATCAGTATACCTATCAATCTATGAATTCACATATGATTTAATGTTTTCCCCGCTAATCATGGGGTGCTGTCATGTAACATTATAATGATCATTATGTCCATATTTTTATGCCTTTGTTCGATTGATATTTTATAGGTTTCTCCGAAGAACAGGGAGCTTTTGGCTGCATTTTGGGATAAGGTATTTTCTTTCACATCTTTCCCTTGTAAGAATAACATATTCCTACCTGTCAGCTGACATTTAAGTCAGACACTTGGGATGAAGATCGGATATTGGACATTATTGTGGCAGGTGGCAGGAAATCTTAGATTTATTTTTCCAGTCTTATGGTTGATTTTAATCTATTTTTTCTCACTTTTTTTCATTCAGCTGTCATTGAATGAGGCGAAAGAACTTGTATCATTTGAGGATGTGACATTTGAGGTGATACTCTGAGCTTGTCATGCCTTTATTGTAAATGACATATCTTACAATGGATGCGTCATATTACTTATCTTTTTGAGTCTTTTGATATTCTCTTTACACATATTTGATGCTGCAGCCGTTAATACCTTTTTGTCGACTTTCTGACTCGTGATTAGCATGACTGAAGTTGAAAATGGAAAATAGGGTACAAAGGATGAGTTCCACTATATAGAGACGTACTATAAGGATACCCCAGCTTTCAAAATTTTATCTCGATAGGTATCACGAACAAAACCTTTGAGAGTTGGATACAGAACTCTGTTTGATAGACATCTGATAAAACAAAACTCCTTTCGTCTGTAGTGGTTTATAAAACAAAATAGGGTAGTTGGCCTTTGAAATATTTTTTTTGCCATGTTCTGCCATGTTAGTCTGTGTTGATGGTTGATGTCGAGGCTCCTACTCCCTGTGATGGATTATAATTTTGAGATGGATCTGTTAAAGACAAAAATCATGACTGAGTGGCCACCTTTTAATTTTACAGTTTTGTGATTAAGGTTATCCTTCTGTAATCATTATTTGCTACTAAATCTGACCATGAAGAGCTTTACTGGGCTTCCCTTGGATCAATGTCGTGGACATACTGAAGGGATACATGCCTCTTTTGTTTCTGTTTGCGTTATATAGTTGCATTCTTACATGGACTCCTGACATTTCTCATTTTTAAAAGTCTGTAGTACTTATTTAGTGGTCTGACTTTGGCAAAGCCAGTTTGACCTAATCAGGGGTGCTTTCAGAATATCAGTGAGGACTGATGCCCGGAGACAATCCATGATGGTCTCATGTGGATATTCTTCAGATCTGTATATTATTATTTATTTGATGAGATATGTTTCTGTGTCGTGTGCCCTTCAGGAAATTTCTGGCTCCTCCGTTATGATGGCTTTAGGATCATTGATGAGGAAGCCCGGATTTTCTTCATTACCACAGTCCTATATGAAAGCTGGTGCCACTCTCTTCGTAAGTTTGGCGTCAAATCTGAATATATCCATCCAAGTGTTTCGTGTGGAGCATTTTTTTCCTAAAATATTTATTGGTGTTCTTAGGATGTTGTGGAAGGCAGGCCTTCCATGTTTCCCATTTCCTCTCAAGAGTTGTTCAGTGTGCTTGATGATGCAAGCGAGAAAACCTTCATGTGCGCTGGCACAGCTATTTCCTTGCAAAAGTTTGTGTTTGATGGAGAAGTGGGTAAAATTGCCACGGAGATGAGGAATCTTGTTGCCTGCACTAGCTTCTTGCTGGAACAAAAACTGGTATGATCCAAATCGTATGTTTGTTCTATTTCTGACTTTGCAGTTTCCGACATATACACGGTCGTTTTGAGCATGTGACTCCTTCAGGTCAAAGCATGGCTTGCTGACAAAGATGCTGAGGCCTTGAGGTGCCAGAAACTACTCTTTGAGGAAGAAGAGGCCGCTCAGAAAAGGTGATCAGATTTAAACTTTCTTAGAAAACCCCTGTGAACAAAGTATCCCTCGCTCTTTGTATATGCCATCCCCAAAGTCCGAAAAAATGTGTTTTTCTAAATCCAGTAATTTCTCCAAGTCATTTTTAATCCCATTCGATCCAACTGCACTTCATTTCAAACTCTTGTTGCTTCATTCAAACGAATCAATCCTAAAAACGTTTTCATTTAAATTTTAGAATCGATCAAAGATATGCTGCTATGATGACTGAACCTATCTTTCCCATTACAATTTTTTGTCTGAAGTTTGCTGTAGTGTCTATTCAAACCAACCAATTATCAGATCGCTCTCATTTCACATTCAAAATAGATTGTAGATACACTGCAATGGCTGCTGAACCTCAGTTAAATTCGGCAAGGAAATTTGTGTTTCTACTCTAAAGAGATAAATAATCCTAATTTCTCCCTTCGATCAATTTTTTGGGCCTTCTTGTAATCCTTCAGCCCCTTGATAATCAGCGTCAAGACAGCTGATTATCTTAATCAATTTAACGGGGAATTTTCACTGGTCTTTCTTGGGGTGAATCCCGTGGAGAAGCTTTCACTTCATCACTTGATTGGTGCCTTTCGTCATCATCTATCAGTCAGTAAGTTAGTCGGTGTTTCATTTCACAGACAAGCTGAACTTTTGGAACGAAAACGGATGAAGAAGTTGCGGCAGAAAGAACATAAAATGAAGGAAAACGTGGTCGTGGATGAACCCAGCTCCGAGGGTTCACGTGATGCAGCCGAAGATGCCTCCTGTCCAATGGAAGCATCATGCCCAGATATGGCCGCCGATGACTTCTCTCTCCGTCCCAACCATTCTGCTCCGGAGGACAGCCCCCAGTCGCCATTCATGGTTAGTGATGAAATGCACGGCGCAGAAGATGGGGATGCCGATCGGTATCTCGACCAGGAAGTGCAGCAGGAAAGTGCACTGAGGCAGCCCACTCCTCCATGCCAGTTGGCCCTGAAGTCAACGAGGAATGTTTTCAGTCCCCTCCAAAGACCAGGGGCCATGCACAGGCCCAATGGCCACAAGGATCCGAAAACAGCTTCTTCGTTCACCGGCCAGAAAATCTGGACGAGAAAAAGCAAACCCCAGTGCGAGGACGAGGGGGCAGCCTGTAAAGAGAGAGACAAAGAAACGAGGGACGGCTCGGCTGCGATCGGAGGCTGTAAAGTTCTCATTGGTTCCATCAGCGTCACTCTTAAAGACGGTAAAGGTCTTCACGAGAATGCTCCCGTGAGCCAGAAGCTTTTCCGAGAGCAGAATCCGGGCTCAGTCGATTCTACCAGTGCGGACCGGCGAGAGGATGAGTCTCCTGAAACCACTACTGATGACTCTCCTGACGGAGTTTCTCTTTCAGCGCCCGAAGTTGAGCAGCCATCGGCGCCCAGGTTATTCTCGAGCAAGGTTGCAGTGGCTTTTCTTTCACAGAGTAAGAGCGAACCTCCTAGATAACAAAAAAAATTAGTCGCCGTAGATTCTGTCTCAGATGTTGCTATCTGTGTCTAACAGAAGTTCAAATGTTGCAGGGTGGAAGGAGGCCTTGTCGTCCGACCACGTGAAGCTTGTGGCGCCTATCGAGGCTGAGGCTATGCCAATGGGCGATGCCGATCTCCACGACGAATCATGCACCGAGGTGCCCGACATCGACGTCTGCGAGGAATCGCGCACTGGGACCAGCTCGCAACCACCGCCGACTGACGCTTCTAGCCACCGGAGTCAAGTCGAAGATGTGGATGTCGAGATTGCGGCAGCCGACTCGGCGTCAGCTGTCGGCTACAGGCCCAAGTTTAGAGCGAAGCCCGAGAGGAGCTACAGATTGAAGTACATACCCAAGCAGAGCTTGACAGGATAATGGGCTCTTCCTTGGTCACTGCAGTCGCTCCGTTCGCACTCCCCATATATTCTGAGCAGAGGTACCAGTTTTTTGCAGGGTCTTCTGTGCTTGTGCTGCCGTGGCGTATTTGGAAATGCGCTCCTTTGTTCTATCCGTCAGTCTGTCCCTTCCCCAGCGTGGGGGGTTCTCTTGAAACCGAATCGGCTCTTTTTTCCCTTCGGTTTTCTCCTTCTTTCAGCTGTTTTTCTCCACACCGCCTTCTTACCCTCAATTGCTAGCGAGAGTCGATGAGATTTGCCGTTCGGCGGATAAATCCGTAGAAATTATGCCATCTTGTTTATAAACTGCACTGTCTTACAAGCTTTCGACATTATTTCACCGGGCTTCCCCCGATTTGATCACAAAACCAGGTGTGCACCTTTCCTTGTTTCACTTACGATCCACGTACCCTCTCGCCCGGTCGATTGTCGACGCATTACCTCCACGGTTTTCAGGGTGGCGCATCGGCCTCAGTAGCCCGGCAAATCGGAGATACTCCGCTCAGCCGGGTCAAGCGCTCTTTACACGTGTCCCGGAGTCGACACCTGCCCGTCCCATCCCATTCCTATCCGAGCGTCTACGGGGGCTCGCTCTCCCTTCACTCCGATCCCAATCCCGATCCCCTCTTCATCCGACAATTCCTTCGGCTTCCTCGACCCAGGTTGTGCGTCAGGGGAGTTCTCCTGCTCCCCTCCTCAAGTCGATGGGCGGCAGCACCAGCCTTCGCCAGGAAGAAGAGGAACCGCGGACGCCCACCACCCCGCAAGGCCCTTCGGGCGCCAGGAAATCCACCCGCCGCTTCCCATCTTTCCAACACGTGAACACGCTCGCCGTCATGATCGTCCTCTCCGCCAGCGGCCTGGTCGCCCTCGAGGACTTGGCCTTCTTCGTCCTGTCCCTCGGTTACATCTACTTTCTCTCCTCCTTCGCCTTCCCCGCCCGGAGCCGGGAGCCCGAACCACTGGTCTTCGGGGAGGAGAACCGCGCCCTGGCCCTCTACGTCCTCGCCGGCGGCGCCCTGGGCCTCCTCTTCCCCATCGCCTTCATCTTGGATGGCGTCCTCGGCGGCGACAAGGAGGGGATCGAGCCTGCCGCTGCGCACCTCTTCTTGCTCTCCAGCCAGGTCTTCATGGAGGGCGTCGCCTTCGCCGGCGCCTTCTCGCTCCCGATCCGCGCCTTCGTCCCCATCTCCTACAACACCCGGCGGCTCTTCACCATCGCCGACTGGCTGAGGGCCGAGCTCCGCAAGGCGGAGGGGGCCTCGCCGCGCGGCTCCCTGCTGCGGCTGCGCGCCGGCCGGAGCCTCGCCGCCGCCAACCTCATCTTCTGGTCCTTCAACCTCTTCGGATTCCTGCTACCCGTCTTCTTGCCGAGGGCTCTCCAGAGGTACTACGGGAAGCAAGCGAAGAGCGCATGAGCCCTTTGCCGCCGTCGATCATCGCCATCCTCCTCCTCCGTCCGTCTCCCGCCGCCTGGTTTCTGCCCTTCTGGGCCACTTGTTTTCGTCGACTAGTAAGAATGGATATTTCAATCGATCTCCCTATGTTTGTTTCTTCTTTCCAAGTCCGCAGATGTATCTCTCACTATCTTTTAACTTATTGGACGGGGCTAGTCAATGAATGCGGGAAGATCCGGCCAACGCGAGAGGAGACCTATGAGACCAGTCACACACTACCTCTATATCTTCCCCCCATTCCGGTTTTTAATTTTTTAATAACATATTATAATAGCACATTTTAAAGTATATAAAGTAATACTGCTACTTTTCAAGGACAAAAATCAAATGCTGTTTTAAAGGGGGACTGAACACAAATAACATATGCACCAGGGCTTCTCTCCTAGACCAGAACGGGTCGGATTTTCGTAGGGTTCGGCCCGTTGAGGATGAATTCATAAATACTTTTTTTGAAAAGGGTTTCATCTTAAATAATATATCTCACAGTCGTGGCCACCTCAGCAGTAGAGGCAACTTCCCTCGTCGAGCGCTCTTAATTAGCGGCGACTGTCCCCCTCTGCTCTTCACCTCGGTAGTCTACTCCGTGCCATCAGACAGCCCACGTGGTGTGGGGGGGAAGGCAACCGTGGGTACTCCGGCATCCTGCGGTTCACCGTTTCTTCCCTTATTGTGTTATTGGGTTTCCGGGATAGGAGAGACTGCAGAGAAGGGAGATGTGGCCGTTTAGCAGGACGGGTCCTTCGGGTTTCTCATCCAAGTCGACGGCAGAGGATGTCACGCAAGGGATAGATGGAAGCGGTCTTACGGCCATCGTCACAGGTCCCGGGCTCTGTGTTTCTTGTGTGTGTTTATGTTCTTGTATCAGTATGGTTTTTTGGTTTATTCCTCGGGTCGTTACTTTTGCATGATTACTTACTACGGGACTCGAACGGTGTGAATTCTCTCGGAGATCGAAGGTTACCTTATTTCGAACTAATCTGTTCATGGTTTTAGCCGCGGTGTTCCTCGAACCGTTTACTTGAGGGGCTAATTCTTGGCGTTCAGTTTGTGCTTTCTGTTGTCGCATGCCAGATTTGTTTCGCATCTGCTAGCGCGTCTCCGTGTATTTTTGGTTGTGGATCTTACTTTTTTCAGCTCTGTTTACATCGGCTCTTGCCAAATTGTGGAAATTTGCGTTGTTGTGAAGGGTTAAAGCCACCTGTGAATCCCCTCGCGAACTATGTTCAGCTGCTTTCTTTACGATTAAATTATTGGGTAAGATCCCAGAAAAAAATTCTTTGGAAGCCTCTCGGTCGCCTCGTGTTGTGAAGTTGACATTACTTCCGGTGTACTTCTTGTCACTTTGGTGTGGCAGAATAGAAGTAAGATTCAGCACTGTTAGAAATGTGTTCATGATAGAGCATGTTGTGCTTATCTGTGTAGAATGTTTATTTGTCTAAATTGCCATGCAGATCGAACGGAATACTGCTGCCACTACTCCTTTGAGAATAAAGAAAAGATATAAAAATCGATGCACTGTTCCGTTAATCATTTTTCTTATTTTTTCACGTACGTCAACTATGAAGGATTATCTCATGCTTCTAGGAGATAGTTGAGCTCAATTCTATTGGAGTTTATTTCTGGTGTTTACGTTAATCATCTTGTTTTTTTTAATCAGGAGCATCAGGTGGCATTGGGGCTGAAACTGCAAGAGTTCTTGCACTTCGTGGTGTTCATGTAATTATGGCTGTGAGAAATTTGTCTTCTGGTGCAAATGTCAAAGAATTAATTCTCAAGGAGACCCCTACTGCAAAAGTTGATGTTTTGGAGCTAGACCTCAGCTCTTTCGCATCTGTGAGGAAATTTGCCTCAGAATTCCTCTTGTTGAATCTACCGCTCAACATTCTCATGTAAGATAACTTCCTTAGAGTTCGCATCACTCTTCATCTCTTTAGAATATTGTCAAACGTAGACTGGTTCATTTCATCATCACCATCGGAAATGTTTAATAATTTATTTGATCTTTGTCTGAAGTAACAATGCAGGAATTATGGCGAGTCCTTTTTTACTCTCAGTGGACGGTTTAGAATTGCAGTTTGCGACGAACCATGTTGGTATGCATTTATTATTCTGTCGCAGTCGACTTTTTTATGCTCGGCCTGTGGGGTATTTTTAGACAGGTTACATATCAGCAGTCCGATTGAGAGTTTTTTTTTCTAAATAACCATGACCCGCTAGTTATTTTCTCCTTTTTTTCTCAAGTAATAGGAAAAAGATCAGTAAGAATCACAACAAAGGTTTATGAAGGGCTCAGATGGCCATCGTTAGATAACATTTTGAATTTTTTCATTGTTCTCCTTTTACGAAGTTCAAACCTTTCGAAGAAGAAAGATTTTCATTACTCTCCCCTCTGGTCCGTGATTCTAAACTGGGCAAGCCATCATTGTTCTAGCCCATACCTGCCTTCTAGGGGAAGCGGTCCAATGGCATCATCCTGCAAATTTATTACCCCCAAACATTCTTGGGCTTGGGGTATATGTGACTCTCCACTGTGTGACAATATATGTTAGGGGGATTACCCATTTAGGATCTGGCTATTCATGGAAGGTGTTAGAGATCGTGGGTTAGAATTCTGATGCTTTCTAAGGGAATTTTCCAATAGTGGGCTAGGGATCTCATAAGTGCCTTCTCAGATGAACGGAGAGTATCATAGGGAAGAAAACAGGTGGTGATGTCATTTCATGCTATTGATGGTCTTGCTGAAATTCCGAAGGAACTCAAGGAGCACGATATTTAACCAAGTGTTACGCAGAACAAGTCTTCTATATTAGGCTTTACTTCTATTTTTCCTTTCTGTCCTATTATTAGATGTATTTTCCCTTTTTCGTGTTCCCATTATTAGACCTTTCCGTAATACCGGAAAGGTTTATTAGACGCCAATATAAATACTGGTGTACTGCCCTGAGAAGGGCTAAGTCAGTTTTTCCCTTTCTTGCTTCTGCTGTATCTCGTAACACCAAGTGCTAGATATGATCTTTTCGTAGTTTCTGTGAAGTAATGAATGATATTTCTTGGGTATGGATGTTTTTATCAAAGTAAAGTGTTTGGTCATGGATGTTTCTAATAAAAGAAGAATTCCCTGTTAAAAGCTAGAAGTTTCCATCCACTTTCAGAGAAACAAGCTGTAAGTTTCTAATTTACTAGATTGTCAGCTCTTGTAAATAGATCTACAAGGAACATAGAATCTATCACAAGTTGGGAGAAGCTGTTTCTTCTAGAAAGAAGAAAATAAAATTTGATAATCCTATTGTTTTGCGCAAAAAATGTGCTTGTAATTAGTGCTAAGAATTTTCCCTTATTGTTTATTATAGAAACATGATTATGAAGACAGGGTAGGTCTTACTTGGATGACACCAAGACGCTGACATGATTACTCTTTCGTTAGACGTAGTGTCATTTATGTCGTCTGCATAACAAAAGTCAAAACATTAGCTCGCGTATGAGTGGGAGTGTTAAAAGTAGTCACTCATTTTTCATCATAGAAATAAACCCATGATTGTAAAGATGGTCGACTGTAGCTAATTGGTTTTGAGTTTGACTTTTTGATATCTCTAATACGTCACATATCATAAAACAAAGTGTTCAGGTTGTAGTTTTTAGATAATATTTTGGTCAGTAAATTATGGAGAGAGAGATGAGATTTGCAATTTTTTTCAGGCCATTTTCTCTTGACTAATCTTCTATTGGAGAATATGGAAAGTACATCTCGTAATTCCAGTATTGAAGGAAGAATTGTGAATGTTTCATCTGAGGCACATAAATTTGCATACTCTGGAGGAGTTCGATTTGATAAGATCAACGATCCATCAGGGTATAACTCTGTTAGCCTGTTTTCTGGTTCATATATTTATATTTGTACGGATGAAGACCTCGAGAAACATCACTATTATTCGATTTTTACAGATTTAACACAATATGCGCTTATGGTCAATCAAAGCTTGCCAATATATTACATGCAAATGAGCTTTCCCGTCGCTTCAAGGTATTTTTTGTGGGCTTCTTTCGTTGCCTGAAAATCAGATAATTTTCGCCTATTAACGAGGTGCTCATTGATGTTCAACTTCAACACTAGTCACATTGAGTGTCTTCTGTTCAGCGAGGTTCCTTGTTTTGCTATTGAGGATAATTTTCCTGTACTCAGTAACCTAGAATTATCGAGTTAAGATATCCTGCCGCTGAACCTGCTAGTCGGATAAAATGTTGTTTTTAGCACTGGTTTTAATATATGCAGGAAAGGGGGACGAAGATAACTGCTAATTCTCTACATCCCGGGACGATCTTCACAAATCTTCTAAGATATCATAGTTTTGTTGACTGTAAGATGACTCGCTCTTTCTTTCTTTCTTATTTATACGATCAACTTCTATAATAGTCCTTTTTCCCTTCTTTATATTAGTAGAACCGTGGATCCCACTTAACATATGAAGCTGAAGGGAAAAACATACCCATGTCAGAAATGGTGATTTCCGAGGGAAACCTTTCGTAACCATAGAGATGTTTAAAATTGTGATGTCTTAGAATGTCTTTCATTGGCATCTTTGATTGCACTTCACATTTAAAATTCTATATATTATACTTTCGTGATTTGATTTTATAGAACATAATGGGTCTCTGGTATTTGAATCTGGTTTGATGTTTGTCTCCGACGCTGATGAAGTATTTATGCTCTGAACTGGCAACCGGTATGGAAGACACTTGGAACCCAGTTCTGGAGTTGGTTCATGGCTATGTAGAGTCCGCTATCGGAGACAATTGAATCTAGATATTTAGAAGAAACTTTTGCACATCTGCAAAAGTATGGTGACCCAGAAAGATACGATTTTTCAATTGTTATCCAGTACTATAAATTATACAGCAGATGGAGAACATGCCGCAGAAAAGCCGACTTTTTGCCTTGTCTTTGAGAAACCTGTAAAATATCATTAAATATTAGCTTAATTTCCTCCTCCGTTCTGGTAGACGACAAACATAACAAGTCCTAGCAAACGGAGAGCGGATACAGATGATGATCAAATGATACATTTCAAGTTTTTTTCAGCTTGGTTCGTGCTGCAACCGATTTACTATTGTTTTGATATTTCTTCTTTACTACTCTGTCACTTTCAAATTTCGGATTGACTTGGTATGAGTATCTCATCCGTTCTACACATTTTGTTGAAAAATGAAAACAAGTTCTCCTTTGCTGACGACTTCTTCAGGATCATTAATTATGGTTAAAATCTAATGAGTCAGGCGAGATGAAACGGGGATGCACATGCCTAATGATTAGCTGAGAGAAAATTTGTGCCTATTTCTTCCTGTACAGGGGAAGATGAATCAAGATGAGGCGTGACTAGTCAATTCCTGAATTGGAAAGAATCCATTCTTCAACATAGTTTGGCTCAGATTTTATTTGACCAATCTCAGATTGTGCTGTTCTAATTATTCCTACACTGAGCAGTCCTATACGGATTTTTAATTGTTTACTTAATTCGCTATTTGGAAGAATGAGCACTTGCTTCCCCAGATACTATTCATGGGCTAATATAGAAGAAATTTCTGTTTCAGTACTTGTGAGGAAAATAGGGCGGTTGGTGCTCAAGAATGTTCAGCAGGTGAGCCAAAATCCTACTGTGAAATTATATTCGGAGCATATTAGAAACACATTTTTCCTCGAAATCTTCAAGCAAACAACTCCGAATGATCCGATTTAGTTGATTCATGGACTCGTGTCATTTCATGGGCTGCCTCCGGGGAGCCCCCTGCTTATATCTCTGGGTTTCTTTCAACAGGGGGCTGCAACAACATGCTACGTTGCGTTGAATCCCCAGGTCCAGGGAGTCAGCGGAAAATACTTTGAAAACAGCAACTTAGCCTCCCCGAATGCCAAAGCTACAGACCCCGATTTGGCAAAAAAGCTTTGGGATTTCAGCATGGCCTTGGTCGGCTGAGCCCGGGGACCTCTCGCGGCTATATCTCTGCCCATCTGCAGTTCCCTGGAGTTTTGGGAAACTATGTCTGATAACTCTGAAACTTTGGGTGTTTAAAAAAATTCCCATACGTAGACGAAGATGGCATCATTCGTGCGAGTGTGTATGAGGATCTCTTGGGTATTCAGTGGAACCATGGCTCTCCCTGTTGTGTATGAGGACGATATGCTGTGCATCAGGTGGTAGTAGGTTGACCTCATCATCTATACCCTGCAGAAGTTGTCTTTTATACCTGAGCTCGTTATAATTTGCTACACGACTAGCTCCCTTATCCTCGACTAAACCCACCACCAGGAGCTTCGCCCGCCGCCGCCGCCCCCGCCGCTAGGTCCCGGCGGTCTACGTTCACCAGGAGCCCTTGCTTCATGAACAGGATGAGCGACATCTTCTGTTCCACCCGGTGGCCGGGGACCAGGACGAGGCGGTGGCGGAGCAGCACGGCGGCGGCGATGGACTTCATCTGCAGGTACGCCAGGTCCTTCCCCAGGCAGACCCTCGGGCCGCCGTTGAACGCCACGAACTTGAACGACTCCGCCGCCTCGAACGTCTTCCCGTCCGCCGCCAGCCACCTCTCCGGTCGAAAGTCCATGCAATCACAACCCCACACTGACTTCATCCTCCCGGCGGCGTAGATGGAGTAGGTCACCGACGAGCCCCCCGGCACGAAAGTCCCGTCGGGGAGCACGTCGTCCTCCGCCGCCTGCTTCGAGTCCTCCGGCACCGAAGGGTACAGCCGCAGCGTCTCCGTCAGCGCCGCCTTTAGGTACACCAGCTGGTCAGCTTCCTCGTACCCCAGCGGCGCGTCAAACCACCGCGCGACGTCCCCGCCGCGGGTCTCCCGGAGGACGCTGCACATCTCCGCCACGATCTTCTCCTCCACGGCGGGGTGCCGGATGACGAGCCAGAAGAACCAGCAAAGCGCCGCCGAGGAGGTATCGCGGCCGGCGAGGATGAAGTTGAGGGCGACCTGCCGGAGGAAGTCGTCGGAGTAGTCGCTCTTCTTGATGAACCGCGATAGGAGGTTGTCGTCGCCATGGCGGGCCAGCTCCAGCTTCCGCGCTGCCACCACCTCGGAGAGGTACTCGTGGATGAGGCCCAGGCTGTCGGTCAAGCGCGCCTCCATTCCCAGCCGCAGGCGCCGCCGGAGCTTCCACAGGAACTCAGGGAGGATGAAACGGTGCAGGGAGGCTTCCGTGGCCTGGTCGAAGGCGGTGGCGAATCGGTTCTCGGGGAGAGCGGCGGAGAGAGTCTCCGGGTCCCTGCCGAAGGTGAGCCCGCAGATGTTGTCGAAGGTGAGGCGGAGGAGGAGGTCCTGGAGGTCCACGGCGGAGCCGGCGGCGCGGGCCGAGTCGAGGATGGGGCAGAGCCGGAGCTCGATGGCGCGGGACACCCACCGGGCCATGGCCTGGCGGAGGGTGCGGGTGGTGAACTCCAGCGCCGCCGTCTTCCGCTGGAACCGCCATGTCTCGCCGTCGGAGTTGAAGATGCCGTCGCCGAGGAGGTCGTGGAAGGCGGCGTGCCAAGACGGGCCCTTTGGGTAGTTATCGAAGCGGAGCTTGAGGATGTGCTCCAGGTTTCTGGGGTCGCAGGTCACGGTGACGAGGCCCTGCCGCCGTGCCATCCCGGGCACGGCGCAGACGCAGGTCTGGTACGTGCCGCCGCTGGCGCGGAGGTTCTCGGTGATCCAGTCGTGCAAGCGGTGGTAGTTTTCGACCAGTCCGGGGAGGCTGCCGAGGAGGGGCCACACCCTGGGCCCTCTCAGCCTGCGGGACATGCCGATGAACCAGACCATGTACGCCGCCGCTGGCAGGAGCATCAGCACCGCCGTGAAGGTCTCCATGCCGCCGCTGTGCCGGGAGAGAAGAATGAGCAGAAACACTTTCACTGTGCCCGGTTGCCCCGGTTGCCCCGGTGGAGACGAGGGAGAAAGAGTTTCTATCGGCCGGTGAGGGTTGGTTTGGGACTGGTAGAGAGAGAGGGGAGAGAGAGAGCAGGTGTATGGACGGGATGCCTTCAAGGAGAGCCAGCAGAGGTGTCAGCGAAGACCGCTCTGAAGCATTCAACTCCAGGTACACCCCTGCATCTCACCATCCAATCTTCATGGCCCCCCTCGCGCTCTGCACCTCTGTTCTCACCATCCTTCTCTCTCTCTTTCTGCGAGTAAGCTGGTCCTCTCTCTTTCTCTCTCTCTCTCTCTCTCTAACCCATCTTCCTCCACATAAATGTCACACCCCACGAGAGGGCGGAAGCAGCCATTAAAAGGTGGGAGAGGCCTTGGGGAAGGAGAACCGGGGACCCCCCTAGTCGACTTCGTATGAATCCTGGTATCTTATCCGCACCGTATGAAACGAGGAGGAAGAAGGAAGTCTGCCTTCCCTCTCCGCCCCCCACCCCACCGAAGTTAGCGAGGCGGTTGTTTCGTCCGCCTCGCCAACCCCCACCAAACCCTGCTCGGCTCCGGCGACGTCGCCGCTGAAACAAATGTCAAGGATGATGTAACGTAGATGGCCCGCCAAGAACCTACTCCAGGTTGTGTGGGCCGCTCACGTCAAACTGGCAGCTCCCCCACCTCTGGTCATTAGTCAGCCCTCTGTTTCGCTCTAGTATGAGATCACTTTTAATACTTTGTGCGCCTGTGTTCACTCTCTCTCTCTCTACTATTTCCGGTAGGTATGAATAATATTCATGGCTTAGGTGCCGTCTTTCATCCAGTTTGACTTGATTTTGGGCCCGGAGAGGAGAGCGAAAAATGGGCTTTGAGCCAGACCATTATGAAGCCCACCAGCCCGTCACCCCCTTCTCCACCTCTCGGAGAGTGATGAAGGGCGGAGATGACGCCACGTGAGAGTTGGGCACGCATCTCTTAAATTGTAAGAAGAGAACGAGTCGGGCACGTGCGAACCGCGCGTGGTCCGATGTGTCTGTTCTTTATCGGATTTTAATCGGATCCGTTCCGATGGAGTCGAATGAGAAAAGATCTGTTTTCTGGGATCACGGGCCAGTGATGATATCCGCGTCACGTTTTTCATATAAACCCTCCTCTTTATGGAAAGTTGAGATCGAATCTGATTTCTTTTTTACCCCCCTTTTTCTCGTCGAAGCTCGGAAGCTAACGGGTTGCCTTAATGACTTGGCAGCAGCTTACTTAACAGTCAACGAGGTTAGCGGTGATACGATCAACAGTTAGTCTCGTGGATGGCCATACGAGAGCGGTGACCGGATTCCTGATCGGGTCAGCCGCCCTCGCTCTCTCACGCACTGTCTCGAGCACACACCCTCTCTAACCGACGAAACGCCAAAACGGCGTGAAAGAGGGAGAGAGAAAACAGATAGTGATGGGGTCGATTCGAAACGGAGAGAGCGACGGAGAGAAGGAGAGGAGAAGAGAGAGAGGGAGAGAGAGAACGAGGAGACGGAGGCCCCCCTTGACAATGCAACCTGGCCTACTTCTCTCCCGTCTTCCACATGCCTCTAGCTGAGCTCACAAGGCAGCTAATGCCCCTGGTTCCTTTCTCCACTTCTGTCACTGTGAAGACAGCTGGATCTCCGCCGATTCCCGGAGGTCTGGACGGGGGAGGAAATTAGGGGAGGGGGGAAGGAGAGGAGTTAAGTGGGGGAGGATGTTCAAGTTGAACAGGCACAGGCCTGGGAAAGCAGGGGATAACATCGAATTCAAGTTCTCCCATCTCCAGGTTTCTCAGGTAATTTCACGTATATAGGAACGAGGCTTCATGCCTAGGCTACGAATTTCTGACGCGAAATTCCGAAAACAAATTTTATGTTTGGGTTTTCTCGTGGTTTTTCTCTCGAGACTACAGTGCCGTCAATGCTGGGGGTTTCTTCTTCTTTCCAATTGTTACTTCTACTCCCGGGCTTGGATGGGTTCCCTGGTCGTCTTCTCCTTTTATTTATTTTACGCTCTGTCCGGTGAGTTCTGTTCTTTCAATGAACTTGAGAAATTTGGTGACCTTGATCATGTTCAAAGCACTGGCCATTTTTGGAAGACAAAATGTAAGTAAAACACAAGAATCTTTGCCGCTTTTTCTTTTGATTACATTCCATCGTGATCAGACGAAACACATTGTTGAGTTCTGAGAAGCGAATCTCTTTCTTTGGTGATAGATTCGTTGTCTCTCTCCCATTCCTATTAATCTACCATGTATAATATATAATGGGTTGATTAATTGTACCAGGTTCCGAAAGGATGGGATAAACTGTTTATTTCTCTCGTCTCTGTGGCAAGTGGAAAGACTATTGGGAAGACTAGCAAAGCTCTGGTGCGCAATGGAAAATGCCAATGGACTGAGGTTTTCTCAGAATGCAAATGTTTGCCTCAATATTATTCTCCAAAAGAGCTCGAAGACTGTATCTTCAAGTTTGTTGTTTCTATGGTCTGAACACAAAATCCTCTGATATCTGATGTATGCTGCCAATGCTCCCTGGCTTCACGAGTTTAATCATGCCGATCGGTGTTTGGCTGTAGGGTTCAACAAGGACTAGTATTCTTGGAGAGGCCACCTTGAATCTATCAGATCATATTACTCCAAGAGATGCTGTTCCCGTCTCTTTACCATTAACAAAATTCAGTGAGGGTGCAATTTTGCTGGTAATACTATGTTTTAATGGAATGTCTCTTATTTTGATTTCTGTTAGATTTTCTTGTCTAATCATGACCACTTCACAACAATCACGCAATATTATACATATTATACATTCTACCTCTCTGTCTCTTGACATCCACTGAATTTTGGCTTTCTTAGTTGCTGATTTTTTTTAATAGTATGGACATAATTTACAAAGCCAGTTGGCCGGCTGTCCAGGAACCTTGTGGTGATTGTTCTTTCCTTTGTGATTTTCAGCTCAGTGTTGAATGCATCACTCCGATAATGAAATTCAGGTTCTTTATTCTCTGAAGGTTCCACGATGAAACTTAAATTATGTGTATTATTCCTTTTATTTTATTATTTTATTCCATTACATTTCTCAGGGATGGAAGACAGTGGAGAGAGACAACCTTCCGCCATGAACGTATGAATATTGACACTGATAACATGGACGATAAATCAGATGAATCTGATGTTGTGCTAAATAGGAGCATTGGATCTTCTTCTAGCAACCACATGATTGGCAGCCCTTATCCAGATGAGCTTGGTCATAAGGTGGGATTCTCTCCTGTCCAATTAACAGTACTGTTTCCCTAGAAAAAGATTTCGAATTCGCTACAAGCCTTTACTTAATTGTTTTAACTAGGATTAGCAGATGAATCACAGAAACTTACATTTCTCATGTTCTTCCTCGGCTATCTGTGGAAGTCGTGACCCTTTATTTTGGTTTCATTCAGCTTTGAAGCCGTGTATCATTTCCACATCTGAGAAAAATATTCTACCCAAAAATTAAGTTCATGATCATCCAAAATTGCTGTCGCAAGTCGTAACCCATCCTATGACCTTCTTGGGATATCTGCACCATCCAAATAATGCTGATCTGGCTGTTCCTTGCTTCTTGAAAAATAATGAGTTGGAAAAACCGTACGTTGAATTCATTGAGTTTTATGGTAAAAACATATGCTTCCATTTTACTCACAATTATTTGATTTAGAATTAAATGACCTGATTCCATCTCAATGTACCAGACCGTTAGATATTTCTTGGTCAATGCACTCCATTTGTGCTGTCTACATGGTAGAGTAATCCGAAAGCCGGTCTGCTCGTGACAAGGGATGCTATAATGATCTGATATCAAGTGAGTCATAATCTGAGACTAAATCTTTGTGCCTAATCCTCTGGCCGCCAGTTGTTTCTGGGGTGGACAGTCCAATTCTTTCATAAGAGTTTCTCAGTAATGTCGTAGATTAGCTTAATGGTTTCAGTTTCACGAGGGTTTCTCTATCACCTAGGAAAAATTGAGCATTTTTGAAGAAAACTTTCATGATTTTTTAGCTTATCTGGTTAGTCACATGCAACTAGACTCTGAAACGAAGACACTGTTTGCTTTATTTCATAATGCTTCTCCCCACGGCTCATATTGTTCTACACGGCATCATCATCTAGTATCATAATATTATGCTGTGACTAATTAGTGGGGTGATATTATGCACATACTCTTTGTTAAAACCTTGTTCTTCAAGTTCAATGAACAAAAAGAATGGTCCATTAATGGATTTCACACTCAGAAGTGTGGATTTTACACACTGTGTTCTTCTTTCTTCAGGACATGAATCTCTCAGCATCAGGTTCCCATCGAAGCTCGGACTCAGGAGAGAGTTTCATAGGGAGGACAAAACTTTCTCCCATGAACAGTCAGAGTGGAGCGTATTCTCAAATTCTGAGGCAAGACTCCTCTGGCTCTCAATGCAGCTCTGCTTGTGCTGCCACAGAGGATGCTTCCAGATCAACTTCTTCGCTCTTAAACTCAAAGGGGGCTGGCCCAAATCGTTGGCAAGATCGAAATGGAGATCCTTCAAAGGAACTCCTCGAGGCTGCCCAAGAAACAATCGAGGAGCTCCGAGGAGAGGCCAGGTTGTGGGAGAGGAATGCGCGGAAGCTGAAGGCTGATCTTGAAGCACTGAGGAAAGAATCCAGCGATCAATCAAGGCATCAGGAAGATGTTGAGATGGGGCTCAAAGATGCCCACATGGAAATAGACAACCTGAAGTCGGAGATTGAACGGCTGAGGTCATCAATGAAGGACTTCCAGGCAACAGAGGCTGTTTCGAGGTCTAAATTTCTCCAAGAAGGTCAGATCCACAGGCAGAAGGAGCTGGAGGACGAGCTGAGATTTCACAAGGAATCTAATGCCAGTTTATCTCTGCAGTTAAAGAAAACTCAGGAGTCCAACCTTGAACTGGTTTCCATTCTCCAGGAGCTAGAAGACACCATTGAGAAGCAGAGGCTGGAGATTACAAGCTTCTCCGAGGGAACGTTTGGGCGTAAGAGATCCTCAGAAGATGAACACATGGTAGATTTGGCGAAGAAATCACCTGATTTCGAAGATCCTCGGGGCACGAGTCAAGGATCCGGCAGCGGAAATGCCCCAGACCTCACAAGAGAGATAAATACTTTAAAGGCTAAAATTCAGGAGCTGGAAAGGGAGTGTACTGAACTTACTGAAGAAAACCTTGGACTTATGATCAAGATGAAGGAACCAAAGAAGGATATTGTCAAAAACGAAATCTCTCTTGGGTGTACACCTCAGATATTTCTTGGTAAATTTTCTTCCAGCGATCCTGGATCAGACATTTTTCAATATATGACAAAAGTGCATCAGGCGGCAGAGGGGTTGGTGAGCAAGGAGGTCGGAGCTGGGCCCCCCAGTGAACCCTCTGTCATCCTATTCAAAGACCTTGAGAAGAAATGTGCTGATCTTGAGGTTGAACTGCAGGAATTTAAAGACACAGCTTCCAATCTCAGCGCAAAATTATGTGAGAGTCAAAAGGAGGTGGAGAAGAAAAGTCTTGAATTGAACGATATTAGAAAAAAGATGAAAGAGTATGGACAGCAAGATTGCTTTTCAGAAATCTCGACTGTATTACCCGCAATATATGATCAAGTGCGCCTCTCTCTATTGCATATGAGAAGCTTTCCACTGTCAAATATAAATACAGAAACTGAACTTAGTCTCGACTTAATTCCCTGCGACATAGATTCGGTCAGTCAGAAAGATCAGGAAGAGATCATTATGAGAAGCTTAAGTCTGTTGAGTAATCTACTGGAGACAAAAAATTGTCAATGCAAAGACATGTTTCAAGGTGGAAACTTAGAGATCGGACAAAAAAATAAGAGTTCATGGGAAACCCACGGGCAGATAAAAGGCTGTGTATCAAATGAAGAAGAAGGAAGCTTCACAAGGGAGCTCGAGTCCGGAAGTAGGCACCTCAATGTGGATCTACTGGGTTGCATGTCCGACATGGAAGAAATGAAAGCCAGAATCTCATTGAAAGAAGGTGAGATTGACATTCAAAGTCGTACGAAACAGGAATTGGAAGATCTGTTTTCTGGTATTCAAGACGAGAAAAGTAAATTGGTGGAAGATTTGGGAATCGCACTGACAGATAATAATATTTCTTCTAAATGCTTGGAAGATATGAATAAGGAGATTCAGAAACTCAACACCAGCATGGATTCACATATATTGGCTAAAAAATTACTTGAAAGGAAGTCACAAGAGCTTGAAAAGGGCAAGCATGAACTAGAACTCCATATAACAGAGCTGGAAAAGGAAAATGTAGGGCTATCCGAACGTATATCTGGCCTGGAAGCCCAGTTACGTTATTTGACAAATGCCAAGGAGTCTAGTAGATTGGAGTTGGAGAACTCTAGACATCTTGTGATGAACCTCAGGGATGAGATTCAGACCTTGGGCACTGATATGGAGAAAGAAAAAGAGGAGCTACATCAAAAGTTGCAAGCTGCACAAGGACGGTTGACAGAGGCAGTAGAAGAGACAGAGTATCTAAAGAGATCTCATTCCAAATTACAAGTAACAGTTGAAAGCCTCATTGAAGAATGTAGTTCCCTACAAAGATTAACCAGCGACTTGAAAAAGCAGAAACTGGAGTTGCACGATCATTCTACCCTCCTAGAGGTCCAATTGAACGAATCCGAAAAAAAGAATGCCGATTTCAGTAATAAACTTGAGATATTTGAGACGAAACTTTCAATGCTGCAGAAAGACGCTAGTTTTAAGGAAAGATCACTCCTTTCTGAAGTGGAGACTATGTTTCAAAAGCAGAAGGAACATGAAGAGAAGCTCAGCCAAGCAAATGACCTACTAAATCAGATGGAACTTGAAAAGGGAGCCGAACTAGAGAACCTCAAGCGGGAGATCGCACACTTGACTGCGCAGCTATCTTTGAATCATAATGAAGACGAAACAGTTACTTCAGATGGTATAGAAGTGTCCGAATTGCGAGCAGATAAAGTGAAATTGGAAAACAGTCTTCAAGAGATCCAATCTAAGGCTAAATCATATGAAATGCAGATACAAAGTATCAGGCAAGAGTTTGGCAGTAACACACAGAGTTTGATTGGTCTTCTCAATGCATCGAAGGAGAGTGAAGACATGTTGATGGCTGACATTGGGCATATGAAGAGGCAAATGGAGAAGATGAAGTCTGAGGAAGAAAAGGTTAAAAAGTTAGCCAATGAGCTTGAGTTGAAGCTTAAATCATCTGAATATGAGAAGCAGCAGCTACTAGAGGAGGTCTCCAATCTGAAGGTTCAGCTGACGAAGATAACCCAGCTTCAAGATGAAGTGACAGTCCTGAAGGGCTCCCTTGATGAAGAAAAGTTTAAAAAGACTAAACTAGAACAATCGCTGCATGTGATATCTGAAGAGTGCGAGAAATTAAAAGCGGAGAACAGTTCATGCAAGGAGAAGATTTCTACGATGCAGAAAGCCTTATTTGGTCTGGAAGGTGATAGGCGTACCAGGGTTGCCTTGGAAGAAAAGCTTTTGAGATTAGAATGCGATCTAAATGCAAAGGAAGCGTTGCATGCTCAAGAAATGGAGCTGAAGAACGAACTAAGCCGGATGAAGAGATCAAACAGCCAGTATCAACGAAAGATGCAGTGCATTGAGGAAGAAAGGGATGAACTCACCAGAAAAGTCCAAGTGCTTGAGAAGGATCTCAGATCAAACAAAACTGAGAGTGAAGACGGAGAAAGGCTTCCAGCTGTGGTAGGCATCAAATGCTGTTCTGTATTCGACGTAATTATGCAAATTATTCATGAGAAGCAGAGTACCGAGCTTTTGCTTCTTTAATATTCGAGATGTTTTTCGTCTATTGCATGGTTATTGAATCTAAATCTCAATCTAGGATCACAGTCACCATCAGTGTTATTGCAGCTTTTTGCATGGCCAAGCGATAGAGTGAATCATTCAATCTTATTGATCTTTTACCATCTTCAGGCCGATAAAAGTCTACCCCATAATATGGAGAGGTCACAGAGTGTGAACATGGATGATCTGCAGGCAAAGATCATCCCCCTTCAAACTGAACTTGCCGAGGCTTTGGAGACGAATAACGTGTATAAAGAGCAACTCAAACGGTAAGTTCTAAATATGAACCATAATATGATTCCCACTCCATACATCTTGAGATCGTATACGCTTCACGCCAGATGACTAATCTATTGACGTAATGCGGTCGTGTAGACTCCTCGCCGAGAAAGAAGCCAACGCTGAGAACGCATCCAAGAATTCTGCAGCAGAAGCCGCGCAAGTCGGAGGGCGCGACGACCGGCTCGAGACCGAGTTGAAGGAGATGCGTGAGCGTTACCTTCAGATGAGCCTCCGATACGCAGAGGTCGAGGCTCAGAGAGAAGACCTGGTGATGAAGCTCAAGTCTACCAAGAAAGAGAAGAGGTGGTTCTCCTGAAACCTTCCCGCCAAAAGGATCCCAGCCCTGTGGTCCACTGAGTAAATAAAGCCACCAGATCTGCGCAAGCAACAGCAGCATCTCCTTGGGCCGGGGAAGCCGGAATTCCAGCTTTACGGCCCATTTATGCCCAAATCTTACGTGACGACAGTTCCCAGTCAGCCGGAATAACGAGCCCAAGAGCGAGGAAAGAGAAGAGACAGATGAGCCCACTGTCGCCGGCCCAGTAAGACCCCGGAGGTAGCCCAGAATTGGTGCTTCTGTCGGTAGGCCTATTAGAGAGCCCGCAGCCCAATTCGGCGCCACCAACAACCACCCGGTCGCGACTTCCCTCCTAATACCTGGTAGCACCCGCTTAGCGGTCACTGCTCGTTTGGGGCATGAGGGAGAAAAAGCATCTTTCAACGCCCCTCTCTCTCTCTCTCTCTCTCTAAGATGCGTATTCGGAATAGCGACGATCACGGCCGTCGAAGTTATTCGGGTCGGCCACGAATTGTCGATGCGCAAATAATTGCAAAAAATATGGGGAAATGGATCGGTTTATATAATTCGGTTGGCGCTACCAGATAGGGGCGGAAATTCCACGTGGCGATCTTGGTGGCTTTTCATGAAATATGACGTGGAAGTGAAGGCACCCCCACCTACGGCCCCAGTTTTCCTGCTTCTTCTTCTACCTCTCTCTTCTCCCGCCCCTTCCCTTCCCTCTGAAGTCGCCGTTCATCCGTCCCTGGGTCAACAGCGACGCGACAGTTTCTCTCTCAGCCGTGACGATCTCTGTCATAAAAGGAAACCTCCATGTCCCCTCCATCTCTCTCTCTTTCTCTCGCTTTCTCTCTCTTGCTCGCTCGCTCGCCCCCTGTGCGGCGTATGCCGCCGGTCTCCTCCGCGTTTCCCCTGCTACAACGCCCGTTTTGATTAGGTTTTCAGCGCCGCGCCCTACCCGATTTTTTCCCCTTACCTGCTTCCCCAAATTCGCTCTCTTTCCAGCCGGGCGCGAGTTTCCAGCTTGCGCTTGTAGGGCACAAATGTCTATGTCGATCTTGCTGCGCCACAGACGCCACAATCACCTAGGGTTTTCGTTCGTCACAACTTAGCGCGGAACGCGGTGTTTGGATTAGCTTCAAGGGCCTCGGCCCATGACGGAATTTCGCCAGAAACAAGGGGATGCAGCGGCGACTGTCCCCGGCGCCGATTTCCGCCGGGGACTGGAGGAGCTTGTCAGGGATCATCTTGATGGCTGCATGAGCGCTGCCCTCGCGTCGTGCTCCACTGCACACGATGAGGAGGACGACGATGACTCGGCTTCCGTCGACGGACCTGACCAGCTTATCCGCCGGCGACGACGCTCGGACCTGGAGGGGGAAGACCTGGCGGAGACGTCCGCTGCACGGCGCCGTCACTCCAGAATCCTCAGCCGATGGGTCGCCCGCCAAGCCGAGGAGATGATAACCACTATCGAGAGGCGGAATCGTGAGTCCGAGCTCATGGCGCTTGCAGGCCTCCACACGGTCTCCATGCTGGTATCATCATTCCTCAGGGATTCTCGGCGGACTACCCCAACGGGCGGTGCGGGCGAGGTCACGGATGCGGAACGACCGACTGCTACTCGCCCGTCTTCAGTTTTGCAAAGGTGGAGAGAGCTTGAGGGTGAGTCTGGGGGGAGGCAGCCGCAGAGGGAGGTGTCAAACGGTATGGGAAATGGCTCAAGTGAGAGCGACGAAGATGTCTCTCAAATGTCTCACGGGTTGTTGCCCGCTGTTGACAGAGAGATCGAAGAGGAAGAAGGGGAAGGTCCAAGGCCTGGTAGGGAGCAATCGCCTGACCTTGGGGAAGGTGATGGAGAAAGGGTCAGGCAAATTGTGCGAGGCTGGACAGTGGAGAGTGGCACGTCTGAGCCTGGGTCTCGAATCTCTTCTCAGAGGAATGAGAGTCCTAGAGCTGAGTGGCTTGGAGAGACTGAACGTGAGAGAGTAAGGCTCGTGAGAGAGTGGATGCAAATGACAAGTGAGCGGAGGGAAGCACGAGCCGTGAGAAGGGAGGAACGGGATCAAGATAGGGTCGACTACAGAGGGGGTGAATTAGTTGCAGATCGCGAGGACAGCCAACCTGAGAATGTCAGAAGAGAGCCACTAGGACTACGTGGAAGGCAAGCACGGATTGATCTGATTACAAGAATTGCGGCAGAGAGACAAAGGGAACTTCAGGGCTTGTCAGAGCACCGTGCTGTTTCACAGTTTGTTCACCGCAATCGAATTCAGGTCAGTGGCATATTCTTATTTTTGTTGATATAAATTGGCTTTTTACTTGTCAAAAAAAGTTAAACTTGTGCCTAATATTGAGAGAAAATATCCTATAGGAGGAAATCATGTCGAAATATTGAACCATCTGTAAAATGAACATTTAGATTATTTGTCAAATGTTGTGGTTTTGAATTATTCTTTATTTTAATGGGCGAACGTTATTGAACGATGTTTCTGTTGTATCCTCCCTTGAGTTTGTTCTTTTTGAAATATTTGTTTTCTAATTGATGTAACTTTCACTTTGAAATAATAACTTAAAATTAATATATGGAAAAAACCATTAACCATCAGAAAATAGTCTGCTAACAACTCCTCAAACTTCATGTCCTCATTTGGAAGTTGTGGTGATTATACTCTATCATTCTGAGTTTATTCTTAGGTAAATCGATCTGCGTGTTAGCATTTATAAAAAATCTATGGTTGTAATCCCATAATGTTTTTTTTGTCTCCTATGTCGGTCCTACCCAGGAGTAATCAGGAAAATTGTGACCTGTTCATCTAATCTAGTTGATCATCATATCTTATCTGACTGTGTAATTTTGTCTAGTCTCTTCTTAGAGGAAGATTCTTGCGTAGCGGGGCTCCTGCTGAAGGGGGGAGGCCGCCATCTGTGGCAGCTTCAGAATTAGGCCAGCTAAGACAGCGTCATCCAGTCTCTGCTCTGAGGTGCGGAAGCGTTCTTATCATTTTTGCTTTGTGGTACTCTTTTTCTATATTCGTAGTTGATATTCTGAACAGTAATTGTTGGATGCCCTTTGAAGAACATGCGGACATAGTTCAACTGATAAATTATTAATTCTATTTGAGGCCCTTAAATCTGTTTTTTAGTCTTAGCTTTGCAGAATTTCTGCTTCCTGGAAACAGGGTTTGTGCTAATCACCCAACTCTGAGATGACTTTGCCAACTTCAGTACCCTGTCCTTCTCTACATAGTTCCTAACGGGATTTACATTGCAACTCTGCACGTTGAAGAAAATTGGATTCCGTCATCCACTTATTTAAAAAATGATCGTTGAAGTAAATATGTCTGATTATAGAGGTAAAATCTACAGCAAGATGGTTCAATAAAGAATTATTTTATGCTATTTGTGTATTTTATTCAAAAAATAGCTAGAAGATGAGAATGTCTCCCAGTCAGTTAGAAGATACCGTGCTACCATAAGGACACATCAGTTGCTTCTCATTCATAAATGTGGCATATTAGATGAAGTTGTTGGATACTCAATCTGAAAGCACGATTGTAATATTCAAGTGAGCCACTCAAGCCGATATCTCAGTGTACACTTAGGTCTATGAATAAGGTGCATGTCATGCCAACATTTTGAACCTCAGGTCTGATGAGCAAGATGAAACCAGTTGGAATACTATGATGAATGAAGATGAAGATCATAAAATGTTCTTTTCTAATATTTCTATTATGGAAATGGCAGTGGTAGAAACTATACTGCATAAGATCTCCTAAAGCTACTTGAGATGACTAAGATATCCTCAATGAGACCGAAGTACTTATTTCTGTATAATCATTACTAATAAATAAATGCTTTTGAAAGAAAGAGGAAAGCAGAAACAATGTACACGCAATAAGAATGTACATGGAAGCAATGCGGAAAGATATGAGTTATGCATTGTCGAATATGACTAAGATATGTGTTTCAATAATTTTTTTGCATTTTTTTGTTCCCAGCCTCAGCTGATTAAGGTTGGATGAACCATGATGAGAATAGGTAGATACCCTGGCCTGTTTGGTTAAGCTGATTAATCAATGCATTCGGTTCTGATTTCTTAACGAACTAAAGAGGTGCTGTCATGATATCGGGAGAATTTTTTGCCTTCTAGTGTATACATATGATAGCACTTCTTAAGGCAACCTCTCTGTAAGAACCTTGATACAGTTGCCAAATCGTGTATTTTTTCTGTGTCAATCCTACATAGTAATTTCTGTTCGAAGGACATATGCTCCACCCTAGTGTTAGCTACGGAATTAAAGAATCAGTCAAACTGGAGCAAAACCAACTAATCCCATTTACGCCATTTAGATTGGTTTAACTGTGTAAACGCTAGACTTATAATTTCTAGAGTTGGCCCATCAAGCCAGAAGACTAGAAGAAGGTGAAACTGGTTAAAATATTTCAAAATAGTTTAATATATTTTACTCAATCAGAAAGCAGGGGCTGTGCACAGAACAGAACTCACTGGCTCCCGAGATGAACTGGAACAAGAACCGACTGGAATCAGTTTTCTTTTTGAAATCCTGCTGGCTTATTTTTTTGGAACAGATGATATATGATTCACTATCGCTTAGATCTTTCTTGTGGAGGAGACTACATCTTGGTTCTTTTCCTTTTTGAGAAGAGATATTGGACTCCAGTATGTCATGACAATGCTGCAGGTTTATGTTATCCTGAAAGTGGATGATATCTTATCTTGTCTTGTAGATTCGCATCCCAAACCAATCTGTTTCAAGGTTACATTATCTATTCATGTTGTGGACCACTTGGGAAAAACAATTAGACCACTTAGCTAAGCACAAGTCCTTGATATTGTTTGTTATCCTAATTAGGAAATAATTGCTTAATATATGAATTTAATATTGACAGAAGCAACCTGAATGCAGTATTTGAAATTCACTGTTAATTCTTGTGCTACATGATCGCAATATAATTGCCTTCGATTTTATTGTAAGATAGGAATTCATGGAATATAATATTATTTTAACTATTCCAAGATCATTAGATGGAAGATCTTGATTCTAGATTTCATCTTTTTAAAAGGCTTGCGTCAAAGTCTGATAATAATTTAAATGACTTTTTTGTAATAATTTTCTTCAGATTAAACAAACTAAAGCCTTTATCCTATTGAAAAATAATAAACGGGTCAAACTAAATTCAAAGTCGGAATATGACCTTGAGCTAGCAATAATCACCTAACGCACTGCACTTTAACCCTGCCTCATAAAGCACTTATGCTGAATACTAAACACAAAAATCTCATCAATCTAGGCGAAGAAAATATTGTTAAAAGTGTTGAAGTCATGAGTTCCAATTTTAAATGGCTACCCCAGCCTTCAAGAAGCTTATCCAACCATTCTGATAAAAGGGATATTGCATTTAAAGCTTGTAAATCTCATTGTGAGTTATTGTAACGGTTTTATTTCCTGTTTTGATTGTTGTCGATGTTAAGTTTCTAACAATTCAAGATTGCTTGTCACTCCAGCAGATTGCTCTATCAAATTAGCTGGGTTAGTTTGTTTACTAGCACAATGAAACTATTTCAGCCTAGACCGTTGAAATCTAATCTGAATTTTGGTCTTGTCCAACATTTGGGCTTCTGTTTGAAGAGTTCACGTAGCTGGGGCCTAGGAACTTGAAAAAATAACTATGTTCATCTACTTATTTCTTCTTCATTCGTATAATTCGGTGAGTGGCCTAAGTAAACATGAAAATGAAAGAGCATATTCATCCCCCGCCCCTTCTTTCCCTCTTTTCTTGCTCCTTGAACCTATTGGTAGACATTGTATCTTTCAGACCATCGGTAATCCCCCCAACAAGAGAGAGGAAGGGGAGACCTTCAGCTGTGTTGGATGTCTCTGCTTATGAATCTGCTGAGTCCCGTGTGACCAAGCTACCCATCAGTATCTGTCCAGGGAAGCTGACTCTTATTAGGAAGGACATTGACAGGAATCCGAGGTCTAGTTCATGGATTCTATCGAGATTAACTTTCATGAACACTAACCAAACCCAGATCACCTTAATAAACTTAAGTCGCATATGCTTACAGTCGGAATTTTTTCAATTTCCACTGCTAACAAATGAAGAGGAAAGATGATTTCGTTTTTCATACAAGCAAATACTAGAGCCCAGCAGAAGGGAGAGTAGATCCTAACATCTCTGTGCCTATCTATATCTGTTTTACATATTTTCCATGGTGTTCTCTGGATAATCTTTGATGAATAAACTAGCATTGCAATTAGTTCGATTACACTTAATTATCTAGTCTCTTTGACAGGGAAGGCTTTCATTTTAGGTCACAGAACGCTGTTCCTGATCAAACCAGTACATATTCTGATGTTTCACCAACACATATAATTACTAGTACCGCAACTGATCAATCTCAACCAACGGTCCCAGCAGGATCTAGAACTGAAGACTCTGAACAGTCCCAGCATAGAAACGAGGGCAATGTCATGCATCGAGTTTCAGAAGTTGAAAGAAGCATGTTGGAGAGCAGTGTTTCCCAAGATAATATAGCTGTTCAAGGTTCCATGGCTCAAGGAAACTGGCAGGAAGAAATTTCAGAGCGTGAGAGAAGTGACTTGCCGGAATCCACTGAAGTCGGGATCAGTGAATGGCAAGATGGCGCGGGAGGGGAATCGGATGAAAATTGGCAAGCTAACTTAGATCAGAACTGGACTAGGGAAACAGAAGCCAATGACGACGGAGAAGGTAGCCATCTTCCAGCAGACGAGTGGCACGAAGATGACTCCCGGGAGGCTGTTCATGACTGGGATCAGGGGACATCTGATTATTCTAGAAGTCAACTGTCTATCCCTATCAGAAGGGTGAATAGGTTTTTACCTCCGGACGACGACAATGTGTACAGCATGGAACTCAGGGAACTCCATAGCAGGTTTTTATTTGCAAACATTCTGCAATGTCTTCTTGCTCATCAGAATACATTTTTTGTCCTGTTGCTAAATTTTGTGTCATGTCTCCTTCTCTTGCAGGAGAAGCGTTTCGAATCTTCTCCAAAGTAGCTTTCGTGATAATCTTGACCAGCTGATTCAATCACATGTTCGAAGACAAGGCCCCCCTCCAGTTGAACGCAGTCTCCTAAGGAGCATTCCAACTCCTGCTGTACAGGAGGGGCCTCGGGATGCTCAAAGAGTGGAGCTGGATGAGGGTCAGGAGGGTCCTACCACTAGACGCCGTGTTGTCATTCCACCTCCACCTGTGCCTCCTCCTCAGCCGCTTTGGCATCGGGGTTTGCATAGCAGCAGTTGGGCTCGGCACAGCATCCAACGATTGGAAATGGTGAGCATCCTGCTTTTGACTTTCTGCCTTAACTCTCTCATTATGTCATCCTCCGATGACTGAGCTTTCGGAAGAGACTCCATAAATATTTCTAACTTATTATCCAAGTTTTTTTGTTTAGTCTGTCGGTTCTTTTCTCAGATTACTACCCACTTTCTTTGTGTCCAAAATAGCGGGTAACTGCTGTTCTTAGGAATCATGTGATCTTTCTTTTTTTTTTTTTTTTTGTCCAGATATGGCCGCCCTCATTTCATGTGATTTAGACGATTTTTTATCATTTGCAGTAGTCTTATTTTATTTTTAGTGGGAAGGACGATGACTCAATTATTCATCATGGGATTGAGATGTTGAAGCTCTTGGCTAATCAACGATTGGAATTGAGCTGATACATACCGAGTTCTTTAACGTCTTGTCTTCTTTGATCTCACAGTTTCTGGATGTGGTGTTGCGTGGCTGCAGGAATGGGAAATTATTAACGATCTGAGAGCCGATATGGCCAGACTTCAGCAGGGTATGAGTCATATGCAGAGGATGTTAGAGGCTTGCATGGACATGCAATTGGAACTGCAGCGGTCAGTGAGGCAGGAGGTTTCGGCGGCTTTAAATCGCTCTCTTGGAAGAGAAGGTCTGGATACTATTGAGAAAGCATATTAATATTTGATCTCGATTTTCTGTGAATTTTCCTTTAATGCGATTATATTATCAAACTTGAGCAAGTAGAAAACCAGCTCCTATTGGCGTCGACAGAATTTTCAGAAGCCCACAGTGTTTCATTGTCTACTGCCGACAGCTGATGCCGGTGGTTGGAGGGTCAACGCTCCGGGGATTCTCTGGCCGTTTAGTTGTTTATTTCAGTCCAACTCTCTGTGAAACTGTTCATCTTCACTTTTGGAGTACCCCATTAGTCTTCGAAAGATTTTAATACTTTAAAGGCAACTTTGCCGACGTGAGGAGTTGACCTGGAAGCTATTGTTTCAGGAGCGGGGGATGTGCTGACCGGGGACGGATCCAAGTGGACCCACGCGAGGAAGGGAATGTGCTGCATCTGCTGCGACGGCCACATCGATTCTTTGCTGTACAGGTACTGCACATCCTCATTCCCCACGTCATCTTGTTCCGTAAATGAGCATCGTTCGTGTTGACAGCTAACCTCTCCCTCTCTCTCTCTCTGTCTCTCTCTGTCAGATGCGGGCACATGTGCACTTGCTCGAAGTGTGCCAACGAACTGGTACTAGCCGGTGGGAAGTGCCCGTTATGCCGAGCACCGATCGTGGAGGTGATCAGAGCCTACTCTATTTTGTAAAGTCAACGCTGGGCCATAAGACCGGTGGTAAGCGCCTGCTATGCCGAGCACCGATCGTGGAGGTGACCACAGCCTACTCTATTATGTAAAGTCAACGCTGGGCAATAAGACTGGTGGGTGGTGCCCCGACAGCTTCCCTGTCTTCTAGAGGTGGCTGCACACCTGGTTCTTTCCTCCCAATTTGTATTTATTAACACTCCTCTCTGTCTCTCTCTCACTTCCCAATTATTTCGCGAAATACAGACGTTTGACTCGATCGACCTGTGGAATATTCCATTAGTGTTCGTCGTGGGTTTTCTTCCCACGGAGGGCCCAAGGTGAAATTGTTCTTCGTATCTTTCACATTATCCATCACCGCCGCCTTCCTTTATTCTTTCAGAAAAAAAATGACCTTTTATTGCCTAAAATCCTTGAGATTCTCCTTGAAGCATTCCTAACCCATTAATTCATTTTCTAAGAAATATCATCGTATTGTACATAAATTATAAATAATTATACAAAACCGAATATTCAGAAGGCCGGAAGAATCCCCCCCCCACCACCTCTCTCTCTCTCTCTACTGATAGATATACCAGGTGCATGAAGAGGCATGGGCTGGGCCTGGGCTTATAGTGGGCTCGGGGTGGGAGACCAGCCACTCGTGGTGGCTTGTCGCATTCATGAGGTGGGGACCAGGGAAGTCAGGAGGGGAGGAGCCCGGCATTTCTGCGACATTGTAGCGGTTCATTATTGTAGAAGGCAATAGGAAGTTCGGGCCCGCCTCCAACTTGGTTTAACCAAATTACTGGGTTCACAAGAGCGACATGGTGTCCACCTTGCGGTTCGAGAACTAGCGCCGTCTGAATCACGTAAAAAGGGAGTTGCATCAGCGTTAACCGTCGATCTGTAGCGTTGACTATGGAAAAGTACAACCCCCCCCCCCCTCCCCGCCGCCGCCGCCGCCGTATCCATGAAGAACGGAGACTACGAAACGCAGGATCGAATAATCTCCTATACATACTTGGCTCGTCGCACTCTCCTTGCGAAAATAAACAGGAAAACACGTGACTGAGGGTTTCTTCATGCGCGATTACACGTGTTGCGAACCTTCCACATTCCAGAAGGGGCAGCACCTCGTCACACCTCTCTCTCTCTCAGAAGCTATGGCTTCTGCTTATGATGGAAGGGCCTCGATCAGGGGGGAGACGCCAGCTGTCGCTTCTTCCAAGTCTGGCGAGCTCATTCCTCATTTCTCGTCGTTCTTGCCCAGACCCACCTCCCTCCGCCGGGATTCGGACATGGGCATCCGTCTCTCTCGCCCGCTCTAGCTCCGCATCGGCGCCGTTTCCACTGCCCGCCCCATCGTCGTCACCGACGTCTCCGACGCCCACGCGCACCTCCCACTGGGAGCTCATGCCGAAGAGCTCTGTGGAGCGACACAGAGGGCAGGAGCCGTGGCAGATGAGCCAGGAGTCGATGCAACATGGGTGGAAGACGTGACCGCAGCTGGGGATGGCCCTGACGGTCTCCTTCTCCTCGAACGCGCTCAGGCAGACCACACACCCGTCCTGCTCCTTGCCGCTGCCAGAGTAGGAGAGGAGCGGCAGCGCTCGGACGGCCAAAGGGTCCAGGCCGGCAGCGGAGGAGGACGAGGACAGAGCGGGCCATCCGCGGTACGGCGGCAGCTGCGCTCGCCGGGGGCGCTGGTGGGGTTCGCCGGCGTCGTGGTAGTTGGAAGCGAAGAAGCGGCGCGCGTAGACGGAGAAGAACCCCAGGAAGAAGAGGGCCGTGAGGAGGACAAGCACGGTCACCGCCATGGACGATGAGTCAAACTGGACGGGCTCGCGGTCGGGGGAGACCCGCGGCTCATCGGTACCCGCCTGCGTACCGTTGGACGCCGGCCGAGCCGGAGACTCCTGCGACTCATCGAGGAGTCTCCTGTTGCTACCTCTCATGACAACCGAAACCATGCCCCGTTCCCCCTCTCTCTCTTTCCAGTCTCCGCCTTCTCCTGCACGTCGAATCAGGGGCGATCACGGAAAGGGAGGGCAGAAGAGGAGGGTCGGGCATCGGTTGAAGAGAGACAGAGAGGGGTGGGAGTCGAGGGATTTGATGACGTCGCCGTCGCCGCCGCCTTATCCGGCAGTGCCCCCACATGGGACCCACGGGGACTCGGACCCGACGTGCCCCGTCAACCTCCGATTGCACAACCACACCAGAAGATTCACCTTCGCCCGAGTCGCATTCGAGCCCTCTCGCTTTCGAGATCCCGTGGGCTTACCTTCCGTGGGTGGAAACTGTGGGCCGGCGCGTTTCAGCCCATTCCATTTTCTACCCCTCTGGCCCATATACGGATCGGAAGAAGCTAATCCTACACTGAAGAAGCAGCTCTAAAACAAAGCCCATAAGTATAGAAATACGCAGAGATAGATAATATTATTGGGATCAGACAAGGTCGGGAGCTGGTTTAATCATGTTCCAAAATTATATTATAAATTATAATATTTATCTATTAAGAATATCGTACGAATAATTACGTGCGTGGGCCAAAAAATCTCAACTCAGGGCCAAAATTGCACATTCTCTCTCTATCTCTGGCCCTAATCTCCTCGGGCGAGTGCTAAATTATGTGGGCTGGACCGGCCCGTGTTTTCGTACCGATGTGGTTCGGACACCCTGACTTTCCTCAACGGGTTCGGACATCGGGGAAGATTCCCAAGCTTGGGCTGGGCCTCAAGGGGCCCACCCGCCCGGCCCACCGGTGAGAGCGTCGACGAGCCTGATGAGCACGGACAAGGCGAGTCGGACAGAAAAGTTACGTGCCATTTAAGGCTCCAAAACGTGGACAAGATACGCTATGCTACGTGTCTTGAAGAGAGACGAAACGCATCGAAAGGTGGAGAAAAGACGGCGATGGGCCCACCCCCCACCCGGTCCTCATCTGTCGGCAGTAGGCGGCGCGCCATGCTTGGTGGGTCCCTTTATCTGAGACACCTGGCCGAGCCTCGTCGCGCTGGCCGATTTTGGATGTTTCTTCTTCTGGCCCGAGAAGGACAGCGGGCCGTCGAGCTCCTTACCCTTATGCACGAATTTTGGAATAAGCCATCTTCTTATCAAGGTTGGGTCCTATCCGCTGATGCTCGTCGTCTTCCTCCGCCTGAGAACCTCTCGGTGAGATCTCTGCAGATTTGTCCTCCGTATCGGTCGAGAGAGAGAGACAGGTAGACAGAGAGATCCATCCATTAGTGTGAAGATAAACGCCACCCAACCCCCCCCCACCCCCCCAAACCTCCACTAGGAAGAAGACTTGATCCCTATTGGTTCCCTTAGGATGAAAAGGAAGATCATCGCGCAGATAAATTCCCAAGCTTGTTGCTGTTAGCCCTCCTCTTGGTTCTCGGGGCCGAGCAGCACCCGGGACTTGACGAAGTTCTTGTCCTTGCTCTCGCGGGTAAAGAGGTGATTGAGGAAGGTGGCAAAGTCTGTGTCTTTATACCGTCGGGGGTTCGCCTCGTTGATGACCTGCGGCGCCGGGCGGACGACAGCGCCGGCGGGGAAACTGTGGATGGAGGCCACGGACATGCGCACCACGGAGGGGTTGACGAGGACCCGGTGCAGCACGCTGCGATACCTGCCGTTGCTGAATATCTGAACCATACGAACCGCCACGACCCAGTTAGAAATCAGAGAGTGCGACAGAAAATCTATTCGAGAGATTTTGGCTGTGCTCATTGTTAACGACTGATCCACTAGATACCCGAGCCCCGTCTTTTTCTCTTGGTCGGCGCCCGCCCGGGCCTCGGTGACCACAGGCATCGAGAAGGTTGGAAGAAGGCAGATGGTGGCGGCTAAGCCGGATTCGCTGGAGCCCATCTAGGTAATTTATATGTGTTATTATTTTATTCTAAGGCATGGTTGGATCGATGAGCAGTCCAATCGGGTGACAGGCTGACAACGTCACCCCGATAAAATCTCCCGTGCATGCGCGGGCCTCGAGTTTAATGACGGCGCGGCTACCTTGAGCGAACTACCTTATGATTATCTACGGTGTATAGAAAAAGAAAAAAAAGAAAAGGACTCGAGAAAGGTGGAAAGAAGTCTGAGAAGGGAGTGGGAGGCCACCTCGAGATGGTCGCCGACGTTGACGACGAGAGCACCGGCGAGGGGTTCGACGGTCAGCCAATGACCCTGGTGTTGGATCTGGAGACCCCTGACGCCGTCCTGGTGAAGGAGAGTGAGGAAGCCGAAGTCTGAGTGAGGGGGCATCCCCAGGGTGCGGTTGGGTTCGGGGCATGGCGGGAAGAAGTTCGCCACCATCACCTGGGTTCCGTCCTTTAACTCCTCCATGACACCGTCGGCAGCCTCGCTGTCCAATCCCAGGGCCTCAAGAACGGCGGCAACCAGCTCCAGAAACAGGCTTCTGATATGCCGGCCATACGACAAGGCCCCCTCCCTGCAGGAAAACAGAGAGAGGGAGGGAAAGAGAGAGAGATAGAGGTCAAAGAAACGGTAGAGATGAGGAGGGAGGATCGTTCTGGCCCTCTTGGCGGCGGGTTCCCCGTGAATTCAAGGTGGGAAGCCCAAGCACGAGACGGATTCCCTGGTGGGTCCGTCCGCCCGATCTGTGTCACCGGGCTTACTCGTGTCTGTCTCCCCGTTCGGTGACCAGTTCTGCGGCATCCAGTCGGATTCCGTCTCCGACTCGCCTTCCGATACCCAAACTTCGGATTACTCGACTGCGCTCCCCCCTATCTATCTATAACAGTAGTGGTCTGCGCGGAGATATCGCAGGGGAGACCCGAGATTGCCCGGATAGTCCTAGGAGGCGTTCGGTGCAAGATGATGGAGGCTAGTGGCATCCTCACCTCAGATCCGTGGGAGAGGTAGGCCAATGGGGGAGCACGAGAGGCAGGGGATGGTAGGTCAGCTTCAGAAAATCCCTCCAGCAGAAGACTCTGTCCGTGTTCTGGTTGAAGCTAGTCCCACATCTCACGGGAGCATTTAAATCCGACGACATATACCGGGATCGCTCCTCGAACGGGAGGTCGAAGAACCGCTTGCTCACATCGACCATATCCCGTATGACCTCTTCGGAGACCCCGTGATTGATCACCTGCGGGAAGTATCTCCCAGAGTGAGCGTCTAGGAGAAGCCCGTATGCCTTAGTAGACTCGTGCAGCCATGTCCGGGTAGAAATAGGTACCTGGAAGAAGCCGTACTCTTCGCAGGCCTTTCCCAGTGATCGGAGGACGGCGGTTCTATTCGGAGTGTGGAGGTCGGAGAGGTCGATGATGGACAGCTCCATGTTGGGGCCGGCGGCTCCGCCTCCATCCGACCGGTCCGAGGCGGGGAACACGTACTTGGCGGGGACTGTCGTCATGCCCCTCTCGCAGAGGTGCACCACTCCTTTCAGATACCAGCTATCCGATGACGTCTCCTTCCCGTCGGTCCCCGGGGCAGGTTCCATTGCCCTGGCTGGGGCGACAGAGGGCTTTCCACGAGCGTAGAAGACGCACCCGAGGAGATTCGATACTTACGGGCACATCTCCGTCAGCTGGAGAGGCGAGCTTGCCGTGGAGGGGGATGAGATAGGTGGAGGAAGTCTGGGAAGAGGAAGAGAGCGGTTTGGTCGGCCTCAGCGTCTGGAGAGCCAGAGGTTTATAATCGGCAAGTCCGATGAAGAAGTAGGGTCTATTAAATTGAAAAGGAAGCGTCGGCGCCAGCAGGGCGGAGCTTTTTGAAATCCGGTACTGCCTTTTCTTCGGTCTCCTGACCTTTGTGGGCCTCGTCGCGCCACGACGTACGAGTCTTCCCGCTCCCAAGGAGTTCCTCTCTCTCTCTCTCAAACCCTTCGCCGCAGCCGCTGCTGATCTCTGGCATCATAAAAACCGGGAACCATCGAGCAAGACCTCGCCGAGGCCCCCGCCTTAGAGACGATATGTTTAACCGCGTACATTCGAAGAAATCCATGAACCCAAGACATGATCAGAGGCTGAATTTTTTCCATACGACTCCAGCAGTTCAGCGCCGCAGTCGGTATTCGGAATTTTATGTGGGCAGTGGGACGGGGCCATCAGAATCCGTCAGAATCTCTTCCCGCTGGCGAGCGAAGCACGACCGGCAATCTCTCCACGGCCTTGGATTGGGTTTCACGCGATAAGGAAAGAGGGGATCGCAATTAGCTGCCGCCCACGGTACTGCGATCGCGACAAGTAAAACGGATAATGCGTCCATCGTTATCCCTTCCTTGTAGCAACCCAGTAAGACGCAGGAAACCACCTGTGAGCCGAGGCCTCTCCTCTTACAAGTCCGATAGCTCAGTCGCCTCCCCCCCACCCCCCGCACTCCTATCAAGATTTGCCCTCCCACACTGTCTAGGAGAAGAAAAGAACCTCCTCCTCCTGCCTGGGGCTCTCCTCCGTCCGTTTATCTATCCGGCGATGGCGGGGTCTGAGAGGAAAGGGCATGGTGTGCCAGAGCGATTCATCTTTCCTTGACATGGACGTTCAAGCATCATCGTTTAATTTTGGCTTAATGGGTTGGTAAGATAAGATGAGGTCCATATTTTACGCTTGATTCTATCATTTTTATTAACCAGTTGCTTGATGTTATACCCATTTGACGGCGGCGTCAAATGTGGTACTCGGTCTACGTCCCTCTGTACAACGGGAATACAACTTCAAGAAATGCACGCGGCGACGGTTGAGAACGTTTGCTCGTAAATGTCTAGGAGATATAGGACATGTGACCATAAAAATCGTGATTTTGATTTCGAAGTCTGAACAACTTAAACCAGATGCTGGAGCCGATAGTATCGTCCGAGTGGCAAGCTCCCCAGTTGACCTGCAACCGCGATCACGCCTGAAATCGTAATTCTTTTCAAAGATGGGTGACGATCCATCTTTTACACGATGCCTTCTTATCCTGTATGTAATGGCTGCTATATCGTGGGAACTTTATGGAGAATGAGGACAATATGTTGGTAGTGTCGCGCAGGTGCTCCACGTTGTGGTTGGGTGGAGAGGGGGCAGCGGGGGCGGTGTCGGCGGCGCCTTGCTCGCGTTGAAAATGGCGTGGGTGAGGCGAACCGACGCACGAGAGCATGAAATCTTCGGCAGCTCCACCGGTGCGAGCTGGAGGGGGCGACATGGAAGGTCGGTGCTCTCTGGAGAGATCTAGATGATAAAGAGCCCACTAGGCAAAGGTAGTCGGCTAATCGTATTGGACTATGCCATCTAGGTCGTATAAAGCCATGAGATTTTTTCCGCAAGGATTCATGCTTACAGGGATATATGCATAATTTGTCCCTTAAATTTCCCACTTTAAAATGGGCCCTCTGAATCAAAATGGGCCTCCGTAGCTTCCTTGGATAGGCCCCATGAATGGCCCATTAATATACAGTACTGTAGCGCATCCGGCCCTATAAAAATGCCTGGTGGCGGTTGCGCTTCTTCAGGGCCTGCGGTTCGCCCTGGAGAGGAGCCAGTAGACAAGCGTGGAAGCGAAGGTGCTGACGAACCAGGCGTTGTCGTAGGCGATGAGGAAGACCTTGGCGGTGCTCGCGACGAGCCCAACCTTGGAGAGGAACCCAGGGACGATCGGCAGTATCCCCACCGCCAGGGCCACGACGGCTGCGGGGTTGCACCCGTTGCGGTAGTAGTAGGGGCCGAGGGGGGAGGTGGAGTACAGTCCGGCGAGGTCCAACTCCCCGCGCTTGATCAGGTAATAGTCCGCAAGGATTACCCCTCCGATCGGGCCCAGGAGGGCGGAGTAGCCCACCAGCCAGGTGTAGACGAAGCTCTCGCTGGTCCGGAGAAGCCGCCATGGCTGGAAGGCGATGCCCAGCGCCGCCGTCAGGAGAGCGCCCCTCCTGAAGGTGAACAGTGAGGGGCTCAGGTTGACGAGGGCGTTGGCGGGGGCGACGACGTTAGCGGCGATGTTGGTGGTGATGGTGGCGAGGGAGATGCCGAGTATGGCGAGAAGCCGTGTGCCGAAGCCGCCGACTTGGCCGAGGAGGCGGATCGGATCGGAGATGATGTGCCCGAAGATCGTCTCCGTCGAGGACGCCACCGCCAGGCCGACGAAGGTGAAGAGGCCCATGAAGACTGGGAGGCCCACATGGCCGAGGATCTGGTCCTTCTGGCTCCTGGCGTAGCGGGTGAAGTCGGGAATGTTGAGGGCGAGGGTGGCCCAGAAGCTGATGTTGGCTGTGAGGGAAGGGAAGAAGACGGCGGGGAACTCCGACGGCGAGAGCCGGGAGGTCATAGACAGCATGTTCCCGAAGCCGCCGGCGGCGAAGTAGGCCCAGCAGAGGAGGGAGGCGGTGAGGACGATGAGGATTGGGGCCGAGTATTTCTCCAGCTCCCGGATCCCGTCGATCCCTTTCCATATGATAACCAGCTGGGCTGACCAGAATGCCATGAAGCAGAGGAATTCCAGCGGGGAGGTTCCTAGCCATGGGACCTCGCTCCAGGCGAGTGACGACTGCTTGAGCGTCTCCGGCAGGAGGAGGAAGACGGCCTCGCCCCCGATCCAGGACTCGATCCCGTACCAGCCGCAGCCAACCAGAGCCCGGAGGAGGGTGGGGACGTGTGCGCCGTGGACGCCGAAGGCCGACCGCGCGAGCACGGGGAAGGGGATGCCGTATTTCGTCCCCGGGATCCCAGTGAGAACCAGCGGCACGAGGAGGATCAGATTGGCGAGGACGACGGTGGCAATGCCCTGCCACCACGCCATGCCGAGGTCCACGAGGCTGCCGGCGAGGTAGTATGAGGGGACTCCCACCACGAGCCCCACCCAGAGGCAGGCCATATCCCACGACGTAAAAGTCCGCCGCGCCGCCGTGGTCGGCGCAAGATCGGCGGCAGCATGGGATTCGTCGTGGGCGACGCCGCCGATGCCCCCCGGCAGGGAGTCGTAGTCCCCATCCGCGTAGGCCTTCAGCATGACGCTCCGGAAAGGACGCCGGTTGTGCCGGCCTTGTTCCTCAATCGGGTATCCGCCTCGTCCAGTGCAGGAGGCGCCAGCGCTCCGGCGGTGGGGCCGACCCCGGAAGGGGAAGAGAAGCGAGCTGGGTAGTGCGCCGGCGGCGCCCGCGCTGATCCCGGCGAGACGGTGGGGCTTCAAGTGGAGCCGCAAGGAAGGAGATTCCATGGCTGAGGAAGGGGGCAACGGGGAGGATCTTGTGGAGGTGCAGCCGTCTTCGTGGAGATGGAGATGGGGCGAGGAGGACGATTCCTGAGTTGGGAGGTGCACGTTGACCGTGGCCTCGAGGATGGCATCTCCATTACCCCACCCCCTCTGTCACTCACGTGGCCACCCAGGTACTGTGGGTTCTGGGGCAGCGGCCCGTTGAAGCCCACTGGATCCTTTTCAGAAAGGAATCTTTCCGCTCCGACCCAGCTAGTTTATGTTAGTTGCCGACAATGATTAAATTATATCTGCAAGTTGTGCCCCCGTGAGAAGTCAGCATCCGGGGAAGGGATGGAGTCAATCATGTAGGGCTCACCACTGATTATGACTAAATATTGAATCGTTGACTTAATTAACTCTTAGGCGGCGATTAGCACTTCGAATCGCCTTTCCGTCTAAAATCTGATGTTTTTATTTAGAAACCCAACCAGGAACCCTCCCCCTCTCCCTGGAGCGCACACTAGCCATCATCCGCTTTCCTCTCGGCCCAATAGCGTCGGTATGTAATCGCCGGCCCATTGTGGGGACAATCTAAGCAAGCCCACTAGTGGCGCCGTTAGATCCTCCTGTTTGTCTATCTGAGGGCTCGCAAGATCATAGGCCAACACGGGCATTCTGCGGGCCGTCCCCCTCGTCCACTTCGTAATTTCGCAGAAACTTCTCGAGCGGCAGTGCTCGTCTCCGTCTGGGGCATTTCCCATGACTCGCAGTTAACTCCACATTCTTACTGCGAGCGGATCTCTACGATCAGGGGGGCGAATGATTGGGGACAAACCCTAGAATCAGATCCGTCCGGGGAAACAACTAGAAACAAAATGGAAGAGGTCGACTTCCTGGCAGGTCAGATACGGCCCAGAGTTGAGAAATTACTCGGCTCGATCTCGACTTAGATTGAGCCTAGGGAAAGCCTAGCAAAATAGGGTTTGGGGCGGATCCCTGTGCAGGGGTGTCGGCAGAGAGAGAGAGAGAGGGAGAGAGGGAGAGAGGGAGAGAGAGAGAGAAGGGGGGGCTTGTCCGTTTTCAGGGTTGAGTGTAAGAACTAAGCAAGGAAAAAAGTCAGCCCAGAAGGATTGGTGGGGGAGGGAGTGGGGGGCGAGGAATTCGGTATAAGCGGTGGATTTTCTTAAGGAGTAATCTTGAAGTGTGGGGAGGGGGTGACGTTGGATGCTTGATCTTATGGCAGGCTTTCGTGTAACTAGTCTTTTAAAAAACGAGGCCAGCTTTACCCCTCTTCCGCCGGAGAGGGGTAGCTGCCGGTGGTCGGAGGGAGGGCCGCATCGGACGTTAATTTCCCAAGGGGACACGTGAAGAAAAGACGGATGACAATGATGGCGGTGGATGGGTGGAGTGGGGGTGAGCTTCGAGGGTGGATTACTCGCCGTCGCTCCTCTCTGTCTTCTGTCTGTATGTCTCTCTCCTCTTTCCCTTGCCGTATGGGTTCTCTCAGCACGGCGACGGGGGTTTTTGTCTGGTGTCGGAAAAGTCACCGACGAACGTGACGAAGAAGGAAAGTGGGCGAAGCCTTCTTCTTCCGCGGCCGCTGCTTCTTCTACTTGACGGCTTCTCTCTGCCTTCTTTCTCTCCACCAGGACTCGGAAGCCTCCCTGCCCGAACATGCCAGAAAAAGCGAGCGGAACCTCCCCTTCTTTAAAGCCTCTCCTCTCTCTCTCTCTCTCCCCCTCCCGCCCACTGGGAGATCGTCGCCGGGCGGCCATGGACCGCTTTGGTCCCCCTTCCGTCTCTGGTCTTCATGTCCTTTTATGTTTCTTGGCCCAGACGCGTCGCCATGATCTCTCTCTCTCTTCTAACTCGGTCTTTATTACCTTCCTCGCCGTGATGGATTCGGAAAACGATAGCAACCGCTTGCGGTGTAAAACATCCGGCTCTCTCTCCCTCTCTCTCTCTCTCTCTCTCTCTCTCTCTAAAAGGGTAACTGGTCATCGGAATCGAGCTTCCAGCGAGGTAGAAAGGAGATGCTTCGCAAACGAGATCTGAGAGATGATTAGATGCCGAGAATCCGAGACACAATGTCGATCTTTTAAACCATTTCTGGTCTTCGACGTGGGTAAGTTGCAGCTCTGGCCCGAGGTATCCAAACAAAGAAGAGAGAATTCTATTCTGCGGATTCGGAGCCCTTAGATTATTGACCGGACCTTTCCACACCTCCCTGCTTCTCCCCGTTCGCCGTCGGGTCGAGACCTCTCGTAGCAGAAGAATCTGCGGCGCCGTTTCCCAGATCTGGGCATGTTCATGGGGTTCCTCGCCTGCCGTAGAGACGACGGAGATAGACCGGAGAGAGGAGACGTTCATCGGACATCTTCGGATTCCTGGTTAACGCGGCGGTAGATTTGACTGCCAGCATCGTCTTGGAGATTCCAAACGCGATAACTCCATCCGGAACGAGGTGAAATTCGAATGGACGGCCTCGAACGGCCTCGAACGCCCTGCCCGTCTGTGATCTGGATAATTCACGCATGGCAAGCGGCAGCAGAAGAGCCTTCCATCCCGTAAGGAGACGCATGGGTCGGAATTCGCCATTGAAGCAGTTGAGGGCCGCCCATGCGGGAGGCACGGAAGATAGGGACGCCACGCGTCGGCCATTCCGCCCATCCTCCTCTGCGAGACGAGGGAACAGCTCCTTCTCTGCCTAGTAATCTCCGAGGGACGTAAATCCACCGAACGTGATGTTCCTATCGCGTGAGATATGTGGAAGAACTTGGCCCCGGAAATCAAGTCCTTTTTTTTTCTTTAAAAGAATTGAGCGAGCATGTCTGTATCGCCTGATCCAAGAAAGAGAACCTCCACAGAGACAGAGAGAGAGAGGGGGAGAGAGAGAGAGAGAGAAAGAGAGGGGGGGGGGGGGGGGGGGGAGAGGAGAGAGAGAGAGAGAGAGAGAGAGAGAGAGGGGGGGGAGAGCGAGCGAGCGAGAGAGAGAGAGAGAGAGAGAGTCCTGTAGATCCGGGACAACACAGTTCTGCAGAGCCGTCGTTCATGGCAATTCCCATTTTACATTAATGAAGAGGGATCTATACAGAATGGGGAAAAAAAAATTAAAAGTCGTTATAGTAGTCTCCAATCGTTCGGTTGGCTATGTAAATATGAAGGATAATTGGGTGAGCAGAAGAAGAAGAAGAAAGAGAAACTCATTCGTAGCCCGGGTAACAGCGCTTCCGCTTCTTAATGATCAGCGGCGCCGCCAATCTGGGATCGTCCAGCGGCCGAAACAGTCGCGCCATGAGATCTGGACTGACCCGGATCAGCTCCAGGTCCGACAGCCTCCGTTTGCGGGGATCTGACAGCCGCTTCGCCTTCTTCGGCGCCGGTGGGCAGGTCGACATGGCCGGTATCTTGCTCTCCTTGGCAGTCGGCGTGCGGCATTCTTCTTCGCCATTGTCGTCGACCTCCGCTGACGACGGCCGCACGGTCTCAATGTTCTTCGCCGGAGGCAGAGTCAGAATTCTGAGCTTGAGCTCCACCGGTGCTGACGAGGGCCTCAATTCCGGCGTGGCCGCCATTTCCAACGACGAAGAGAGATCGAGGGCGGACGAGTGAGAAGGCAAGCTTTGCGCCAGGATCAGCCTCGTAGACGGAGGTGCAGGAGAAGGATGAGGCGTGCAAGAGAAGGGAATTGAGAAGTTGCGACAACGAAAGAAGAGTAGGGGCGAGAGAGAGAGAGAGAGAGAGAGAGAGAGCGAACTGAGTGGGTGGAACAGCAAAAGAAGAGAGAACGGTGGGTAGAGAGAGAGGAGGGTTGTTGGTGATGAACCTGCCGTTCCCTTCTTTATATCATTCCTTCCCCGGTGGGGCTGTTCTCTCCATCTCTCGTCTATCGCAGCTTTCCTTATCCTCACTCTATCTGTCTCCCTGTCTGTCTGTCTGTCTCTCTCTCTCTCTCACCAATCTACTTACTTTCTCTTTCCTCCGCTTCTTCCACCTCCCCAAGATTGGGTGCAGTCCGCTTTTACCTTTGCTACCTCGAAGGAGGGCCCGCAATCTTCTATGCGCAACGGGAGAGTGAAGAACAGCTGCAGGGGAAACTCGCTGCTGCCCCTCCACTCCTGGTGGAACCGGTTATAACGAGAAGAAGAAATCATGACGTGGGCGGCACGGATGGACCCGCCGCCTTCCTCGCTATTACCTCCCGACTACCGATCCTCGCGGTTCCCGCAGCCGCAGGCACCGGTCCGATCGCCGGAGGGATCTACAGAGTCCTCGTTCGCACGTGCCTCGCTGAGGTGGAGCAATCGAGGGCCCCAATCCCCAAGAATATTTACAAAGAGATGCCCTACGAGATGGGCTGCTGATCAATGGAGAGTCAAGTGGAGCCAGTGGACTGGAAATCGAGGGCCCACGAAGCCAATCGGCGCGCATTTATTCGGGAGGGAAAATAAATCATTTCCGTGTCCACCGAAGAACGAGACACGTGGAAATAATGAGCCCCCCGGCCGTGACGATGGGGCGGCGTGCGAGGCCGCCTGGCTTTGGACTGCCTGAACTGTGGTAGCAGCTGGGCACCGACTGAGATTGGAGGAGCAGAATCAGATTCTGTTCCATGACAACAACCAGTCCCACCGACTCGTCAAGTCTGACCAACAAGGAGGCCCGGTGGGTCAACCACGGTTGACCACTATTGGGCCCGGAAAGGGAAGCCCAATGGAAAAAGTACCTGCCTCGGCACAAATTGGGCTAATATTTGGGCCCATTTTTCCTAATCCGATGATCCTATTAATTAGCACGAGAGAAAGTCAATAACCTTCTAAGGCGCGTCTCATCCGTAAGGCTATGCACGGGAAGGGGGGGCAAAATGGGAGACACAGAGAGCCGGGAAAAGAGGAAGGAAGTTGAGCTACGAAGAGACCTTGTCGGCGGCGGCGGTCATGAAGTTGGCCACGGCCTTGTTGCCCTCCGCCAAGGCGTGCTCGCCGAGCTCCCTCGGGAGGACGAGCCGCACCGCTGCCTGGATCTCCCTGGTGGACAGCGTCGCCCTGCCGGAGTATTTGGAGAGCCTCGACGCCTCGCCGGCGAGCCTCTCGAACATGTCCTTGACCAGGCTGTCCAGCACCGTCATCGCCATGGAGGAGACGCGAAGCTCCGGATGCACCTGCTTCAGCACCCTGAAGACGTACCTCTTGTACCCTCTCATCCCTCCGAACCCGCCGACGTCTCCGCCGGCTCTCTTCCTCTTCCTTCTCCTCATCGCACTCTTGGTCTCCACCCGCCCCTTTCCGCCGGCGGTTTCTTCTGCTCTGATGTCTCCTTCGACCTTCTCCTTCTTTGCCTCCTCATCCTCTTCGACGCTTTTCCGTTCCTCCCCAAATTGCGGCGGCTGCTCCTCCGATTCCAACGTTGGCTGGGTCTCATCCTCTCTTTGTCTGCTCTTCTCTACAGCGTGTTTCTCCCCCTCCGGCGCCGCTGCGGTCTCTGCTAGTTCTCCGCTGATTGTCTCCACATCGGGTGGTTGCCGCTGCTCCGTCTTCTCTTCTACTCCCACCTCCTCCATCTCTTTCTCCCCGGCAGCGGGTTTCTCCTTGACGGCGGCTTCTCCTTCTCCTTCGAAGACCTCTTCTTGGTGCTGCGGCATCTCCGTTTTATCCTGCACCTTCACCTCCACTACCTTTTTCCGGCCTGCGGTAGCATCCTTCTCCTTTACCACGGACACCTCTATGGTCTCATGCACCACCTTCCTCGTCGTCCTCACCATAGCTCCCATCACTCTGGTCGAACGCTTCGGAGCCATATCTCTCTCCCCCCCAAGGCAACAGTGGAAGCTCGACGCTTAAGAAAGGGTGGAGACGCCGCCAGCAGTCGACGCGTGCGGGGAACGCGTGTCACATCTGAGCTCAAATGGAAAACCCAGGTGCCGCCTTTCACTTCCATCTGAAACTCGTAGATTGCAAGAGTCCGTGGGACGTGGCGCCTGGATTTGATGGGTGTCCGGATGTGGACTTCATTCGCGCCGCCATCCGATTATCCGCAAAAGATGCAAAAATCAACGAGATTATAATTTTCTAAATTATGCTCGAATTTTTTGTTGCTAAAATAATCAAAAGAAAATATAAAATAGTTTGAGTGAGAGAACACTAGCTGGGTGGTAGTCGGGCAAAAGGGAACTCCCGGGATCTCCAACTGCCACGATCGTTATCCTCCGTTGCAGATCCAACTGCCGGGGACGCGCCACGCCGGGCCTCGACCTGCACGTGGAGAGAGCTGTCTTGGACGCTTCAGTTCATCCCGTCGTACCCCTCTCAGGCTCCGCTTCAGTACCTCTCTCTTTCCCCAGCCTCCGCCGGTGAAACGAAGACGACTCCCGCCGACACCCCACCCCAACTCTCTCTCTCTCTCTAGCACAATCTTCCTGCTCCCACCCCATCCTCTCAGGCGACTGACGTGCTGTTGCATAATTCTGGCTCTGATTATTGTCGGCGTCTTCCTCTCTCCAACCTTCCTACATCGCCTTCCTCCCGCTGCATCCATCCTGCGGCCCGCTCGCATTTTCTGTAGAAGGAGAGAGAGGATGACGGGGAAGAGAGTAGGGGAGGGGCTGGTGCCGCAGTGGCTGGAGTCGCTTCTGGCGACGCCGTTCTTCTCCCCGTGCACCACCCACGGCGACGCGGCGCGGGGCGAGTGCAACATGTTCTGCCTCGACTGCCCCGCCGCTTCCGCCTTCTGCTTCTCCTGCCGCGCCGTCGGGCACTACGACCATCGCGTCATCCAGGTCGTCACCTCTCTCCCTCTCTCTCTCATGTCGCACCAGTCGATCATAATCTTGATGCGCTGTGTGCCCATCTCTCATTATCCTCTTCTCGTTGCCGGGCGTTGCGCGTCGGTGTAAAGATACGACGGTCCTCCTACCACGACGTGGTGAGGGTCTCGGAGGTGCAGAAGTCGCTGGACATCAGTGGCGTGCAGACCTACGTCATCAACAGCGCTCGTGTGGTCTTCCTCAACGAGAGGCCGCAGCCCAAGGGCCCGGCGGCGTCCACCTCTGGTGCGAGCTCTAAGGCCACCGCCGCCCATGCGTGCAAGATCTGCGCCCGCGCCCTCCTCGACCCCTTCCGCTTCTGCTCCATCGGCTGCAAGGTTCCGACTCCCCCAACTTACCCCACTTCTCGTTCATTCCCTCAACTTTTCTCTTCTTCGAAGAAGAAAACCAGTGCGATTGTGGACGCCCGATGCAATGCAGCTGGAGGGCGTAAGGAGGGGCGTGGACGCCGGCTTCGCGCGGGGTACAGAGGGCACCGACGAGGGAGACGCGGCAGGGTACGGCACGCGGGAGGCGCCGAGCGGCGTGAAGCAAGCAGAGGCTGGCGAGCCGGCGAGCAGTAAGGGGCCGCTCGCGCCGCCGACGAGTCTCCGCCGGCGGAAGGGCATTCCCCACCGTGCCCCGCTGGGTTCCTAGACGACCAAGCAATATATACGTACACCTACACTAAGAATTTATCGAGCTAAATATTTATTAAAAAATTGCATGATTCTCGGATATGCGTAGGGAAACATACAACAATAATACAGTGCAAAAGTGGTACGGCAAATATACAGCCGGGAGAAAAGGGCAAGAAGGTATATTTATGTGGGGGGGGTGGTGGGGGTGGGGGGAAGAGAACAGTAAAAGGCCGGAGAAGACTGACTATACACGCTCATGGAATGGGCAGCGCGCCATATGCTACGTGCCGGACTCGATCCTCTCCAACACCTCCAACCTTGTCTTCCTTTTCCAGTTCTTCGCGGAGGAAACGAGGTTGACCAGCCCTACAATTTGACTCTTGCTGTATTCCTACAGACAACAAAGACAAGCAGTCAGCGTAGAGATCAACCGGCGCAGGAATGAAGCTCCACAGGAGGGGCTCAGATGCTCACGGGATGAGAACGCGCCCAGTAGACGTATTCTGTTTCTGGAAGATAGTATGCCTGTTCATGCGTACAGAGAGGAACGGGTGGTTAATGAAAAGGTAGGTTCACATAATCACAGGGGTTTTGACCGTTAGAAACAGTAGCACAATCTTGTGAATATGTAGAATGATCAGACAAGTTTGCGCTACCAGCAAGCACAGCGAAAATCACAAGAGAAGATCTGACTACCTTGATGAAGGTTTCCACAGTCTGAAACTTCTGTCTCACATTTGCAGAGGCGAAGTGTTGCAGACCGTTGATTAGAACCTGACACAAAGGGGACAGTGTTGCTTGGGTTTTTCCTTTTAAAGAATTTATTGAAAAGGGTTCTTAACCCGAATTCGCGATTGAATGGACGTATACTCACCTGGAGATCCAAGGACATCAGCGCCCGTCCCTCGTCACTGCATCTCTTCACACGTGAGAGACCTTCGACGAGAACTTCCGCAATATTTTCAAGTCCATATTCTAGGAGTCGATCTTGGATCTGCAATGCCAAAAGAATCAAAATTAGTCACTGTAACTCGACATACTAATGGGAGATTCAACATCTGTATGAACTCCATTCTGATAATACATCAATTGTGAGTTCAATTCAAAAAAACTATATGAACCAATCATATTTTACTGTTTCAAAATTCAAATTCAACACGGGGATGGCCAGTGGCAAGGAAAAACCCCACATCTCTCTCTCTCTCTCTCTCTACCCAACAACTCTATTTTTCTCTCTTGGGCCGTAAGATGAGTACTATACCCCAATGTTATACCTGAAGGTTTGGACCGTAAACTCTCAACTTGTTTTTTAAAAAATAATTTTGACCAGAAAGCTTTTACCTCCTTGTTAATGCTTCCATGCTCCAACCTTGTCTTGAAATGCTTGAATTCTCCGAGCAATAAGTCAACGTACCTATTAATAATGATAAAGTGTTTAATTCATTGGTCTCATTGTTAGGCGATATGCAATGAATTCACACCTTCATGCATGCACTTCTCAGTAACAACACAGTTCAACTCTTTCCTAAAAGAGGATAACGGCATCAGGGAGAGTTTAAAAACGGGAAAATATAATCAAAGTAATGGACACAGCCCAGCTTTTCAAGATCAAATTCTATCAGCCAATCTCAATCAAGGCCGTCGGATTATAGATGGCTGATTCGAAATCAATGTTCGATTTATCAATCCACGAATTCCCAACCAGCGTTCAAAATCATGAGGCCATGAATTTGCCTCAACAATGTACATGGTAACAGGTAGATTTAGAAAAGAAAATCCTATTCATCCCGTCCACATTTTTACATAATATCGCGTCCTGTGGCTGAGAAAGAGTATCACCCGAGGAGCATAAAAGGACATAAAACAAGTAAACTGCCAAGGATATTAAAACTAAGAATAAGATCGATGCTGAAATCATTAGGGCGCATACCCATTGTGATCTATCCCAAGATCCTTCACATCCCATTTTGTATTAGCGACCCTATCAGCATACCTGAAAAGATTCTTCACAAGTAAACCGTTGTACAATGAATAAGATCTAAAAACAATAAGCTGCTTAACACTGTTCGTAATATGTCGGTAGATTTTAATAAGAATAAAGGGATTCAGGAAAGCTGGTGACATTCACTGACAGAACTCTTGTATGAGCTGGGAATAAAATTATTATTTGGGAAGAAAATTTTGAAGTCTTCCCGTTAAACCGTTCTAGCAACTGTCTAACCGTATCATAGATGACAACACAGTGCATATGGCAAGTAAAGTAGCATATTGCTTATACTAGTGTCAGTAATATAACTATGAAATAGCAACTAATCAGAGGGGTTAGTTATGGGTTATTTACCTCTACAGTGGTAACTGTCTGAAAGACCGCGTCCTAGCAGCTGCTATTTCAGAAACATTAATCTACTGCTATTCACTCCCACAGATCATTTCGTTTAGGCAATGGAAACGCATTCTTCTTTCTTTCTGAATATCATGAACCCGGGAAAGAGGAGACACCACTGACACTTGACCTACCCCTGAAGCATAAAAAAACTCTTGGAATTGCCGGTACCTGATATCCTTATTTTGCGTGAATGTGAGGAGGTGAAAGGGATTGGAATGGGCTCTCAGAGTAAAACTTGAATGCACCAATAAGACAGTATACTAGGGGAAAAAGGGACGACCCTATCTTAGTCCCACAGACATTCCGAGGAATTTTAGTTGGCACTATCCCCTAGAGTAGGGAAACTTGAAAGTAAAATACAGATCCTAAATCATTCTACCATTCTCCCTCATAATATCCTGAGTGATGAATCTCTGAAAAGAACATCCCAACTCACTTTTTCGCAACTCGTTCCTGAAAAAATTCCTATTTCTCTCTTTTAAAAACTTTAAAATGACTTCCAATTATCATGCTGGCATACGGATTCAATCTTCCATCCTATCGTTGACAACCAAAGTTGGTCACAAGCATTTACAGAGCTCCCAGCCAATTCCATACGCATCTTTAGGTTTACCACCTTTAGGGTTCTGGAAGGGTGATCCTGCAAACTTTGTATCTTCTCCAAGTTTGATGCCACCTTGCCGTCTAACTCCACCACTGACGCCTTCATCATCTCTGGCTAAGAGAAATTAAGCCTATCTCTCCTGATTAGCCAAATTTCCTTAACCACTTATTTCTCTTTCAATCGAAGTTGCAATAGACCATTACCGAGTATACCCCTCATTTTGTTTTGCAACGGTGAAACTGTCACAGCATCAAAAAATACATTGCATTAGTGTAATTAAAGCTGTAAGTTCTGAGATTACAAACCTCAAACCGGTCCCAGATGTCAACATCTCTAAATTCCTAAACTTTGGGCCTATTCGAATTCGTTGAAGTTACATAAAATTTATTTGAGTTTCAAATCACAAATTTTCACAGGGTACTAATGCCAATTTAGGGCATCCATCTAGTACAAGTTCCACTTAAGGAACGCTATAATTCATACAGCATAACTCTGCTGTTTGGAGGAAAAATTGAGTGATAAACGTGTGCTTACAAGGTCGAGGACAATTTAATTGGCATCAAATGTTTAAAGTTCCCAAAAAAGCAATAGTTTTCTTATATTAAAACTCTACAGAATAGAAGAAGCTCATAATTTTTGAAAAACTACCAAGAATCCAGGATTTCTTAGATAATGTAACCCAGCAATAAATCATAGAATAATACATCTTTCTTCCAGAGAGAAAAACAATGCAAGGACATGAATAAGCATCCGAACATCCACGAAATACATATGTGATATACAAACCCATTGATATGCAGAAACAGCCTTGCAGTTGTCTTGTGAGCGTGTTCTGTGAGATCTGAAACAGAATCCACCTAGAAAAGAAATCATATAAATGCCTTACATCATATTCAATTGAAGGAAAGCTGCAACCAAGAATTATGCCATTATACGACGCACAAATGAGAGAGGAAAGATGAATTCTATTGGAATAGAACTAATCTTTTGAAGTGAAGAAAAATCTTAGGAATCATTTAAGCACAATGACATAAGAATCAAGCAAACACACCAAATTGTCAAAGAAGTCTTCAATTACAGCCGCATTATTTTGCAGAAGCATTGACTGTAGATGAGGTTTAGATCTGTGCAAAACGCGAGCAACAAGAGCTATACTCTCCACAGCCGCACATCTTTCCTATGACAGCACAAATACAACTGTAAAGATAAATGTCAAGCGTGAGCTATCAATATATTGAAAGAACATAAAAACAATTACAATGAGCGCACAAGAGATGATAACTAAGTTGGTCAATCACAAGTGATCCATACGAGAGGAAATGTTCTTTCCCTTGAAAATCCAAAGATCAGAGACAACCCATCAAGTGATCCGGGGTTAATAGTTAGTCCTACCAATACTAGATGACAAGAATAAAGTCAAAAAGAAAGGGCAGACATCCACACTCTTTAGACCAAATAACGGCAGACAAGTCTCATCATCACTCTCCAACACAGCTTTAAGTTCTCCATTTCATCCACAGCTGCAGTAAAAAGCTAATCATCAAAGGCAGTAAACTACCATCTGACCACTTCATCACCAGCTTCCTGTTTAAGAGAATTTCACTGGAGAAAACAGAAAGACACATCTTTGACATATTTTTCCCGGCACAAATGAAACAGAAAAGCCATTGTAAACCATTGGCTGGAAAAGAATAAATTTTCACTTGCATGAGAATACACTGGCTGGAAAGAAAACAAGTCTTCAATAAAACGTGGCAAAAACACAACATATCCATCTAAAACGCAATCAGCATTGACCTAATCTTAATCCATCAAATCTGAAAGTCTTTTGAGAGTTGCTTTCATTGACCTACCAGAACGAGGACGGATTTACAATCTCCATCCCAAAAAGGAATAAATGAGGCAAACTAGCCACTCAGTCATGTCATCCGCCATAGTCTCCGGAATATCTGAACTTCTCAATCTAATTTTTTGTGCTTATATTCTAAATGTACTTCGTATTCTAATCATGAAACGTTCTCACTTCGTATTTTCACTTGGCTAGGCTTAGTAAAAGTCCAGGCTGGACACTTCCCGTGTGGATACTAGGGGTGTCAACAACCCAGGCCTGCAGATCCCTATTAGCCCACCACACAGCAGCCATTTGCCACATTGACAGTTCTGGTATCCATGGAGAAAAGCCTGAGAAACAAGACCAGGACATACGAAAATTTCTCAAGCCCAGGGCTGACCTGATTAACGACCTTAGCAAGGGGCTACCATATGGTGAGCAGACAGGCAAAAGGAGGGAGCTGGTAACCAGTCAGACCTCTTAGATTTCCACTCCAGAGATCCAGCAAAGCTTTTTTAGGCCGAGGCAAGGCCAGATTTTCCGGACTTTTGTCCTTTGCCCGGGCCCAGAAAAGCTGGTGCAGGCTGGGCTTCCAGACTAGCCTGACCCATTGTGTAAATATCGTATAATGTTTACTCCAAGAAAAAACAAAACATGAAAATATGAGAAAATACCAAGACACTGATAAACTTTCTCTGGTATACAGTTTACCTTGAGTCCTAATGAAGTATTAGGTGGATGTCCAAAAATAGTGCTAGCAGGAATTGTTGGTGTCACATCCATTTTTGCGTATGAAGCACTTGAGGGAGAACTTGCTGTAGGTTGTTGTTTTGTCCATTGATCATAGTCTTGTGTTATTCTAGACAAGGCAAGTTTAAGGCGATCTGGATATAAAAGGTAAAAAAAGTCATATACAGACATAACAACAAACCAATGGAAAACAAATTGAACATAAAAGGGGATTGTCTTAACGGTTATACAGAACCCTTACAGGAATCAGTTACGACTTTGGCACCGGAATGTATATCAAGCTGTCCAAAAGTTTCATATATAAAATAGAAAAAAACACCAAAGAGCTGACAAATCCCCTGAAAAAAAATTGATAATAAGAAACAAAGAATTGGAGAGAAAGGAAGACTAAGCATTGACATTCCACAAAAAAATGATAGGAAAAGATTAGTCTTATGAAGCATATCTTCACTCCAACCAATGCCACCAACCTTGAAGAATTCAATATTGACTACTTCTAACTTTTGCATGAGTCTCGCATACTTGTCCATCAACCTGATGCACATGAGAATCAGAATATGTGATATACGAATAAATGCAAAAACTATACTCAAGAATCCAGGGATCTAACTTTTGTAACTCTTACCTCAGAAGGCAAATCGATGATCCTGTTTGTGCACTTATCTCCTCATCCTTCCAACTTGCAGATCTGTTCCTCACGTGCACCGGTTTAGATATTCGACTTGGCAGCTGACTGTCCTCATCAATAAAGTCGGCCAACAGATCTTCGTTTTCATCATCCAATGTGGAATTATTTTCATTGACTTGGATCAAATTACTGTTTTTCATAGCTTGACTATTTCCATCATTCAAACAGGAGCTTGACGAATCATTCGTCAAGATGGGAACACTCAAGGATTCCTTTGAATTGGATGCCATTTTCGTAAAAAAAGGATTCGGGATTTCAAGCCAACGGGAAAATCCATTCTTTCGGTGGACACTGGTATGTTGATCAGAAGTGCTCCTAGAATGAACTGGAGCAGAGAGGGGATTAGGAGCAATTATAGGAGCACCATCACCCACAAGGCCAGCCAAACTAATAGTTTGCAGTGACTCGGATGATATTTTGGTCCATGACTCCTTCTCTAAAACCATTCGGAGAGCCTGGTAAAAAGAATGATGTTAAATAACGTTGTGATTTTTTTTGTTCACACGAAGCATGAAGAACAACGAATTCATCGTAGAGACCGAAAACAGTATGTTATTGGGTTACAACATGAGCACAGATGGCATCGTAGCAAATATTACAAAAAGATTAGACTAGTGACATAGGAACAATCGATCATACTCTTGGTAGGGCATGAGGGTTACTACAAGATGTACACCAGACATGAACAACATTTCAAATTGTCTTCTTGTTTATAAATACAAAACACAAGGAAAGAAGAACCCATTTTTTCATCTTTACACGACACAGAGTAAGAGAATCATTAAAGAAGATTACATCTCTCCAGGTCCTCTTATATCTTTCTAGTAATATTTTCAAGGTTACATTTTTGGATAAATATCTATTTTGAGAGGACTGTCGAGACAAGATCATCATCCTATATTTGTTTCCGTAGTAATCATGAATCCACACAATTTTAGGCCATGAAAAAAGTTCGTCTTCCGCGGAACATTGGGGGAAAATGAATGTTGAAATAGTAAAGGGGTTTGGCATCTAATCATGCAGATTTCATAAGGTGGATAATTTGTCCTTTTAGGTTTTTATCAGGAATGAGAGCAATCATTAATTTGATACCAAAATTCAGTGTATCCAATCTGTACAAAATCTGATGTGTTCAGTTCCAGTTGTTAATTTATTTGTTTTTTTCGTTTGGGTAATGACGTAACTGGAAGCCCATATTTGTTTTATCCCTCCTAAAAAGACTAAACAACAGGACATTTATGAAAGACTTTTGGACCCTTTAGAATATATGTCTGATATGTCTCAATTGGAATACATGGAAAGGTTGTGAGAACTCAAACCCTTGATAATTAAGAGTTACATAATTATCAGCAGTCTTTTCTTGATCAAGCAATGTTTCTCAGTCCTACCACTCCAATCCTGGACTTTTTAGCAGTCGGTCTTCGAACACAGAGCTATCAGATGACCGAAAAGGGGGATCAGAAATTCCCATCAGATGCTCCAGCTTTTTTCTCTCTCCCAGAACATTAGACAGTAGATTCCCATATCTAAAACTTGCATTAAGGTTTTGTCATTTTCAAATATTCTTATCTTGTTATCTTATGGAAATCGGTGGCTATCTCTTTAAAACTTCGGGTTCTGGTGTAAAAGTTTTTTGGGTGGATGTTTGAGAATGAGCTCTCCTCTTCATCATATGTTCAAAAAACTTGGGTACAGAGTGTAAGACATGGGAAACATGACTGATTTATAGAGGCGCACATTGAACCATACAAAAGGTAACTGACTAAGTCTATTTTCATTTCTGAAATTAATTTCAGGTGGCATGGATAAATTGCGTACTTTTTATCACTGAATATAGCATGATATTACAAAAAAACTGATTGAGTAAGCCACTATTACGGATAAACCGGTTTAGTCGCCCAATCTTTTATCATCTTACAGCAAACCAGTTCTCTCTATGGCCCTCAAAACGGACTACCTCTTGGATAGAAGAAACTCAAAAGTGTTTCCCATCAAAACTATCCAAGATAAAGATGAGAATTTATGGGAGATCACAAAAATATCAACCAATATAAAGGGAATGATAATTGAACAATATTTGGAATATCCGTGCATTGATTTGTTGATCTTCATGAGCAGACAAATACTATCTGGAAGGGAGTTGAACCCATACTATTTTGATGTCATTTCACTGGAGCAGATTGAATCACACCAAATATTGTTGCAATCAAACCAGATAGAGAACACGGAAAGGAAAAAGTCTCAACAACGCATTAAAGCAGGGTAGGCCCACACATTATTGTGCGGAGGTCCTAAAAGTCATAATACTAATGCAGCTGTGAGTCATGATATTTCTGACCGAACCAGCCTCGAGTCAAAAAAAATTATATGCAAATCCTCTTATCATAAAACATTCCGTTTGAAAAAAGTCCAAGCGCAACTCACCCAGACATAGCATATAACATACAATGAGAATTGGTGTCATGGAAAATCATGATATACACTAAGACCACAACGTTTCAAAAAAATTGAGGACTATGGAACAGTAAACCACAAGAAAAAACGTTTTAGATTCAACAGATTTCTATACTTAAGGATATGATGAACATGAGAACCGTACAGAATGGAATCAAAACCAACAGACGAACATGATGAACATGATGAACAAAACAAAATGTTTAGCAGAGGGTATGATGTTTCCCGTAACGTTTATTCAGAGGTAGTCTCAAATGTAACGGAATGGAATCAAATATTGCCAACAGTTGAACTGATTCCTGACCCAATGAAAATTTCGCACTGCAGAACAAGTACAATTAATAGAGGAAAAATATAAGATAAGGAAGATCGCCCTTACGCATATATTTTGTCTGTGGAAGGTAGCAAGATAACTTTCACAAGCAATCTTTAGCTTCTGCCTGAATTCAACAGCCTCCATGCCACAAAAGGCTTCCCCAGCCAAAATGAAAACTTTTAAATCTTCATAGTTTCTAAGGAAATGGTGTATGCTAGTAGAACAAACTACTGGACATGAAAGTAAAACAGATACTCGACTTGTTGTAAGCTGCCAAAGATTCTTCCTCCCTCTATCTAGAATTTGAGAAACAAATGCAGCAGAATCCCTTCTTAACCAATAAAACGGTGAACTACGGCTTGATGCGATATTTACATCATTTTCTCCATCAACTGATTTACGAGAATCACTGAAAGTTCTCCCAAATTGTTCAGTAGCATCACAACTAGAGGAAGTACTTGCGGCATTAGATTCCCCTGGCAAACGTGATAACTGTGTTTGATATGCAGAACCAGAAAGAGGATCACCCTCCTTGTTCGATGCACCTGAATCTCTTGATGTACAACTGGACAGAAAGACTGGACTTTCCGAAGAATAATTTGGTCCAAGCTCTATGCTCTTGGATGGAGCATCTGACATCTGTAAAAAACGTTAACAGAGAAGAAAGTATAAGCCCTGTTAGACTTTTATGGAGCAAAATAGCCAGAACATCTCATAAAAATAACATTAGTTAGAAACGCTAAGAAAGCATGCAATGCGCGAGGGATTTCCCTGAGCCATTGCACATAATTTGCTTGAGAATCCTTTAGATCACAGTGATTGATAATTTAATAACAACCTCGCTCCCCGTCTCGTACTCAGCAATAAATACTAAATCACTTCGGAAGCACTAGTTATTAAAACCACGTCCAGAGAATTATTGCAGGCACATCAGGGTATTTATTTTTTCAAAAAATCTTGCTCCAAAAGATGAACCCATAATATTTCTGCTGTCAGAGGAAATATAGCACAGCTTCTGACAGATAAGAACATGACAGTTTTAATTTTACTAAGTGTTGAACTCTCTAGGATTGTTTTTCCTTTCTATCTGTTTCTTTACACTGTTTTTTTAGTCTTCTCTGTCATTCCTATGTTAAGTGGATCCATTAGACTGTTAACGGATCCACTTAAAGTCTAATGTAATGGGCCGGGCCCATTAACCCATGTAACCCGTACTTAAGCGGGAAACCAAGATAATTGATGTAGGATTCTGGGATGACGAAAACTCTGATCCAAGAAGTGGTGACTGATTCATCTTCCTGGAAGAGAAGGATCGTGAGGATCAACTCCTTTCATTCTCCAAGTTGCAAGAATCTCAATCAAGATCAATTCTCAACATGGTACCAAAACAAGGTTACAGTCTTAATTGTGTGTGTAGATGATATCATCATAACAGGAGATGATATTGAGGAGATTAAATGCCTTGGCCAAAATCTATCTAGGGAATTTGATATCAAATCCCTAGGAAGGTTAAAATATTTCTTGAGAATTGAGGTTGCATATTCAAAAGGTGTATTCCTTTCACAACACAAGTATATTCTTGATTTACTTCAGGAGACTGGAAAATTGGAGTGTAAACCTGCTGACACTCCAATTGATCCTAACCTAAGTTTGGGAGAAGGTAAAGAATCTGATCAGGTGGACAAAAGCTCATATCAACGGTTGATTGGGAGGTTGATATATCTAAATCATACCCGTCCAGATAACATTTGCAGTGAATGTACTCAGTCAGCATATGAATGATCCAAGGGAGATACACCTACAGGCAGCATATGAAATCTATTCAAAAATAACAACAGGACAGGGCATTCTACTCAAATGAGGGAATCAATATGTTGAAATCTACACTGATGCTGATTATGCAGGGTCTGTTATAGGTCGCAGATTAGCATCAGGCTATTGTACATTTGTTTAAGGAAATCTTGTGACTTGGAGAAGCAAGAAGCAACAAGTAGTTGCACGATCTAGTGCTGAAGCAGAATTCAGGGCATTGGCCCAAGGGATATGTTAAGGCTTATGGATTCGAGGTCTGCTGGACGAATTGAGAGTCAACCAATCAAATCATATGAAATTGTTTTGTGACAACAAGTCAGCAATAGCTATTGCTCGAAATCCTGTACAACATGACAGGACTAAGCATATTGAAGTTGATAGATATTTTATCAAAGAAAAAGTGGAAAAAGGAGATGTAGATCTGATATATTTTGGGACATCAGAACAGGTTGCTGACATATTCACAAAGGGACTCACAAGACCAGTATTTCAAAGGATGGTATCCAAGTTGGGCATGGAAAACATCCATACCCAACTTGAGAGGGGGTGTTGAACTCTCTAGGATTGTTTTTCCTTTCTATCTGTTTCTTTACACTTTTTTTGTCCTTCTCTGTCATTCCCTATTTTAAGTGGATCCATTAGACTGTCAACGGATCCACTTAAAGTCTAATGTAATGGGCCTGGCCCATTAACCCATGTAACCCGTACTTAAGCGGGAAACCAAGATAATTGCTGTAAGATTTTGGGATTACGGAAACTCTGATCCAAGAAGTGGTTACTGATTCATCTTCCTTGAAGAGGAGGATCGTGAAGATCAACTCCTTTCATTCTCCAAGTTGCAAGAATCTCAATCAAGATCAATTCTCAACACTAAGATGTAATGGCAGAGCCTTGAAAAAATTGATATCTTAATTATAAAGCAATGCACGTGGTATGTCCATTATGACAATTTAATTGTTTTAAAACTGTACGAGTTTCATCAAGGTTAAATACACAGTAATTAACCCAATGACCCGTGCAAATAGCCAATTTACCGGCGAATTCTAAACGGTACCCATAGTTCCCAAAAATTATTGTCGATTTTAAGATTTTAAAAACTCAGAAGCATGAAAAAGTCTCACAAAAACTCATTATGCCACAATAATTGAAAGTCATACTTACATCCATTTCTAGGTGAAAGCTCATGATTCGATAGTATGAACACATCAACCTAAATAGAGTATCCAGAGTGCTTAGCATGCACTGATTGAACTTTGATTCCGGTATCTTCATGCAGATGTCACTATAGGTAAGTCTGTAAAGATGACAATTAAAATGATGATGATAAATCGAGATAAAGGTAGAAAACTGACATTTTTCAACACATAGAGAAGAAAACAGAGTTTAATTGAAGTAAAGATAGTAACTGAAAGTTGGAAACTAATGACAGTCACCAATTATGAAGTATGACAGATTAATAGTTGATCTTTCCATGGTACCACAGACATTTCCATAGCACTGGCATTGAATCAGGTAGCTGGGTAGGCTAGCCTTAGTCCAAATCAAATGGAGATATGGTGAGCCAAATTGATCAACCAGAGAGAAGAGATTCGTATGAAAAAAAAGAGCTTAAAAAATTAGAGTTATACTTCCGAGTTTATAAATTATACCTATTGACAAAGAGAGCAGAAATAAGGTCAAAGTGACAGTTAAGGCTTGAATATAAACTGTAATTTGTCAAAACCCCTAACCAGCTGGCGCAGTGTTCAATCCCATTCCTTGGGAAATTGAGCATAGCATTTAGGTTACAGTTTTCGGTATTCAATGAGGCAAGCCACAAGTAGGAAACATTTCTTTTTTCTTCGCGGACCACTGGCCTTCCCTATTCCGTCATCTACCATCTGTAGAGCTTCCACAGCTTTCCATTGATAGTAGAAATATTGCTGTAAACTGGCCGAACCAACCAGATAGGGTTAGATATGTCGGATAGGACAGATCTTCCCGGACTCCACCAATCTCAGGACAATTCAATTTATAACCTGAAATGATTCTGGACATGACTTAAACCTTATCTAGTAGCGTGATTGTGGTTGGGAACATTTGGAGATTCCAGTGTGTCGGCTCCGATGTACAATTGTAGATTGAAGGATTGGCGATATATCTATGTATATACATGTATATATTTGGCGAGAGAGAGAGAGAGAGAGAGAGAGAGAGAGAGAGAGAGAGAGAGAGAGAGAGAGAAAACATCAACACAACCTCATCTTCTAGGTTTTGTAAAGAGGATTTGTTGGACATGATTTTATCATATACAGATTGTCAATCTAGACACTGATGACGTGTCAGATCACTTTTTCTAATTTTGAAATCGAGTACCAAATAGTCATCAAAATAATTAAAAGAGAGTATCTACAATCCTTAGACTTTCAAAAAACCTTTGTACATCAGTAATGTCGTACTACCAGTAATTTCAACCGCTAGTGACTCAACATCCGCAGATTCCATCCCTTTCTGACTATACGGGTCTCATTCACTTTTGACTATGTCTAACAGCTGAGGAGCCTTTCTTTTAAAATTGAACTTATTTCTGACTTTCCAAAATATCCCAGACGATTGCATGAAAAGAAAAAACCACCAGATCTCAGAATCCACTGTAAAAACATGAGTAGTAAATTGAAAATATTGACCAAGTATTAGATTATCCAACCAAGGTTATTCGTCCAATAAATATCATTATTTATTTTTTAATTTTTCAATTAGTGAAATGTGACAATGAGTCCAGCAGTGAGACAAATAATTTCATAGAATAGCTAGATCCAGTGGAGTGGTCATATTTATCTTAAAGGAATTGATAGCTGCTGAAGTACAGCTTAGGAGTGGATGGCTGAGTAGAAAAGTGGCAATTTCCAGAAATGCCGGTTGAAATTTGTAGCTGGACAGGTAAAATATTATGCACTACATTGCAGGAGTCCTCCGAATTACTTTTACAGTAATCTGTTACCATGGCATATTCTTTAACTTCATCATCTATGCAGACAGATAATTCCTTGACGCCAAGGAGAAAGAATGTACACTACTGCAAATGGTAAATGTCAATATTCAGTTTTGAACAGTTGAGATACGAAGTTAAAGAGAAACCACATGGGAAAATGGTACATAGCAAGGACATCATCAGTTAAATCAGAAACTATGGACACAGTATCAATGAAGCCCTCATGGAACATGAAAAGAAAATTCATGTTTTTATATTAAATTTATTTACACAGATTTTTAGAACACGTGAACTTGGTGGATCTGAATGATTACGATAATCTCACCAAAGAGCATACTCTTACATTGCACTATTTATCTCGATTTTCTGAAAATAGTGTATTTTAATTGACAGGGAAAACCATAACATAAATTGAACACGGTCCTGGACATTATAAATATCCATTTACAACGAAGAGGTTAGGAGTCTGCCGCCAAGTATCAACTCAATAACCTAATTAATTTAAGAAAAAAAACTAGAACTTACAAATAAAAATAAAAGGTAAAAAATGCACCTGGTTCTCTTGGCATCCATCCCAATATCCTGCCAAAAAATCAATCATATCAGAGCTTAACTCCTTACAGGAAAAACATATTTGCCGTAAAAGTATTTGAGACAACTGAGAGGAAGAAGGATTAAGTCCTTTGCAATCAATTTGGAAATCTCTCTTTAAAAGAAAACACAACGGTGGCAACTTGTCACGAGTAACAATCCCAAACAGGTGACATGACAAAAAAAGTAATGTTTTGAAAGAAAAGTAGATTTAAAGTTGCAGCGGAGAAAACCAAGAACAGGTGGGGTAGGTACAGGGTTACAACTCAGATCTCTGGTGGTACATTCAACCTTCGTTCACAGTCTATTAAGGCAGCTATTAACGATTAAAATCCTAATATCTAGCTACCAAAAAAAATCTTATCACAGCAAAAATTGTGAGGATGTCGAGGGACGTGAAAACCAAACCAGCTAACTAGCTTCCGGCTGGAATTTTGTTTATCCTTCGAAAAATTTATCCGTCAATAACAGTTATATTGTCACATTTCCTGCCCAATTTCAATAAAAGTTCTCTAATGGGAGATTTTTTCCAAATAACATCTCTCCTCTCCTCTCCTCCTAGAAGCAGCTATGGTCACTGTTTGTCTAATGTGTTGTTTCAAGCTCTATCAATGTCAACTCGTGTTGCAAACAGCATGATACCATAGAAACCTAGCAAAGCATCCTGCTGAAAGAATATTAAAGACGAATCCTAGAAAAACATCCTGTTTGTCATCAAAAAGAGACTTGGACCAGATTGAAAATATTTGTTTACCGTCCCACACACACACATCAAAACAAGGCAAAAGTGTGTTGAATGAAAATTATCTAAGTATTGAATCCAATCTCTCTGCAACAGAAAAGTGTTGTAAGAGTTTTTTTTTCTGAGGTTGGATATTATAAGTGCCGACTGAAGGCAACAATGTTCCTAAATAAGTAATTAGGAACAAAATTTTAAATGGAACAGGAACTTTATACAAAGATGAAAGAACGTCAAGTAGAGATCCATACAAAAGGTGTGCTGAAGGGCCTTCCAGATTCAGATAAATATCGTCGTGCTAATTTTCAAGTATAAATATGAGTAAAAAAAATCTTCCATCAGGTTTAAAACATGGGTGCGATACCCAAGTTCAAATGTCAAAAACATCTTCAAGTACACTTCTTAGAAAAGAAAGTACCTCTTGAATAATACCCTTCAGTACAGTATGAGTTTCTGAGAGAACTTCCTGCATGAAGAAGCTCTGTATTTTTTCCGCAAGTCCAGAAGTGTCCCCTATCAATGCATAAGCATCGAGAACCTGCAAGAATTTATCCATAGCATTTTTAACTAAATCTGAGCTTTAACACATGAAAAATTATGATTTGATGAACCTTGTGATATGACTAAATTCCAAACTTTAATCTATATATACATATATATGCATGTTACTTAATGGCTGACTAATTGCTTCAGATACTTTACAGCATTGTAAATATCTTTTTATATTGAATCCAAAACATACAAGACAAAGGGCTAAATGACCCAAGGTTCTTATTAAATAAACTTTAAAAGCAACACAACGTTGAATCATCCTTTTTGTAAGAAAATTTGAACACATGTAGCTTGAAACCCAAGATGCAAGTCATATTCTGATACTAACTGGAGTCCTTGAAAATGAATCTGATACTGACCAGGAAAACATTAGAGATATGGAAAGATTATCCATCCCAAGGGAAATTCAGATGGAAGACATTTATGTGTCTAATCATAAAAAGCATAGCAGGATTCAGGGTTTCCATAACTGCAATCAGAGCAGTAGAAGAAAGCCAAGCTAAAACCAAAAACAATGGCGAGGAAAGAGCGGCAAGTATTAGATGCAGCCTGGTTTATGTTGTTTAAGGAACTTACAAAGTCACCACAAAAATACTTGCGGCAGACTAGGAAAACACAGACCTAAAACTTTCAGAAAGGGACAACGAAGAGGAAAGAAGATCGTCAGGAGTTTACTAGAGCTTAAATCACAGAGAGAAGTAGAAGAGAACTGCGTAGTGGAGTACTATTTGAAGACTAACCTCAAAGAATTCATATAAGTTTAATATGAAAGGTGAGAGCATCTACAAATAAAGTATATTTGTACTCTTTGCATTAACATATTGAGAGACGCAGGTCGTAGAATATTCGGAATTTGGAAACGACCTTCAAGTTTACAAAGAACATTCACAGAAAGATTAGCATTAGTGAACCATGGAAAGGAAGAATTTGTGGCCGGTCGTACTAATACTCGGGCATACACTTAAAATGGATGTTGGGGATAAAGGGGAGATGATTTATGGATCAGCAGTAAGTGTCAGAAACATGACGGTTCGAATCTGCACAAAACAGTCCGATTTAGAAAGGGGAAGAGGAACTGATCCCTAACGCTAATTTGAAAAGAAAAACAACAACAATCAGAGCAACTCAGCCGATTTGTGGGTATGGACATATTGACCTTTGACTGAACACTCTGTGATGAGGACATCTGGATCGAGACATGTCTAGCATGATGACTACTCTCGAAGGAAGATCATGGGAGAGCCAGACTTGAAGATCACTGGTGTTAGGTGGGAGCGAAGGAAGAAGAAAGAGAAGGAAAATGCAGAATTATAAAGTACTCTCATAGACGATTAACAGTAGAAAATAGACATCTGAATTTTTCTTTCTAAAATATATAATGTTGTAGAAGGAAGCAGTCATATGCTCTTTAGCTGAGCTCACATCTAGATTGCCAACTTGTCCGAAATCTTCAAACCTATATCATCTACCAGAAGAAGAGAACATAGCCAAGTTATCAAAAACGGTGACTACAAAGCACCATTAAAATGAAATACAAGAGCAGACTAAAAAACTTTGAAGTTGCATAAATGCATTAAGAACTTCAGACTGTTTCTGAAGAAAAAATATAAGCGAATCTCAAAGCTCAATGTAAAAATACATTAAAAGGAACTGGTGACTGAAAGATGGCAGAAACATGCCATGTTCCCACTATTGGAATCAAGTCATAGATGCATAACTTTACAGGAAGTTATTGAGACTAGTCAAAGTCAGGAAGCCGGATTATGCTGCCTAGTGGTAGAGCACTATTACTAGGATATCTTGAGTAAAATTATTGGAAGACCTCCAGAACGATTGAGAGGTTAATTTGATCACATCAGGTAGGTGAAAGCTGAAGAGGTTCGTGTATAGAACTATATAAAGGAGCAATAAGAGTTATACTGATGATAAATAAAGGATACCCAACTTGGAGTGTGCAGCTCTCATAAATCCCTTAAGATACAAAAAATAATAATCAAATTATCCATAGATATTATAGGGCATCAAGGACAAGTTCGCATAGAAAAAAATAAAAATTAAAACATCAGCAGGCTTCTTCTCGGCTGCTCAAGCATCATGTCACATTAGGTAAACAAAGCCAATTCACACAAGATGAACTATCTTGAAAAGAAACAACTCTTCCCCTTTGGTGTAACCCAAAAATGGAGATACTGACCGTTAAGTATGTCTCCTGATTGAAACTCTGGCATACTCCAAGTAAGAGTGAATCTAGCCTGTGAAGTGTCCTGGATAGCCAAGCCTGGGTGGCAATTAAATTAATGCAAAAAGTTTAAGTCTATTATTTAGCAACAGCTAAGAAAAAAGAAAAACAACAGTTACAAAGTATGTGTCAAATACTCAAGAAACAATTTACAAATATCATATAGCAACCTATTGTTGGCACGCATAACGTTCATATAAGACTGTCTGTAGAGAGACAGGCCTACTAATGAAAAAAAATGGCAAATCATTTAACATGACAAATAAATTCACCTCTACTCCACGGCTCATTTCTTGTACTGCTGTCAACCCTGAGAAATAATCAAGAACTTGCAGATATTCTGATAAAACTTGAAATGCCTGAATACAACATTCATAGATGGACATTATAACATCACCATGGAAAATTTTAATCTACAACCTTAGAAAAACAGACTTAACGGGCCGAAACAGAAGAAAATCAAAAAACCTTGAAGTAGTTTCCTTCTTCAACAAGAGTTTCAAGTTCCAGTTGCATGTCCAATGCACGACGAAGTTCTGAAAGAACTGGAAGCATGTCCTGCAAAGCAACCATAAACACTCTTACCTCCGAAAGCATGATCAATTCGAGTCAGTGTAGTGGCTAAGACATTTTTTGTCAATAGGCTGGTAACTCAATATTGGAGTAAGATCAATCCAGTTTTAGTAGATCCAGAGATAATCCATGTCTACGACTTAGTGGTACTAGCCAAAGATGAATTAAAATGCACACTACAGAAAACCTAAGTAGAAGAGTCAAAAAATAAAACTCACCAGAAGGACCCGTTTTTTCTTTGCATTAGCATTTACAACAAGATCTTGGGAAGCCTCATGCATTGAAGATGTTATATGCCTTCTCCCATTCTGAAAAATTAGTCTACATGATTGTGAAACGGAGCTTTGTACAAATTGACACACAACCAAAGAATAAAGCCTAAACAATGGTGTTTCCTCTAAGTAAATAAAATAAAAGTAAGAAATCAAGTTCACTGCACAAAAACACAGGAAAACTAGCTTCAACATCTGCCACAAAATAAAAGTATTTAACTAACATTACAGGCTCATAACAACGCCAATGATCACTGTGTTCCCATTATATTCCTTTCCCCTGAAGTTTTTTATTTAATAACAAGATGACAACAATCCAGTAGATTGAATAGGTGACAAACCTAATCAACCTGTCATGACAGAACACACTTGAGGATGACACCTAGTAAACAAGGATGGCAATCTATCATCAGTTTTCCTATCCAAAGATTAATGCCTGCAGAAGATAAAATGAACAATTGAATCATATTCAACATGTTATTAAATGACTCCAACCAAAGCTACATGCCTACATGGAAGCTGAGCTCCACTACCATGGTACCACGCTACTTATATTGCCAGCAAACGGAATGGTATGAAAGGACAGCATGGAAAGTGGTCTTTTCACTGGAACGACTAGCTCCTAGAAGGAGATAGATGTTTACATTCAACTTTTCAGACACAATCGACCAATCACATACCAGATGCCAAATCTTTTACAATCTAAATGCAAGGAGAGAAAAAACCATTTGAGGATTCGAGAATCTTTTGCTTACAAAGATGGAGACTACATAAATATGTCACTACCTATTAGATAGGGAATAGCAGAAAACTCAAGTTACGGGAAGATCGTTGGCACTCAAAAGGTTTACTAGAGATTCAATTCAATCATTAGTACAAAAGGGTTTTGAGAACCTTCAATTCAAGAAAAGCATTACACAGACTGAAGCGAAGGCATCCATAAAATTCAGCAAATTTTGTCCAAGTCTAGAGAAACAACGATGAAAAAGAAAAAAATATTATGAAAACAGGAGCCAATGACTCTTTCATTGAAGGTCATGTTAAAAAAAAAAACAACATGTGATGAACATTACAGAGTAATGTGGCAGGACATGACACAGGAAATTCTTTCATATAAATTCGAGAATCATTTTACAGTAGTGCTAAGAGCGATAGCAATCAAAAGATCAACGCGAGGGTCAATGTCAACAGCATCTTCTGTCGTTCTGAAGTTCTGACACTGGACCGTGTACTTGTGACTGTAGTATGGTTAGTATCCTATCAAACGGTGTTAAGAGTATGCATAGACTAATTGTCTCGTGGTCAAAAGCGTCAACTCAGAAAAGGACATGATTTCTTCCCTTTCCAGTTATAGTATGGGTGATCGGTTTGAAGCAAACAAAAAAACAGTAGTTTTGCTTATTGAACCCCGGGTACACCTAATTTATTGAAACCATATGATCTCACACTGATAGCATATAAGAACTTCATGGGATTCCCTGAGAGTACATTCAAGCGCCAAGTTATCACTAAACTGATGAAATAACTTAAAAGATTGATTGGCTGGTTAAAATTATAGTACTGAAAGTGAGAACTCAATCATCAACTGTCTCCATCTCTAATTTTCATAAGGACCAAGCTGATGATGTTCGGTTTGGCAGCCTAGAACCTATCACTTACACACTACCAAGTTAAACTCAGCAGATGAAGTAGATAGAATACATTGGGACTTACTAACGCACAGCCAAAACAGATTAACATTGGCAACTGAGACTCAACCGTGTAAACAGAGTAAAATAACACTTCAGAAGAAAAAGTAATTGATTAAAAAGGGACAACGCGAATAAACTTATTAGTCACAATGCTTACTTGCCAACCTTACCATGCATATGACATTTGCAACCTTTAGGTCTTGCTCCAATTCCGTCACCAACTGCATCCCCTTAACTGATGAGGGAATAGTATCAACATCACAGCTTAACGAAATTCTCATTACAGAAATTTAAGGCATGAAAAAGCAGAAGCTAGTATCTATCAAAATAATATTCACTAGAATACAAAACTCAGAAGTCTTAGCCTGTCAACTTTTAGCCAAACATTACAAAAGCTACTTCCAGTGAGGGGATTGGCCGTATAACCAGTGAAGAGACTTCAATATATTGATGGACCCACCTAGGATAAGGTTGCCACCAGGTGTCTCTCTAATGCCAGGGAGTGGACCCGTTTTAACAGTATCTTCATTGAGACGCCAATAATTTCTTTGAGACATAGTTAAGTGTCTTCACAGAAACCAGTTAACGAATTTGTTATAAAAATATCATGTAGTGCAAATCAAATGATGCACTGCTTTACAATTGTAAATTAAAAGGATACTCGTTAAGAGAATAAAAGTCACACTGGCTTAAGTCTCTTGTTAGGATCGTGGTTTTATTCTGTGTTATTTATCTCACAGCCAATCATATAATTTATCATCACATGGAATTCAAGCAGGATTAAGGCAGTTCTTGAACTTATGGATGTTTTCAAATTGAGAAAAATTAGGAGCTTCTGTTCCTACAAGTTTCCTAGTAGTACATTTTTTTCTGTGATATGTGAATCATGCATCATTATTCATACATTCACAGGAGAAATATCCATGCACGGATAGCCATGTATACTGAGACAAAAATTTATTGATTCAGTTGATAGAGAGATATCCCCGATAGAAAGAATTACATTAATTACAAAAATGTTAGTAAGTCAATTTATTTATTCCTAGCTTTTCTTCCTCTCTAAATTTGCATGCTTGGTGGGGTTGGTTAAATTGAGCTTACAGCTGGAACTGAAGTTTCGTCAGTTACAAATTCGGAGTACGAGATAGGTGACATCAAAAGAACACTTGATTGACAAACATATCCCCCATAAAGGTTAAACATGGAAAATGGATAGATGTTACAAGCAGCAAAAAATAGATAATAAAATTGAAGAAAAATTCCGATGAGAATTTTGCGACGAGGCATCTTCTTAACCATTCCCAATCTAATGGTGGGCAGCTGATTCAAGATATAAATTGAAAAGAAACATACCCATTTCTTCATGATGTTCCATAACATGACGTGATAGCCGTTCTGTAATCCTATCCAGTTGTGCAAGGCGAACAGTTGCCTGTGAAACTCAAAGAAGCAAATATCAAGAAGGTAAACCCTCAAAAGTACAAATCTTAGTCAGTTAAAGGAAATTAATGTAAACAGTAATCATACTGTATTTTATATCAACTTTCATTGTGTTTTCTACCAAGTACAAATGACAAGTTGTAAATTTGAATACTCTCATTTCAACTACTTCACTTTCAAGAAATAATCGTTTTAACAATCATTAGAGCAAAGGGAGGGATGAGTCGTATTTACTTTTTGAAGAAGCAAACAAAAATTGTGCTTTGTTAAAACAGGTTCTTGATAGAAAGTACTACTGACATCGGTTATACTGGAAAGATATAAATTTAAATTATGTCATGTGAGTACCATAACAATTATACTTCAAGTATTTAATTGGTTTAACTATTCTTACAAATGATTTACAGTATTTGGGAATGGCCATGTTTCTTTTTTCATCAACAAGAGATATATATCATCGTCTGCTTGTACTCTCAATGGCAAGTGACATCAGTTGAACTGGCAAGATAAAAATTATTTTTTTTTCCATTTCGACATTTCTAACTACTCTTCACTTACAAAATATAACAGCCTTGATATATTCATAATAATGATTTATCGCTTTTGGACCATTCCTGGCTATTTTTCACCAACATACAACAAATTATATCTTAGTTAGCACGTATTCTCAATAGTAAATGGTAAAATCATCAGTTATCGCTTCTATTTTTTTGTGCCGTCAGTTATACCTAAATGAAGTATTTCCTCAGTGACTACTTACACAGTTTTTAAGAAAAAATTTATAGCATTGTCACATGATTCTTTAGCATTCCGTAAAAAAAATTGCGTTTTACTACTGCATTATCCCGACGGCAAGTGGTACTGTCATACCAAAATATAGTCATATAGCAGACTTCTAAATTTTTCTCTATACACAAGTGATGAAACATAGACCAGGTACTATGACAGAAAGGAATGCACAACAAGGGGTAAATTTAAAGATACAGAAACTAGAAAATCGCAGGATCTTCAACAGAATACCGACTAAGCCAATAATAAAACCGACAAACAATTATGGCTACAACAGAGTAAACGAAATCAAATCTCACCCCCACGAAAAAACAACAATTTTCAGCATCTCCCTAAGTGCATTAATGAAGGGGAAAGAAGTAGGGTCTGGCGCAACAATGAGTTGTTTTGACATTCTTCAACGGGGCACCTTTCTCTGGTCCACATGTTCTCTAATTTAAAAATAGCAGGTTCAGGTCAAAGATTCCAGGCCCAGAAACCTACTGAATGGAAAGTATGAGGAGAAATGATGGCAGAGATTACACTAGCAAGCATGAAACTGACAGTGAAATAAACTAGCTTCTCAAAGGTTCGTCTAATCTCGAGTAATATTATGACAGAGCATATAAATCTGCATATAAATTAAAGTGAAATCTCCTCTTTGAAAAGTAGTTTCAACGAATGAGGTAGAACATCTCATATTCTCATGTATCTTTTCTTTGACGCATTTTGTGGCATATCCATACTTTCATAAAAAAGTATAAGAAATGTCGTATATTATGAATAATCAGGATTTATTTACTGTTTAAGGCTGCATATCTTAGGCATAAAGGTTTCAAAAGATTTCGGACAATAACTAGAATTATCAAACCTCATTTAATAGGTGGCCTAAGAGAAGTAAACAGTAGCATCCAGCGAGTGAATCAAAAACAGAAGCGGTTCCTGATTGTGTCGTACCTGCTTCTCAAAATATTGTAGATCAGCCTCTTCAGAAGGAATATGTTCCAGAATATGCTTCACTGGGTCAAAGTTCTGCATGATGTAACAAGGCAATGATTTAACCGTATAAATATAGGAAAACTAAAGTCAGCATCATATAAACGTTTCATGCGTTTAAACAAGGAAATCAAGAGTTGAGATCGTGAAACATGTAATATTCACATTATATAAACATGAAATATCAAATAATAGGTGCCTCGAAAAGAACAAAAAGAATGTTTTTATAACAATACTAATCAGAATATGGATGGGTGAATATCTGTTAGAAAACCTATAAAATTCATTCAGACAAGATCCAGGGGCCGAATCATGGAAGATTAGATGATTGATCTCTTATTGAATAAAGCACCAGCATGATAAATAGAGATTTTTCTCACTTTTAGAGTATGATGTCCAAGTGACACTCTCTTCACCTCCCACAACTCACACACAAGGTAAAAAACTCGTTGTTGTAAACCAGAAGTTTTCTTGGATTGATACCACTCTTCCTTTTTGATATTACATGTCTGAAAAAGCCAGAGTACTTTGTCGAATTATACATAACTACAGCCACTATAAGGATTATGGTTCTGATTTAATATGATTCATGTCCAGTGATTCATTAATTAAAGGACGGGCGTACATTCAACATGGATGTGAAACCTATACTTTTCAAAGAAGAAAAAAAATTCCCAGCCTTCAGTACATTGGACACCTACTTGTTTACAACCAGAGACTACTCTTTTCCAGGAAAATACCATTACAGGCAACTACCAAGCCGCTATTCAACCTCCCACATATAAATTTACAGAGAGACCTAGCATCACTAGCAGCACATCAATTGGATCATCAGTTCTATTGGAAAACTACTTTTCCTCCAAACGCCACACATTGTTTTGTAAAAATAACTGTCTTCTTAACAGAAAAGAAATAACGATGTTTATCACAAAATTAACTAAAAAACTCGCATAATCCAACAGAAGGTTGAAAATTAGAAATGATTGACTATGTTTTAACAAAAACTAGGGCAAAAGCAAAGGTTCTAGAAATGTAATGTTATAAGCCCATTGTCAAGAAAATATCAATCAAGCATCAGATAGAAAATAACAAATTTCCTTGAATCTTTTTTTTGAAGTGATCAACAAGGGATACAGAAAGAGAAGACTGAGTTAGTGAGATATGATCATTCCCAATGCCTGTGAGATTAAGCTAGATCATACAGGCACAAGAAAGGACAACCTCTTCATAGAATTCCTCCTCTAGATCAACTGTAATTTGACCGGGAGTTCGGCCACCATAAATAGAAATCAGCTCTTCAGAACTTGACGAGAGGTTCTGTCTTTGATGTGGGGGGATTCCAGCAAGAGCACGTGCAACAGCGGCAGCTGCAGCTGCACGAGCTGGGACCTGTCGCAAAAGATAAAAAACGCATTACTTCAAAGGCATTTAAGTCTCTATGGTGTGTGTTTTGTCAGAAAGCTGGTCACTGTCAGATGTAATGAGTGAGAAACAAAGATGGAGCATTTATGTGTTTCTGCATGTCCGCTGATATTTCCCATTCCAGGAAAGAACCGTGAGAATCCTTATTTGCTATGTCAAAGATATTTCCCTTTTACATTTCTCTGTATGACTTCTCATTATTTTCCCTTGATCTATATATGTTAATATGTCAACTTGAGACAAAACAATCCTTGTGTTTAAGGATTCATTCAAAACTAGATGCTTCGTGTACAGGATAGGATAATTATAGCCCATCTGCATGTCGCACATGCTTCTGAAAAGCTTTAAAGGATCATTATCATAGGTGAGCATCTCAGGTGATCCTGCACTCGTATTTGGAGAAACATAGTAATGTATGGCAAGGAATAAACCGATATGCTAAGAGAAATATTCAATGCGTGCACACAAATTTGAGACGACAGTATCCAAATAGAAAACAAAGAATATAACTGACACTGAATTATATTTGCAGGAATCCTCACCATGGTCAGAAAGATGTTGCCTAAGCCTTCAAAACAATGTATCAAATACATGGGTAGGCATGACACGGAGAATCTCAAATAGAATTACATGGCAACGTAATCCAGAGACCATGGGCGGACAAACTCCACTGGTAAAATAACGAAAAAAAAATCTTTCAAAGTTAAATCATAGGGATGTTGTTAAACAGAAAAATGTTTTTTTAGGAGGCATTCAGCGAAATCAAAACGAAAGAAAGATAAACAGCAGAGAACAATTAAGAAGGGATAAATGGTTCAAAATAATGTAATTCAATGGTAGGCGCTTAAAGGTCCAAATATGTCCATACTATGTATCACAAAAGTGAAAATGTCAAAAAATGTTAACAATGTACCGAAAGAGATGACAACTTTGCATAAAATTATAAATCATTAAAAGGCAACTGCCTGTGCACCTCAAATCATGTCCCCTGTCTTACAACACAATTTTTACTTCATTTATCTAAATACACATCTTGAGTAGCATAGGCACAACTCATATCTGAATCTGGTCGAGACTCTGGTCTCAATAATGAACAATTTTTTTATGAAAACTGGAGCTTGTCCTGATTTGCTTAAATTCAGTTCGGGGTTATTCTTTTGAATATCTAGCTTATCCTGGAGGCTGTCAGCGAAAACTTCGTAATGTGAAATTTGTTGAAACATTATGCATGACTGTATTTATCCCTTCCTTTATTTTTGATATTCAATAGATCATATTTTCTTTCAATAAAAAGGTCCCATAATGTACTTGGAAACATAGGTGAATTATCGCATTATTTGGGAAGATGAAAAAGATATCCTAAGCAGAATTCTCACTCGGGAAGTTTCTAGTGATCTAGGGCATGCATGACGTGTTTAATTGGCGACTCCTGGGTCAGTTCGTCTAACGGCCATGTGCTTGCCACTGAGTGCGGAGCTGTAGCCAAAGAGCAAATAATCGTTGCCAAATGAATCATGGCACTAGTGAAAGTGCCAAGTCGAGAGTGAGGGAAACAAATCTCTCGATCATGAAAAATGTAAAAGCTGAGCTTACCTTGTATTTTGCCATCTTTTGACCATTAATTTACCCCCTCGATTGAAGACACTTAGAACATACCCATCAACTCGTATCGAAACGCATCGACTACAGGTAAATAGGGCAATATTCCCCGAAAATTAGCATGACCTTACCTCAGGCCGATCGGATGGAGCAGGTAGGAAGCCAAGGGATCTCGCCGACCGAACGGAATTAAGAAGCTTCCCCCCGACCTTGGAGAGATCCATGCCCCCACCTTGGAGGAAAAAGAGAGAGAGGTAAAACAGCGGCCCAGGGCTCCCGAACCCTTCGACTGGGCTCCCTCCGGTAAACGAGGGTCCACCCGGCGGATCAGGCCGCATTTCAGTCCACGCGGACGAAGAGATCCATCAGCGGGTACTCCTCGCGCTACAAGTTCGAAGACCACCCATTCTCTCCAACCTTGCAAGCGCACGACGAGGAAGATCGGAGCACCTACGGCATCTCCAATTCCTCCTCCTGATGTGTCGCTCCCTGGAGACCGGATCGAAGGACGTTTTTGGTGTGGAGGAATTCCCCTTCCTCTCTGTGTATGAGCCCAGCGCCGCTTGGAAGTGAGAGAGATCGCCTGTTGGGCGGGAGGCGGTGAATGTACATGAAAACGCGAGTCAAGCGGCATCCATAACTCTCTAAATCTCCTTTTTTTTTTCCCTACAGACTAAAAAAAATGTCAATAATATTGTAAATCTGTCGGTCAAACAATATTGTAAATCCGTCGCTAAATTTACTAGATTTCCAAGTCAAACAATTGCAGTCGCTCGGGGATCGATGGGGGTGAGTCAACTGGAGTCCCGAACTGGGGGGGCAATTTACACGAAAACCCTTTCCCACTAGATGCCTACCTGTTGGGTCCATCACTGGGCCTTAACGCATTACTAGCTTAGGCGTCTCTTACACCCAAGAGATTTCCTTGATGGGCCATAACGCGATAACATGCCCACAGCCTACTTTCATATTGGGCCTCACCGAAATCCAACCTCAAGATTTTATTTTATTTTTTAAATTGAACTCGAGCATTAGTTTTTTCCAACGTCTGTAACTAAATAATTTCGTCATTTATGATATGGGGGATATTTATTAATTATTTTAATTTCGGGGTCGTAAATAGAGTAAATAATGCGTTTCCTAGACCAATTAATAAAACGATTTGCATGGTTGCGCCGCAAGCAAGTTGTCGTCTTTCAGTCCTCAGCTGCCACACGAACGGAGAAATTAGAGGCCGTTATTTCCATATTTTTCATAATTATTTACGGTAGTTTCTGCTGATAATGTGAATTATGACGCGAATTTTGTATACCGATATTTTTAATGTGATTTGTTTACGGACTTATTCAAAGCAGAGCGCTTTTTCGTGTTTTTTTTGTTTCTAGCAACTTCCTTGCTCGCTGGTTTTTCTGTAAATACTTCGGCTTTTTTCTGTTAAATGAAGGATACATCGGACGACCAAGCTTCATGCGGAAGCTCCTAGGCAGTTTCGTTCCGCGACGGTTCCCTTTCCGAAGAGGCCCCTGGAGATACCCAATCCCCTCCCCTCCCATCAAGTAACTCTTCTGTGCCGGGGTTCGGCTTCTCGCGCGCGCCGTGTCCCGTTACATCGTCATCCAGCGTTCTCCCTTCCCTTGCTTCCTTCTCAAGGTCCGGGGACTCCGAGATATCGTCTTTTCCTCTTGTAATTTGAAATAGGAGGGCGCTCGTTCTGAAGGTTTGTCGCCTCGAGATCTCTTTAATCATTATCATCATCATTCTCTGCGCCCGTCGAATTGCTTTTGCTTTTGTTCCCAAAAATCGTTGTTCTAGAGCGGCGTTCCTCTCATCTCGGGAGTTCTAACAGTTTTTGCGAAGAAATGTTACCGTCGTCGGACTTAAACGACGGTGGAAAGGCTGTTCTCAATTGATCTACGAGAGTGCTTTAATTCGCAATACAACACACTGGGTGGCTTTATGAGCTATTACTGTTTTGCAAGGGTTTTACCGAAGCACTCTATACAAGCTGTTAGCGTAATAATTATGTTAATTCATATTTTCATCGATGCGGCATTGAGCTGATCTATTAACTACGAATCTGGTCCAGGGAATTCGTGGTTGCTCTGTTTATGAGTAGAATTTGAAATCAACATACTTACAGTCCCTGGGGATCATTCCTGCATTGTAGAGTCTTTTAATTTCAGAAAGCATCATGAATTTATTGTCGCTTTCAACAAGCTAGAATTGGCTGAGTATTTTTAGTTACGTGTGTAAATTTGGACTAAGAATATGGTTCTGGCCGTGTGCCAAGTGTAAATTTTTTGGAGAGAGAATTAAATCAGACGCTTAAATGAAGCCCAACCCAGAAGGGTCAAGTCGCTGGCTGCTTTGTCAAATGGAACCGACATTTGAATTTGGTTAGTTCAATGGCTGATTTGTCTTAAGTTGCACTTGATTTGACATCTACAACCTCTATGTTATCTTTCTGAAAATTGGTATGTGTGAGGCCTTGCACGTACTATTGAGAAGGTTATCATTTTCAAGTGTGGTCCTCCATGAATTGGTATAAAACTATATTTCCGATTTAGGCTTTAAAGCATATCATACTAAGCATTTGATACAATTTTCAATGTTTGCAAAAACCCCTTATGATTCTCAAACATTCAGAGGAGCCATATATTTATACCAATAAAAGCACTTTATCTCCCCTGGATTTTTAGAAAGTCAGCTCACTGTTCCTTCCAAGAATTTTGGTGGTGTATCTCTATCTTATATACGTGGATGTTTGTTAGTGAGTTATTGTCGTTTATTACTGTGTGACGATATTCTATATTTTTTTCAGAGCTTGAGGGATCAACATGAGCTGGAAGTTTCCTGCTAATTTTTTGGGGTAATGTCTGAAGTTCTTTGGTAGAAGTGGGCATTCAGCTCCTCTTAGATGGGTTTAATTTTCTTCCTAACTGCTTCTCATTAATGCATTGCTTTGGCTTTATGAATCTTAATCTTCTCTATTTATCTGTAAGAAAGTAAATATGCTTCATTTATTCATTAGATTTATTTCTAATCCTCTCAAATGCTGTACTATAAAGAACCTTATAATCTTTTGATACGTGAATTTAATCTGCAATCATTGAATTGATTCATCTTGTGTGAGCTTACTGAACTCTCTTTGCACGTGTAACACATGCTAGGTTGCTCTTTTTCTTAAGTAGATGACATCATTGGTCAAACTGGAAATCGTTCATCAGATTGTGCGTGTACTATTTTAGGAGCTATTAACTGGATTTGGAGTGATTATTCCGGATATATTTGCCTATATTTTTGTACAATTGAGCTTTGAATTATTTACAGATCTGGCCCGGAACAAAATCAGGCACCAGATATTCCTACACAGTCATGGTATCCTCCTCCTGTCACTGGTTCATCCGCAAGTTCGCGCCCATCAACCCCAGGTAGCTCATCTAGTGCTACTGCACATCAAAGAGCGTCAGATAATTTTCAGTCTCCGTCATATGGGCATCCCTCACCTTCTGAAGCAGCAGGGATAATTGCAAAGTTGAAGGATAAGAGGTAAGTGGTCACAAAGTTTTCTTATAGCCTTTTTCATGTTACTTGTACTATTGAATGGCATTTTTTTTCTGGATACTTGGACCTGCTATTAGCTCATGGCATACCAGCATTTTCTAGGAAACTTTCATTTTTCCCCCAGAGTTGAAAGCAATGTGCCGCTGATCAGTTAAAATCACCATTCGTTCCGTTATAGATAACATTCAACTGTTTGTAAAGCTGCCTCAATGGCTCCAACCTCCACAAATCATTTTTTCCAATAGTGCGTTGAGCATCGCAAACGCAGCATCAGATTCTCTTTTCGTGGGTAGACTTTGACATTAAAGATCAACATCCTATAGAAATTTGGTCACAGAAGACTAGTGACTTGTGATTGACTTGGTCGGTTTTTCAATTAAGTGGTAAACATATACTTTCTGTGGAGAGAACAGTGAATGATCTCGTTGGTGTTTTTGAAATCATGGGTCTACTTTTGGTGATCCAATTCCCTCAAAAAGAGAGAAAATGAACGAGAGAACTGGCGTTGACTAAGCAAGTACCTTAGGATAAATATTTGATTGTCTAAAGAAGGCTGTAAGAAATGCGGTTCTCAAAGGTACTGTTGAAATTGTAGACCACGGTGTTGAAATGCGGTTCTCAATGATACATAGTGATGATATTTTTCATCAGATCCTTTCATTTAAGAGAAGCACATTTTTGATATTTTGGGAAGAGTTGCTCTTTGGAGAGCATAATACGATGAAAGTTGAAAGCTGTCATTGGAAAACTTTTCTTTCATTTGGCCATCAGGTTTAGATGAGTTCAGCATTCCATTATCATCTACTGTTTTTGGACAAATTTTTTATCCTTCCTTTGTTCATGTTTACCAGTTGGGTTTTCTCTTTCCTGTAACTGCAAGGAAAAAGTATGTAATAGCCCGATACGAGACGTTTGATATATTTCCTCTCGCCAATTAGTCATATGGTCTTGGCAAGGTTGTTTGCTGAAGTATTTGGTGTTGCCTGAAAATAGCATATTTAGTAGACTCTAATTTATGAAAAAAAGTTAAATCTGTGATCTTGAAAACAACCTCTTCCACTTTTTCTTCCTGTTCTACTCCTGCCTGCTTGCGTTTCTCTGGCTGATGTTTGGAGTTGGTTGAACTTTAGCTTCTGTTCCTCCTTTTTCAGTTTACACTGGAAGATGAAACATTGGTATTCGTATCATTATATACTTACTATTACAGTAGTATCTCATCACTTTTTTCTTTTGGTAAAGTGGGAAAACAAGTAACCCAGGTGATGAACCGAGGTTTTCATTAATTCCAAAATCCTTTATTGTAAACTAACAGAACGATGCAAAATAGTTTGAATTGATTTGCATTCTTAGAATTATAAAAATCACGATCAGGAATGTTGAATATTGTGAATATGATCCAAGATATGAACTTGTTTCATAGCCAACTTTATATTACTCATCAGTATCCTCATTTCGTTATCTTCTTATATGCGCAGTGTTGATGATTTAAGGAAACTTTTAACTGACAAGGATGCATACAACTCATTTTTCATGTCGCTCGAGCAAGTGAAAATTCAGAACAATGTATGTATCGCACGATATCACACTTTGAATTTGTGTATATCTTATTTTCTATGCCAGAACATTTATGAATGTAAGGCATTGCTCTCTCTCTCTCTCTCTCTCTCTCTCTCTCTCTCTCTCTTACTTGGGCTAGGGTTTAGTTCCCTCTGGGATTTTTAGACTTACTGCTGGCCTTACATGTCTTCAGCTACGTGATGAGCTGCAGAAGGAGACCCTGCAACTAGCGAGTAAGTTGCTTCCTGGATGCTGCTTTTGCGTGAGCTGAAAAAAAAATAATAGAAAAAACTGATCCCAACCTATACGATTGCAGGAGAAAATCTGGAAAAAGAACCCCGGATTTTGGAGCTTAGGAATCAGGTAAGTTCAACGATTTCCATCATGCTTGATGCATATTCTGAGTGCACATATTTTTTCCTATTTTTATCTCGCAGTGCCAAATTATAAGGACGAGTGAACTGGCAACAGCGCAAGAGAAGCTCGCTGAGCTGGAGAAGCAAAAGGAAGAAACGTTGAAATTTTATTCTCCTCATCTACTTCTCCAGAAACTTCAGGGTGGGTCTACTCGTAGTTTTCATATTTCACAGTTGTTGCAGAGTATATATATGCGTATATATATAGCTAAGATTGCGCACGATGAACCGATCTGCAGATGCAATTAACAAAGTGGATGAGGAGTCCGAGATGCTCCACCGACAGCTTCTTGAGAATCAGACCGATCTCTCCTCATTCATACAGAGATACAAGAAGCTGCGAATGATCCATCACAGAAGAGCCCTGGTACATCTTGCTGCTAAGACTTCTGTCATCTGAAGATCAACAAAAGCGGGCTGCATTTCTGGCAGGTTTACAGTGTCACAGGACAGAAGCTGAAGCACATCAGCCCGAAATTTGTACTCGTACCATTACAGGACAGTACCATTACAGATAAATTTGTACCGAAATTTGAAGGTCCTGTGTAAATCCTCGAAAACTAGAATCGTCTGCCATGAGATGATCGACACAGCTTTCAATATGGCTTCGACTCAGGTTTCACATTCGCCATTTCAACACCTGTAAATGTATGTAAAGGATGTGTTGAGGGGCTATTATCGGGGCCCCAGCCATGTGGAAAGCGGTCCTCCCTAATCCGGGCCGACCCAGCAAAAGGGGGACCCGGGTAGGTCGGGCCTGGTCACTGACAGTGGTGGGTCTTGAGGAGGACCAGGACTATATAGGTTCGGAATCGTCTCGAGGACATCAATATGGTAGATTTAGCAACAGTTGAGCCAGATCGTAATGAAGACCAATTCAGCAACAGTTGGAAAATTGCCCAACCAGAAAGGACGAAGTATGGGTATAGGATTCGCCCTTATTCATCTACTGACCGGATCCTAGAAATGAACAGAATCATCGATCTAGAAGGCTTCTTCGGTACCACCCGACTTCTTCGCGTTTATGGGATCCAGTGCCTGTCGGACGGCGGCTTCAATTATGCTCGCCATTAGAAGTCTTGGAAAAAGGGATTCCACGGAACAGGATGAAGAATATGAATCGGATGTGAGTGAGTTTTCCTCCCTCTGGGGCTGATCCTTGAGGAGACCTTTTATGTCCCTCTCGATCCACCCTTATGCGACTCTTCCCTGCTCCTGGGGAGAAACAATCCAAGAGTAAAAAATACGATATTTACATCAGGAGCTGCCTCTAGGCTAATAATCTCAGCTAGGCTAATGCTATATTATAATGATCTTATCCCAAGGGTTTTTGAATCCGGCCATTCCTCTTCCTCTCAAGCTGCTTCTCTTTATCCTTTCTGCTCTTCTCCCTCTTCAGCCTATATCTCAACTCCTTCTCCTTCTCCTGGATCAACTGACAGTACACCTCACCAGTCAAAGGCCACAGGAATCCTTTTCTGGGGTAGACTCTGTCCTCTGTCGCCTCCGCCAGATCTTCGTCCATGCTCCTCAACAGCGCGAAGTCAAAATATTTCAGCCACATAAGACCCCTACGTTGCTCAACAGGGTGCTGTTCTCTGACCTTCCCGGACTGGGGATCCAGATAAACCATCTTCCTGGCGCTGTGGTAGGCCCAGACGTTGACGAGTAGCTCCAGTACTCGACAGTAACATTGCTTCTTCTACGGAGCAAAAATAAGAAGACAGTTCCATTGCTTGAATATTACCTCGCTAATAGTACTTGAAAGCATAAAAAAAGAAAGCCCCCAGTTTCTAATCAGAAACCTTTACCTCCAGCTTTGATGATCCAAGAAGGCATGAATTCGGAACGCTAGAATTACTGTTTAAGCTGTCCAGCGAATCCAGGAACATTCTATCACAGCGAGAGAGAGAGAGAGAGAGAGAGAGAGAGAGAGAGTAATTAGTGAATAATAATTAAGTAGGTGAATGAAAAGTTAAAAGTGGAAACATATACCTTGAGAACATGATGAACTCTAGAAATGATGGTGTTGGCATAACCCAGCTGTTGAGGGCAGACCAGTGACCACTGCTGGGCATCGGAGGCAAGGCGGAAACACCACTCGGTATGCCATACATCAGCCTAAATGCATCTTCAAACACGTCCCTACGACAGGGAGAAGAAACCATATCAATGACCTTGCATAGACATTGCATAGGATGCAGCCACTGATTAGTAGACCGTACGCTTGTCCCCAGCGCACATCAATATTGAGAAATACTATGTTATGCCTTAAGTCGAAGCGCACAAACTGTTATTTTCATAGCATTATATAGAACCCCCGGCAATGACTTGCAGAAAATATTAAAAAAAATCGCCCAAATTTTAATTGAAATTTCCAAAGAATAAAAGGAAACCTGCAATGCCCATTATTCAAGATATCGCATATCGACCAAAAGTCGTAAGTATAATTTCCCTTCGTGTCCTTAGTCCCCAAGTCTGCCCTTGCCCAATAGTAGAATACATCTCCCTCAGTTTCTGTTCGTAATGTCTGCTCCAGTGTTCTTTCAGCCTCAATAGTTAAAGAAACCTACAAAGAGGGAGATGGTAAGTTCGTTTCTTTCCAAGCCAGAGCTTTTCCCTCACGAAAAGGGAAACAATTCTGAAAGTCAAAAGGGTGGCACAAGCTCCGACTGAACCATGCCGAGAAATTTGTCAAGGTCACTATACAATATCTGTCGAAAATTTACCAGAACAAGGACCAGATTCTGGACAAAAAGGTACCAACAAGTAGAATACAATCAAGACAAGCATAATGTGGACAGGATGCCTGGAGCATAAATGTCTAGAAAATAAGAAATAAATAAGGTATACAACAAGCAGAGGCTAGGAATCAAAACACATCAGGATGGAAATAACAGGGTAGACTTCATTTGATCGGTGGCAGTTGAACCCGCCATATATTAGAGGCCTTCTCCTCAGGAGAAAAGTAAAGTTGAAGGAAATGGAACAGTACAGCGTCTTTCTAGTCTACATAAACACCTTTTCACAGCACGGTTTTCCTTCCTTCCCTTTCAAAAATGCTTCCACGAATCAGTAAAAAAAAATTCAAACCTTCATGCAATATTATCAGGCAAGCAAACGAAAAATGAAAGCACTTGACCTTCTAAAGAGCACTCAGCCTGTCAAAATGGAAAACCGTTTCCCACCCGTCTGGTCTTCAACAAACTATTATTACAAGGCAGAAAAATATGTTTAACGAAAATTAAACAAATTTACCACATGTTTGGTTATTGCCTTTGATTTTAAAAAAAATTACCCACACAACGTTGTTTTTAGCCTACAGTCAATGTAAATCGGTAGGTTTATTAAAAAGAAGGTTTTATTAAGTTTGTAAGTCATAGACAGAAAATATTGAGGATAAAAAGCTTTATTTTAGTAAAGTGTTAATACGAATAGATGACAACCCATGTGAATTTAACAAAAATGTCATCAAATTTCCTTCAAGGCAAATGACAAGAGTCAGTAGAAATATTATTACATGGCTACAAATTGATGTTTTTGCTTCTGTTGAAACTTGAGTAGCATTATTCTAAAGATGATGATGGAACTAATGATCTGTTCTCTTGCTCAATAAAACTTCCATATATGTGACTTAATTCCTAAGCGACTTGAAAAAATGCGCTTAACCTGAATAGGTAGGTTATGGTACTGAAGTTCCAAAAATGAGAATGCGAAAAAAGCATATGAAACGAATGAGAAAATAACCACAACTAAAAAATATTTAGATAAAAACAAGATACCACAAAACAATTACCATTTTCCTGATGTATAGAAACAATCAACCCACCGAAGTATTAAAAAAAAAACATGACTTTTCTAAGGAGAAAGACAAAGCTTAGAATTATGAATGCAAGTGGCGTCACACACCTTCCTTCCTGCAGCGCGCCATGACTGAAAGCCAATCCATGGTGTCTTATGAATGCTATTGGACTTATTGGCTATAGCCAACATGCCACCATACTCACAAAGAAGATCCCTGTAGTATGTAATATTCAAGAATGAAAGACGGAGCACAGCTCGAACATCATCCACCCTTGACTCTTTGGCGTCTTTAGACTGTCAAGCCAAAAAAGGATGATGGAATCAGACCACGAATGAATAAGTACATAAAACTATTGTAGTTTAGGCTTGGATATTTAACCATCACATAATCACTGACTTCTATAGCAATCATTACTAGCTTTTACAAATTTAGTCTTTGATTTTATTAATGGAAAATGATTGAAATATTTTAAAAATAATTCTACATTCTTTAATAACACTCATGACACTGACGGATAACTTTTTATGATCCCAGGTGAACACGGTGAACAATTGCTCTAAAATCATCCAATTTCCAGCCACGCAGCCCCTTGTGTGCCTCAACAAAAATTTTGAAACAGCCCTCGATCAAGTTTCGACATTGATTCCGAAAAAGGAGAACAGTGATATAAAGAAGAATTATTTGAAGATATGACAAAGTCAATGGCCCTGTAGTATTGGGCAGATGCTAAGAAATGTGTTACTACAATCCACATGAGAATAGAGAATATTATGACGAAATAGATTATTGTCTGTTGGCGACTATTCCATCTGTTGTGAAGAGAACAGACCATGGGCAACAACATATTTCTTTTTATCATTGGAGCTATAACTTGAATCAGCCCAAACAAACTCATTGACAGTCTAGATGAATGAGGAGTTTCAACCTTTTTGGAGAATACAACCCATAAGGCAATGGCTTGTGGTCATCTGTGAGCAGTCGATCACCAATCAACAGAAGGGTCTATCTTTCAATCGTTCTGCGAGGCTTGGTATATTTTAAGCATATCATAAAGAAACAGAATCAACTAAAAAGAAAGTGGTTCGCGGTATGTGACAAGACTATCCTAGTTAGCTGGAGTGTAGGACACCATTACCCCAGATTTTATCATCCAAGTCTCACATAAGTTGGAAGTTCATCTGTGACTACTTCATGGCACTCGCCTGCCCAATATGAAAGCTTGGAGCGCTATGGACTCGACTGAGAATATCTTTACGCAATGCATCCAGTTTGTGTTATATTTGCGATTCAGATTTCTTGAACTAATCAGGCAAGTATGCCTGTTATCACAGAAAATCCAGCAGAAATCAAGGTGCTAAAAATTGTTCTCCCTTGGAGCATCCAGCTAAACCACCAAGATTCAATTCACCAACATCGAAAATGTTCTGACCTCATCTTTTGCAGAAAGATTAAACCCACTGATGGCCACCAGTGGATGTCATGGATGTCACTTCTCCAGCAGAAACCAGGCACAAGGAGACTCTTTCTAACGGACCCCAACACAATGATTATACTGCCTTTGGGAGAACCATAGAGGGCACTAATAGAAGCAAAATACAATCACCAACAATATGTCAAAAGAACTGTCGCTGTTGCAGAATCTCCATGTCAATGACATAATTAATGTCCCATAGCTTTGATCACATCAAGAACCTTTTGCCAAGCAATCCACTAGATTATTCCAAGTTATACTCACAAATATAGCATCGATGTTTTGAATCATCTATAGTACATCTCAAACTTCTTGAATAACAGTGTGAAAAAAAGGACCCAAAAATCCATCAGACTTTTTTTTGTGGTGACCATATTATACGACTGCAGTATTTTTACAAGGGAAAAAGCAACAATGGAGGATAAAAATCACAATCAACATGACCAAAATTTATACAGAAGTAAGCAATAGTCAACGTCAGTGAAAAATAATAAAGTTAAATAAAATTAGGTAAATATCTAAATTTCAACATTAAAAAAGTTAATGCACAATGGAAATAGATAGAACGAGTTAAAGATGAACAAGAAGAAAAGGATTAATGTTCCCCAATAATACCAGGACAGCAAGGAAAATCAAATATGCCAGGAAATATTGCAGATGCATGGAAGATATTCAAATCTTATGGATCCAGCAGTTGACGAAAAAAATGTAAGGAGAAGATTTGAAAACTTACAAGGCTCACTGCACGGTATAGTGCGCTATGGTGTAAAAATGGCCATGCACCAGCACCACCGTAAATTTCATAAATACTAACATACTGGCCTACTTTTTCAAGCTCCTCATCATCTCGTTCATCGTCTCCAAACTTTCTCTTTGAAGCTTTTCTACTTTTGCTATATACATCTTCCCATGATTCTGACGGTCTCTCTGTCCTCTCTGCAAGCTGCGTGGAACAAAAGATCATGCTGAACCATCACATAGAATACTTCTGAGAAAATGTAAACGCACGGCAGTACAGCCATCTTCCAAAAAATAAACTAGCGTACCTCTTGAATTTCTAGCGTTTCAATATCTTCAGAAAATTCCATTTCCCTAACATCTTCCCAGTCTGAATCACTAGGATAATCAAAGACAAGGGTTTCACTTTGATTTGTGAACGTGTCTTCCGAAATGCTCTTGTCAGCCAATTCTTCCTCAATAATATACACGATGCTGGATGTCTCACTAAAAACCTGACGGTGAATTGGCTCAGTTTCCCCTTCCAAAAAATCCCACTCCCATTTGTTCAGTTGAAGTTTACTACTGGGACCAGGAAGAACTGTGTCTGATGGAAATTGGACTACATTTTCAAGAAGCTTTGCATAGCCAATAATACAGTCCTGTGCCAGCATGTTTCTTGACAACAGTTTCCCAGAAGTAGCAACAGTGCGATTAAATGCATTTATCTCTGCTATGGCAAGTGAAAAGATAGTACTAAATGATTTGGGGTCACTAGATTGAAAAATAAAGCCATCAACTTCATTTGTGACCTGTAGAATAATGAATCTATTAGCTATATGCCAAAATATTATGCCAGTTCCATTTTATCAGTACATGAACAAACAACCGGAGGAGGATTTGGCATAGTACTTACGTATCTCTTTATTACAGTTAGATCAGGAGCAACAACCAGGACTCCAAAAGACATGGCCCGGGCTAACAGTGGAGGAAAAGTTTGTTCATCATGAAAGGAAACATACAGAACAATATCTGCTATTAACAATGCCTTGTTTACATTGCCATCCAAACCATAGTGCTTTACACAACCTTTCGGAAATCCAAATCGCGAAGCAATATCCGAATCCTGTTTTTGAACCCATTATCAACAAATTAATTATTTCACACCGCCAAGTCAACATTGCAAGGTAAAAAAGATAAAGACAGCATCACATGCATCGAAGTTTGGATAGGTTAAGGAATCATGCTGTGGATAATTAGCCAACAAAATGGAAGCATACACTTAAGCAAATCATCGGCTAAACAAAGAATGGGGATCTTCAAAACCTTTAGAGAATCCATGCTCATCTATAAGATGTCATTGCTTTTTTTTTTCTGGAAAATGGGTTCTTGTATATCACATTTCAGCACATGAATCCTAAATGAGTTATCAATGATGATCGATCTTTATCCAGTAGGGATGGGCATTTTAATATTGAGAATAAAATGTAAATATTCCCTTGACTATACAGTTCCGAAGAGTTGTTCCAACATGGCCATCTAGGCCAGTTTGGAGGACTCTACCCTCCATAGAGGGCCACGGTGGAGGGACAAAAAGTGGTAGGGTGGAAAAAGTGAAAAGAAAGCCTCTCAAGGTAAGCAGGATCGTTCTAGTTTTTAGATAATTTTTTTAGTACACTGTATGTTTATTTTAGGTACTGAATAGATTATTTTAGGTAGTTGTCAACAAAATGTTCCTCTGCTATTGCCTGGATTTTCTACGGCCCACCTTTCGTTCTCTAATTAAAATACATTCAGAACATAAGGTTGGAAATTTCAGTCCTCAACTATCTCTCAGTTGACAGACTACATTCTTGATGACATAAAAAACCTACAATTGAAAAAGGATCATTATTTTCTAGCTACTTGAAAGTTGATAACCATCAAAGATGTTTGCTTCATAAGTAAAAAAAAGTTTTTGAAAGCCAATTTACAAACGGACAGAAATTTCACAGATGTACGTTCCACGTTCTCAATTATCCAGAGTAGCCTAACCTTTTCAACGAATATTGTCTGACTATCATGTTAGGAACTCTGCTAAATAATGAAGAAAAAGAGAGAGTGCAACAAAACAGTATTTTTAACGTGGATGAACTGCTGTCTTTAATTTAAAAGATGTAAAAAATCTGTTAATGAACCAGTTACCTGAAAAGTACTACCATGGCCATCAGTGGACTTTCCCGACAAAAGTAATACTTTAAATGACTTTCCATGGTGCTTTAAATATGCAAATTGTAATAAGCTAGGTCCAATGAGATGCATTGCAGCTACATAGTCCCAGGGATCATTTCCATAGACGACAGAGCCCCCAATAACCACAACCACCAAATCATCTTCATCAAATCCGTCATCTCTTCTTAATTGAATTTTGGAGTGAGATGAAGCATAGCTTTCAGCTGCCCACACATCAACAGGGGACCCAGAAACAACAAAGAAATTTCCAGCATCAAGTGCAGTGTACAGCATCTGACAGAGAAATATGAAACGGTAAACATTTAATAAAAATGCTTTTACCAAGTAAAAATCTTGAATCAATGAGAAAAACAACAAAACGAGGAAAGCATACTGACAGGAAGAGAAGAATCAGGAAACACCACGATATCGGCCCTATTGAAAGCCTTTCTCCACTCAGAAATAATAAGCTGCCTGCCCATCTCTTTATACAGAGAAAGGCGCTCTCCGAGTACACCTTCTTGAATTATCCATATCACTGGCACATAATCAAAAGGTTCCTGCATCAGGCTGCCCAACACGAAAAGTAATTAAATAACATTCCACAAGAATCCACAATGCAGTATTGCACGGCCCAGGAGAACGCAAAACTTCAAAAAAAGTATCATGGAAAGCATCAATTCAAGACAAAAGCTCGTATCCTGGCTTCAGAATTTTTCAGGTTTGATCCCCAGGGAAGCCACTGTAGAATTATAACTTGAAATAATAAAAGGCCAAATTTAGGGCAGATTTTGGGTATCTATAAAACAGTCCTGAGTTGCGCGCGCAGTGAGAGCGGGTCACCGCATGCCGGCCGGGGGACGGGCCAGGAGCGGCCCCCTGCCGCACGCCTGCACCACACCCTCGGGCGTGGCCAGGCGGCTGGGGCGGGGGCCTTCCTCGGGCATTGAACAGTCGGCTCAGAACTGATACGGACAAGAGGAATCCGACTGTTTAATTAAAACAAAGCATTGCGACGGTTCCCGTGGATGCTCGCACAATGTGATTTCTGCCCAGTGCACTGAATGTCAAAGTGAAGATATTCAACCAAGCGTGGGTAAACGGCGGGAATAACTATGACTCTCTTAAGATAGTCAGATGCCTCGTCATCTAATTAGTGATGCGCATGAATGGATTAACGAGATTCCCACTGTCCCTGTCTACTATCCAGCGAAACCACAGCCAAGCTATTTTTTCTTCTAATTAAAGAATCAAAATTCTTAAGATCCCCAGAAACATGGGGTTCGATATATTTACAACAATATGCATTGTTGAATACAGAAAACATGATTTTCACCCTCATAAGCAGAACATAATCCTAGAAGTTACTGCTAGTCAAATTACTATCCGTTGAATGGATTGAATCAGTAAGTATAATCTTAGTGGCTGTAAAAGGATATAACGACAACAGTGAGCACCTCTTTGGCCGGCATCACCACCCAACTTCCCGTTCAGAGTATTACAAGAATTATGCAGGCCTCAAACAATGCCTTAAATAAAATAATGGCGTGGTTCCTAACCATCAGTAAATTTTATATATTCATATTCGTAACGGATGTCAAAACAGAACATTTACTAGTAGTGGATAGGATATCATACTGTCCACACCCTTGTCATCAGATCCCTCCATGAAAATAAATTTGTAAACTGATCATTAGACCCCATTCATAAGTAGTAAATCATACCCTGACTCAGCTTTTCATTTATGTCAAGATAGATTCTTAGAAAACCACTCAGCTAGTTGACTACTTCCTCAACAGTCTTTAAAAGTACATGCGTAGGTATCAAGGGAGAATTAAAACTACAGAGACGAACTTCCAACAATGCAAAAGTCGTAGGCAAACAGAATTGTAGCTGCCACGTTGTCCAGCATTATGTTGCTCATTTTCGCACGAAACGAAATTTCTAACGAAGTAACTACCTAACTCGCTCCTAGGACGATCCCACAAGCTACATTACATTGTACCCTCCCCAAAAAGGAAAACCATGTTTATCCAGTCATTCTACTTAACAAAGATAAGTGTAGTCCCCAAAGGGAATTCTTTGAGGTTCCTTCCGTAAGTTGAGGATAGCATACATCAAGGAACTCATCCATCTCCTCAATTTTTCCTACTTTTTTGCAGCCTAAATGAAATATTCACTTGAACCGAGTCCATGATCTTAATGCGTTGAACATCTATATTAACTCCTATATGACAAGACGATAAGACCCCACGCCTCTGACAGACTTCCAGTACTGCAACTTCCTCACCAATAGTACCAGGAACATGAACCAATGGGCCGATTAGACGTCCTCTCTTTTTGGTGCATCCTTCTTTGATTAGCAGTACCTTCGTTTGCCAATAACATCTCAGCTGCGTCCGTAGACAGATTAACAGACACTCCACATCCAGAAATCAGCAAATCACTTATCTCCACAAGAGGTTCTTCTCTACGATGCACATCCATTTCTGCCTTGATAGCACAAAGATCCCATGAAGGATGTGTTACTTCCAGAGCTGCTGAGGAAGAATCGTAGTAAAATGGTGAAGCTATTACTGGCCGAACAAGGGCTTTTGTTGGCTTCCAGATTACAGTGTTTTCTAATAAAAGAGACGTCCATAAAACATAAAACAATAAAACTTCAAAAAATAGTAAATCCAAACCTTGAAATGGTTATTCTAGCTTCAAGAGAGCTTAAAATGACACCTTCAAATCTGAAAGAAAACAAAAGAACAGTTAAGGCTACATGGAATCAAAAAATGAGCAAGGAATAATGGCATAATTGAAAATAGAATCACTAAGTTGAACTGAATGAGAACTCCCAGTGGGACTAGCAGGATGGGAAAATAGGGGATATATTTACAACGGGCAGAAGCTACAGATAAAATTCGCATTCGTAAACAAACATACATTGACCAATCAACATAGCTGTCACGATTCAACATAGAAATCTGACCCCCAATTTGTTCCCAATGTGGACGAGCTTTCCCATCTTTTAACGCAAAAACCTGGTCGAAGAAGGAAATTATCACATAAATAATTGAGAATCAAATTTGGATCATGAAAGAACAAATTCAGCTCCAATGTAGAGAAAGAACCATGCTTCATGAAAACTTCTGAAACATATTTTGAAAGTCATTCCCATCTCAAACATAGAATGGCTAACAGAGACTTGAATCTGATATCTGAATTGCCTGACATGAAACTACTCTAATGTGTCTACTGCAGCCTTCTCGTCTTAACAGCAATGATTGTGTAACTTATTTAAGACTAACCATGAGGGGAACAATGACTTTTTATTTTCTGTTAAAACATTACAAGAGTTAGAGCCTATATCTCAGGATTTACCAGGGTTTACCAGAACGGACCTGGGGTCTAGCTCTATAAACCTGAAAGCTGAGTGGATTGAAGGGTATCAGTCGTGTGTCAGCCACACGAATACACGTGCTTTTAGAGAGTAATGGCTCAAATATAGAGGTTTTGGGACGCTCTTAAGTGATAGTTTTGGCATTATCACATACCAATAATTTCATTTTATTTAATGCCTTTTTTGGTAATTTATGCTACCAACCACTTCTCGGGAAAAATTATCATAATGTTTCCTATCAGATTAAATGTTAACCATCAGAAATTCATACGCCGATATTTTTTTCTATAAAGTTGGTAATACCATAAAATCAATAATTTTAAAAAAGAATGTACATGTCTACCCAACAGGTCATTCAAAAACCACCCACAAGCCAGCTATTTCCTACGGCAGGAAATTGCAGACCATATTGATACATCAACTTCCTCAGAGCAGTAGAATCACTCCATTCTTCATTACAGAAACTGTCTTACCCATTCCTCAATAGTATCAAAAACATAAAAACTCTTAGTAGAGATGCTCTCTTTCAAAAATGAACGCGTTTCTTTCTGTCAAAGTTTACACACCAACAACTTTGAAGTATTTCATAATTTTTTTGCTTAATAATGCATGCTATAGATCACTTTCAAAATTATGCACTGTTATATTTGCAGTAAGTTGAATGACTGTCTTCTGAGGTTCTATGGCGAGCTTGGTGATAGGAGAAAAGATAAATCCTCAGACAGGCCACAATCAAAGTTCTTTTCAAGAGCTCTCCGAAAGAATCAGTGGGATTTTCACAAGTGAAGGGCCAAATCGTACAGTACATAACCACAAAAGCCAAAACAACAACATCTCCGTTCTCGTTTTTTTCTTCTGATATGATAGTTAAAATCCGAGAAAAACTGGGAACGATAAACTGTTGAAACAGAAAGGGTACCAAATTAGATTTTTTTATTTTTCTCCTCAACCACGTAGAAATTAAGGGCATCCAATACAGAAGGACATTCTAAGTGATTTTATGCAAGTTAAACCACTTTATAGACCTATGGACGTGGTTCTTGTGTGTAAAGACCAATGTTGAATGAACAAAAATAAACCCCACGAAATTCATCATCTAAAAAATAAAAAAATCAAATAAGAAACGTATTTGACCCGCAGCTTCAACGCGAGAAGCAAATAATATATGGTGTTGTGGCGGAGGATAGTTTAAACTTGTGTATAACCGTACATTAACAAGACCAGACCAAAACGAACGAATGTTTCCAAAAGTGCACGACCTTGACGCTGTTGTAGCTTTTTCTTCTTCTCTTTCTTATTTTTGTTGCAGTGGTGTCTGCGTGGTTTCAGGACAGAGGGGTGGGGGGGTGGCATCGCATGTAAAGCAAGTCAAAATTCTATTCCAAAGATAATAGGATGACTTACTGTCAGATGGTACCCAAGCTCTTTAAAACTTTTCACCAAAGTAAACAGCAACAAGGATGGCGAATCTTTTTCCATTGTTCCTAGGACCTGACACCACAGAAAAAAAAAGAGATCAAACGATATATTTAAGTCACTTATGTTTTTAGAAACATAAAGCAAGTCAGGCATGATTAGAAGAAGAGATTTGAGTGATAAAAGGTATGTCACGAGGCATCACATATATCCCAAAGAACATCTCTGATGAATCAGATGCAAATAACGGGCATTAAATTTCACAAGGCATTATGTCATAAGAAGACCATTTTTTAAAGAATCCAAACAGTTCAGCCAGTAAAGTATGCTGAAGGGTCGATTGAGCTCGAATAACGCAGCTCTAATCTAGGACGAAACAATGAACACTTATTCTGAAAAAGATGCTGATACTAAGGCTCCAATGGATTCCGAAAAATCCACTGACCTAGGTTACAAAAGGAATGGGAGAGATCAATGTCCCTATATGATCCCAATCCAGGTTTCCTTAGACAAGTTTATAATCTGGGATTTCTTTTCTGTTCAAAACCAACATTAAATGGCCAGTGCCTAATGGGTGGGCCGTGGGCCTAGTCTGTCATGAGGAACACAGTGGGAAAGGAACTTCGAGCATAGGAAAACAACTATATCTAGTTCCACCTAGAGGCTAACCTTGACACTCACCTCTCAATAGAACATATATTTTTAACCATAAACCTCTAACTAGAGCATATAACTATTAAATGATGACATGGGATTTTTTATGGCTAACCATAGAATTTTAGGCATCAGTTTTCTCCAAAAGTTGGGTTATTGTTATCAGTATCAATGGTAACATCATCATCATTATTACTAAAGAAAAATATTATTTGCATTTAGATCAAATGAAAGATGGCATGCATGCAACCACAATTAAGCCGTCAGTTTTGAGAAGAAAGGTCTTTTCTGTTCTAGATCATACCCCTCCCATTGCACAATGTTTGAATCCAACAAAGGTCAAATAATAAAAACACATCGTTCTGTTTCATCAAATTCATGTCGTGACGTAGGTACCTGGTAAGGCACCATTAGCTTTCAGGGTTACTTACACGCACCTGATATGTACGATTCATTTCCTTTCTTGAATCAAGTTAATAAAAAATTGTGTCGGTTCCGTCCAGAATGAAATCATAATAAGTGTAAGGCACAATTCATTTTCCCATGAAAAGCATACGATAGTAGGTCACTTGGGTAGGGAGGGAGAAAGGAATGACGGGACACTTACAATTGCAAGCCTTGGAAGCCGGACGCCCACCCTTAGCTCAGATCGAATCCTATCAAGCCCTCCCTGTTCATCAAACCTCCGTAGAATGTCTGATGGCAAAAATCTCACGACACTCCCGGTACGGCTCCCCTTCCCTTCTTCCCATGTATGCCCCCCGTTCCATCGCCTGTTCCTGATGCCACCGTCTTCCGTCGCTCTGTGCAGCAATGTTGCCAACAGAATGAAGCCACCTACGGCACAGGTGGCCAGCATATACGGGAGAACCGACCGCACGATCGCGGACGCCTTCCGCCCTCCCCCTCCCCCACCGCGCAAGAAGCCGGATCTAGCCGTCCCCTGCCGATCCAGCAGCCGGTTGGCCTCGTCCACGAACTGCCGCGGCAGGTTCCTCTTGATCACTCCCCCGGATCCTTGGTGTTGAAACCCGTCGCTTCCTTCCCTCGCGCGGCTCCCCGCCATGGACACCTCCTCGCCGGAGACGAGAGAGAGGAATGCCCCCGCGGCGAGACAAGAAGAGGATGGCGCCGCTGACTCCTGCGATCCAGAGCGGCGTCAGAGCCCGATGCGGAGTGTCCACAGCAAGCAGTCTCCGAGACTGAGACACCATAAGACGATGACTTCCCGCAAAACCGTTGAAACAAACTTGCTCCCATCCTCTTCCCTTCAACAGCGATCGGCGATGGGGTGATGCGTGAAGAACTCACAGCCATCTGACACGAACCCCCTGATCTCTCTGTCTGTGTCGGCATGCACGTTTCCCCTACCCAACAGCCGACCATAGAGAGCAAGAGGAAGCCCATCATATTCCATTATATCTATTTAATATGATGACAGGACCCTAACCGCCGTGACTAATATCTTTGCATTTATTATTTTGGGTCAAGACCATTTATTATGAATGAGACGGAAGCGCAATAGCTAGGGTGTCACCCATCAAACGGCCAGATCTCCATCGGCTTGCTCCGCGCAGAGTTCAAGGAACTGGAGGATCTCACGGCGCTCCCCCTCGGTGAGATCCACGCCGGCGTCCGGGCCGGTCAGACGCTCCCTCACCTCGATCTCTTCTTCGCGGACATCGTCGGCGAAGACCTGTGCGAAGACACGTGCGGTTGGTTCGGTTCCCTTGAGATTACAAAGCTCAGAAGGAGCTGCTGCAGTGGCGGCGCTCAATAACTACCTGGACGTAGTTGTTGACGTGTCCGTCGTCGTTGGGGGAGGTCACCAGCTCCTCCTCGTTGCACGTCCACTCGCCGTCGACTATGTACTTGTACTCGTATCTTCCGGCCTGCGAGGGCGACGACGGAGAGAAATCAGATGACATGAGGAGCAAAAATGCTCCGTGATAAATCTCGAATGAACGAGACGGTCGGACCAGTGGTTCTCTGTGGGATACTCACAGGCAGTTTTCTCTGCAGGGTCCAGACTCCATGCTCCTCATCGAAATCCAAGGGAATTCTCTACGGAAGGGGAGAAAAAAGCATGGACAGAGAAAGTCAGTGGACAGTTGAAGCATCTGCGAGAGATCTAAACAGATAGACAAGAATTGGGTGGCTGGGGCCTGCAACGTCCAGATTAATTTGATTACAAGAAAAAAAAAGAAAAAGAAGAGTGATGAGAATTTCAGCTGAGCCCCCGAGCAGCTACGAAAAATGTTTCCTATTTTTATAACGATATTACAAAGAATGTCGCCCAGAGGAGAAGTGTCGTCACCTGTCCCCATCCGATGTCGAGTCCAGAGACTTCCACTGACGAGCACTCGTCGTCCTTCCACGTCAACGTAATGACGTTTGAGGACACACCACCCAACTGTCAGGAAGATGAGGTGAGAAAACTGGACGAACTTGGGTTGACAAAATATGAAGAAAACCCGAACAAAGAGTGCTACACTGAAGACATCACACCCGGCTCAACCGTAGTAGCTCTAAAATAGCCTATACCCGCGAACGACCCAACGCTCGTTGGGAAAATTGGTTGGGAAACTGGAGGATTCTCGACAACGGAGTCCGAACTGATAAAGGCATAAAAGGAATGATGGACATTGGAGCTCACCATATCAGCAGTCGCATTCTTTATGGCTTCAAGCTTCGGAAAGCAAGACCGTTGACTCTGAAACAAGAGTAGACGACAACGTATGATGCACCGATTCACCGTAAGACATTGACTTTGTAAAGACATCATCATACATAGCAGATCGACCACGAACCCACGCAATTAACATTTCCTAATTCATTCCGGTCGTTCTTTCCTAATCCAAAGTCAACTCTAACGGATAGAAGGAGAAGAAGATTAGATTGGACAAGGGCACTGCGTGTTACCAGAAGTAAGTCGTGCGCATCACTGAGCTTATATCCAAGGACCCAAAACATGTACGCCAACTACAATTTCATAAAACAGAAGACAATTAAACTACGAGGAAATTTTAAAAAGAATAAATTTAGAAGAACAAATGCAACAGAAAAAAGCAGGTCGCGTTTTTAATATTTTCCATGAATTTGACGTTTAGAATCAAAGGAGGTGGTGCGAACTCAAAGGTAACCATATGCATACAACAGCAACTGTTTTTGTTAATATCTTGACCTATCTGGATGCGGATCTGGTTATAGAGGCAACCTCAAATGGTAGCCAAGCATTCAACGGGAGGCAGTCACAATTCCTCCTTTTCACCCGACAACAAGGCGGTGCCATGTACCCCAGAAAGGTAAACGTGGTGATGCTGTGGTCAAATCCCACGAAATTCAGTTGTCTAACAGAAAACCTAGATTTCATCAACCCTCGGCAGTGTACTCTTCATATCTCAATACACTACATTATTTGGGGGATTAACCGTCCAAATAAACATCATAAAAGGAAAAGCATACTCAACTATCTATGAGAAATTAGAATGCTCAACTAATGTTCCCTTGAAATTTTTCCTATAGGAGATCCACGATGTGTGAAATCCTAAGACATGACTTCGTACACCATGGACAGACATGTAGCCAACTGTTTGATCGGAGATTAGACATTTTATGAAGTAAATGTGTTACCGCAACAGCAGGAGCTCTTCCAAGCCCGGCAGTGCAATGAATGTAGGTGACGCCACCGTTGCGATTTACAGCCTTGACCAACTTACCCACAACAGCTGGAAGCCTCATCCTCAGATCAAAGGCATCAAAGTCCCTGTTTGAACCCAAATCAGAATAACAAAGAAACAGATAAACATAAAATAAGATGTAGTATCTTGGAAGAAAAAATCTGTCAGACACGTAGAATCTTTTTAATTTTGTCAAATATTTCACATCAAGCGACTTATATCACACACAGCAGTGAAAATTAATTTATCAGCTACCACACGCCAGTAGTAGTGAAAATTAATTTTCGAGCTGGAAGACATAAAAGTCATGCATTGTCTTTTTCATGTCAACCGCAAATGAGATGTGACTAGTTTTTTGTTGAAACTTGAAGCACTTGTCTATAATTGAGTTTAAGCCTGCAGAATGGAATATCTCCCAAGTAACTAAATGAACCGACACCCTGCTTTCTTTAACCACTGGATTAAATACTGGTGTTTCGGTCATCCGTCCATATTAATGCCACATAAAAAGGATACTTTAAAAGCGTACTGTGTGATTTCTCACAGGATCGTGCACCTAAAACATCCACTAGACACCACAGATCATCTTTCAATAGAATTAATGCAGAACGATAATCCTTATAAGATACATAATAATAAACTAAGGCTCGCGCATGCATGAAAAAAATAAATTAAAATGGACTAAATGACCGAAAAATATAATAGCTACATGATAACGTAATTATATGAACCACACTTCATTCGTTACATACGATCATGCAATCCGTTATTTTCAAGAAATGGTTATACTTAGTCGACTACAATTTTAGCTTCAATGCTAATAAACATCAACGTGAACATTCCAGGGGTATAAAAATCGAAACTGCTTCAACAAAAGCGCACCTCATCTAGCATAATAAGCACCAAAGTGTTTCCCATCAGTAATTTTAAGTCCAGAATTCTGCTTACCTTATTTCAGCACGATAATGTTCGATATCTTCACACTGCTTTGCATACTCTTGTATGGCAATAATATCGACCCCAAAGTATCTACAGATATTAATAGGACTACACTGACATTTGATGATCTTCTCGATAAAATAACGTCAGCCCTTCCTTTTGTCTCTAGGATTTGTTCCAAGTATCACAGTTGTAAATTTTTCTAGCAAGCAATAAAACAATGATTTAATTTGCTAACTTGTAGAAACTTCCAAACAAAGGATACTCGAGGTCCGGATTTTGCTGCAAGCAAAAAATGGTCTTAACCCCAACTTTGCGGAGCTTGTCAACATCTTCAGGTGTCTGCGGTCAGAAATTTTAGAATGCAGAACACACGTAATAGAAAAAAAAGGTTAAAGTAACTACCTGAAGGCAAGATCCAACAATCAAATCTGGACGAATAAAATTGTAGTTCATTCCTAACTCGTGCCTATACGTCAGTACTGTCCATTTTGATAGCAAAGGTCAGGGAAACTGAGTTCCAGAAGTATCCGATGTCTACAGTCTGACTTCATGGCAGATTAAACAATACAGAAATATTAGACTCCAGAGGGAAAGAAAACACAGTATACTCACCAGCACCCATCGCTTCCGTCATGTCGTGACTGTATATCTCGGACTTGTCAGCCTCTTCTTCAGAACTACTTTTCTCTGCGCTTGAAGCGAAGCCGGAGGATGCCTGTAAAACATTATCTGGATCACGTTTTTGAAATCCCACTAGTTTAAAATGGAGTTCATTACAGAGCGTCAGACTCACCAGGCCCACAAAGAAGGTAGTAACGAAATAATTTGCATTTACTAGCAGCTTTTGATTTTAGAAAAACATAAAAAGAAAGCTTTCTTCGAGGAATGGACTCCAGCCAGCAATATTCACCAAATCCCCATTAACAAAGTTAAGGCAAAAAAAAATCTCAATATTCATTGCTTCTATGAGAAGCTCCCTATGTCCTTTTTTAATTTTTTAGGATCGTCAGAAAATTGACGGAAATATCTGAGTATTTCGTGTCGATCTTATCTATATATATTAAAAATAACATAAAAGGATTTCACGAACCATATTCCAGATTATGTTTACTCTTACCTATTCGCTAATTGAGTATCCATTATCTTATTATTTTCTTATACATTCCATTTAGCAATACCACTTTAACTATTGTCTGATCTAGTCAACAATTTTTTTGTTGGATCTACCACATATTATATGGTGTAAGTTTACTAGTCATCAAAATCATAGAAGTTTTGAAAAAGAAAATTTAAACTAGAAATTATCCGGTGCATATTCAAGACAAAAAAATGTGAACAAAAAGCTCGACCATGATGGAAAACTATAACATAAAGATCTTTTCTCTTCCCCAGCTACCTTAACGAATTCATTATTCATCCATGACTATTATAATGACATCTATAT